AAGATTTGAGTCTTATATTTAATTAATATATAAAATAATCATAATTTCTAGATGAGACGAAGTATGTCAGCTGCAAACTTATCTCTAACATCAAAGTGTGTATATCCGTTTTATTAATACTAATATTATGAATGATAGAATTACTGATTCATCACTTCCAGGAACAATGCAAGTATTTTTTGAATTGACAATGCAATTGTATTTGATGATATCATCATTTGGAGACCAGAAAGAATATACTTTAGAACCTTCTCTATGAGTTTTAGAATTTAAAGCAGTAAGCATTTGTGATGATGGTGAGAATCCATTATAAGTACTACAAGTAGGTAATCCAGTTGCATAAGTGCAATCAACTAAACCATAATTAGCTCCAGCTAATCCAAAGAAAGCGGCAATAGAATTAGTGATTGGATCTCCAACAGTAAATTTACTAAACAAAGATTCTGAATAAGTTCCACCAATGATAGCTGCTCTAGCTAATGTGACTCCCATTGAATGACCAATTACAATAACTTTACTAGCTTTTGTATAAGCAAGAACACCTTCTATGAAACGTCTAGTAGTCATCACATATTTCTCAGAATGACTATTTTATGAAGCCAAATTAGGATTGGCAGGTCCTAAAAAATATTATTATAAAATCTACCCCATGTTGTCACATACAAATCAGCTTTAGTGTATCCACCATAATTTTATAAATATTCAATAAGTTATGTGAATCCAGTCTACCAGCCAACTGTTCCACCATTACCAACTCCAATATCAGAATTTCCATGAACAAATACAATTGGATATTTTGAAGGAGCAGTAGTTGGTCTAGTTTCAGCACCTCTAAGAAAATAATTGATTATTTTATTACCCATATGTTGACCAAGTGATATCAGATCTAATGAAATCATATTTTGTATCAAAAGATTTTATGAAGGATGCAAAATCTGCAGTAAATCCATGATCTATATTACTAACATTACTCTCATAATTCATATATGCTGTAGCACCCAAAACCATCAATACTCCAAATGTTAACAATAGTGTTTAAGTTGTCATCAAATTCAAATAAATATCTAATTACAGAACCAAGGTGTTTATTAATTTGCGAACAAAGATATTTCGTCATTAATTATTGCGTAATGTATAATTGGTTTGGCAATCATATTTATTATAAAAATATTTTAATAAAAATCATTCAATATTATCCAAATTCCTTAAACATCATTGCCATATCTGACAATTGATTCTTTTTGGGCATTGGCATTCTTGGAGGTTAATTATCTTCTAAACTGAATAATTATTTTTCAGTTAACTCTTTTTTAATATACATCAAATAAGTAGATCTACTCATATCTGAAAATTTTGGCATAAATTTTAAATATGTTTTTTCATCATCATCAATATATTATTTCTGTCCTCCTTTTTATTTGAATAGCATTTTACTCAGTTCCTTATTTTCAATATCCATTTTCCTTTCAACTCCATCTATTATCATACCAATTACTTAGTGAGATTTCTTTTATTATTTTTCTATTTAATCTCTTATCTATTTTTAAGCCTTTTATTGTTTCTCTTATTATAAAATCAAATCTGTCCCTTATGCTTCCAAATTTATTACTGATTAACTTATCTGTGAATTTTATTGTTTGTCTCCCATCTTTTTCAAAATAGGTTTAGGAATTGAACTTGATTTTGGTTGTATTAAATTTTATGTTGATTATATCTTTGTATCATCTAATCCTGTTAAAGAATTTCTTCCTTAAGAAGGCTACAAAGATGTTTAATGATTAAAAGGTTTTTTATCAATCTCTTGTACTAAAATTCTTACATTTTTTCTTTATTTTGAAGATTATTATTATTACTACTATTGTTAATTTTCATTTTCAGGATTTTATACTTAAATTTCTCTTTCAAAGGCTGATTTTAATTTTTAAATTCTTTCCTTTTCTTTTTATTCTCTAAGTAAATTAGCAAAAAACTTTGATAAACCTAAAGCTTCTCTATGTTTATAAATAAAATCTTTTAATTTCTTCTTTTTACTTTTTTCTAATACTTTTCTCAAATAAATTGTTTCTTCTTCATCTTTTAAATCAATATTCACATTATTCTATACAATCTTTTTACCTGCTACCATTTTATCAATTTTTTTTCGTTTTAATTCTTTTAATTCTTTTTCTGCTGTTATTTTACCATCTATAATATGTGCTTAATCTCTAACTTTTGTATCAATTTCCACTTTTACTGGAGGAGAATTGAATGATTCTTTATAAAACATAATTTCCTCTTTTGCTTTCAAATTTAACATTTTCCTACCAAAATTAAATTCTTTTTTATCAAAATCTTCCTTTTTTCTTAAACTAAACAATTATCCTAAAATATCATTATAATCACTGAATTCATTTGTTTCAATCTTTCCAGTTACCATTTTATTAACATATACATCCAAATCTTATTTATGATGTTCATCTCTATCTGGATGTTCTCTATATTCTATATTTTCTAATTATCTCTTTAATAATGTTCCTGCATTACTTACATTCTTTTCATCAGTTTTTTTTGGTTTTGGATATTCATTAAAATATTAATTAGTTGTTAAAATTTTAGATTTATGATCTAAAGGTCTTTCCAATCCAATTTTAATCAAACCAACTGATTTACCCAATTTTCTATTTAATTTTACTAATCTTCTATTATTTGATATTGGCTTCTTAGAAACTGATTATGTTTTTTTCTTTTCAAACATATCATCATCAAATTATAAATTATCTATAGAAGGTGCAAAAAAACTTCCATCAAAAAAACTATCTTAACTATTCGAATCACTATCAAATATATTAATTGATGCATCAGTACCATGAGGTTATGATTACTCAACAACTTTTTAATCAAATTATTTATTTATTTTATATTCTTATTTTACTTATGTTTTTAAATATAATTATTAATTTAAAGGTTTTATTTGAAAGAGATGATACATATCATTATTAAACTTCTTTAAATATTGAGATTCTGATTATTCTTATTAATCTCTATGTTTTTTCCTTATTTTATGTAATTCTGAATCTAATGTCGATTCAGCTATAAAACTTAAATCAGCTAAATCTTTGAGATTTTATTCAACTCTATGTTTTCCCTCACTTGCCAATTTTATTATATGTTTCTTAAATTCATCTATTCCTTATATATATTTTTCTGCTAACCAACTTGCTGTTGTTAATGACTCTACAATCCTATGATAATTATTCTAAGCTTCATAATTACACATAATAGTAACTAAAGCAGATAAAGTTGTTATAACACATCTCTTCATCCTCTTTCTTTCTCTGTTTTTGTACTTTCTTTATGTAAATTTTTCTTAATTAATCCGAATCCTCATTTCTCCACATAAAATTACTATTGCTTCTTCAGCTACTCTTAATGATTCTTCATATTCACTTATTTCATAATAATAATTTGATAAATAAACTTTTGCTTTTGCACAAGTATTCACTAAATTAGGATTTGGTGTATCAAGTATTTATTTTGCTATTCTTTAAGCTTCTAATAAATAATAATAAGCAACCTTTGGCTTATTGGCTTTTTTAAAGACTAAATTTGCCATTAATTGTAATTCAATTAAATTGTAGAAGTATTAATCTAATTCAAATTGTATATTTAATGGTTTTATTGTTTTTACTATCATATTAGCTATACGACTAGACTCAGATACTTCTTACTCATAAAAGTTTATCTCTTTTGCTTATTTTTTTGTTCTCTCTTTTTTTTATTTTTCATATTCATTAATTTTGTAGAAAAGAACAGTAACTTCCTGTTCTTTTATTCTTTCTTATCCTTCTTCATCAGAACTTGTTAAATGCGAAACATCTTCTAAACTAAAAATTTAAATAATTCAATACACAACTCCTTTCATTTCATTGGGCATAACTTTCTATATATAAAGATTTAAGTATTTGTATAATTCAAATATTGCTTAAGTTCCTCTTTAAATAATTTAAATCATTATTTCAGGTCTATCTTACTCAATATCTGGTTTTAACAATCCCTTTTTTATTATTTTATTTATGCAATTAATTATCCGACGATTCAGCATAACCATTTCACCTAATTCTAAATCTTTTCTTTGACTATAAAACTTATCTAAAAGCTAATATGCTCGCTTATAAAGTTTCTATTCAACTATATAAATCAAGTTACTTTTTATATCATTTTTCCAGTTTCTCTGTGAATATAATCATAGCTACCCTACAATAGACTTTTTAATTTACTCTCTTCTTTATTTTAATGAGAATGTTATTGTTAGTGAGATGTATTAACAGAAGAAGTTTCTTTTTAATTCATTAAATTAATGTTAATTCTAATTTTTATATATTTAAAAAATCATATATTTTTTCTATAGATTTTGGTTATATTTTGATTTAGATATGATTTTGGAATTGTTTATATATTATTAATTAATATATAATATATATAAAACATAAGGATTCATTACTACTTGCTTTCTATCACAGTAGTAATTTGTGATTCCAAACTTTAATATTAATTTGCTAATAATTAAGGTAATTGTCCTATATCTTTCAAAGAATTCATAAAATAATCTAACTCTTCTTTTATTCTTGTATATCCTATTCTTAAAAAATATTAAACAATATTCTTTACTTAGAAGTGATATTTAATTATCTAAATATTTTAACAAAATCTGAATTTAATATAGTAACAATATGACCAAAAACATTACAAAGATCTTATTTTGTAATAATATCTTCAATAGCTACATATAAGGATCGAGTATTCTAACAGATTTAATTAGTCATTTTAGTAGGAACAGTAATTTTAGCTTAGGAATCCTAAATAATTAATTATATAGATCACATTCCAATCAAGTTTAGCGATATCTTCAAAATGTTTATAAAATCTATCTTGTACTATAGTAGTTAACTTATCCATGACTTCAGCATTATGATTTTCATAATCTACCTTTATTGTTGTAAAATCATTCTAAATTTGATTTAAATTTGAAAATTCATTTTGTTAATATTAACTAATTTTTAATTATTTAATGATTACTTGATTATCTTAAACAGTTTATTAGATAAAGGCTCTAATAAATATAAAAAGAGTCTTAAACAAATTGATGAAATAGCTAAATTTTTAGCTGTAATTGTTGATATCTTGCCAAAATGTACAGCTCCTGCTCCCAAAATGTATTATGTGGCTAAGGAATTATAACTTTTAATTAATTCAACTAACTTTTATACTTACTCATAATTAATTATTGAATAAGATTCAAATAAATGCAAATATTAACTTATAGCTTATAAAAAGAATAAAAATGCTTATGTTACTTTATATTTGGAATTATCTTTTAAAATAATTATTTCAGTTTTTATTATTTTAAAATGTGAATTATTTACATATGAAGGTAATAGATTTTTACCTGCCATTGTACTATTATTTAGTAGAACGCTTTCATCTAATTATTCTACTTGTTTTAAATCCTCTAAATCTAATAAATAAGAAATTATTTCATAATTATCAAAAGATACATCAGAAGCCAACCAAATTTCATTCTCTAAATACTTATTCAATTATATTTTTTTATCTTTATGAAAATTTTAGAGATATTACTTTTCTTAAGTATTTCTCATATATATTAATTAATTTATCGAACATTTCTAATATTATCCTCTAATTTTTTACATTATTTTGTCATTTATTTATAAATCTTCATTCATTCTAGACATTTCCTATTAGTAAAATTAATCCCAAAATTTATAAACTTAAAGTAAATCTATAAAATCTTTAACTGAAGATTCAGATGCAATTCTTTTTGATGATAATAATAAGGCTACTTTTTCATTAGCAAATTTTAACATAGCTACAGGAATAGAAAAATGTTCTTCAATTATTTCCATATGTTTTGGTTAATCCAATACATTTTTAGCAATTGATTAAGCAAGTGCAATTTAGAGATTAATTGTCTTTTTTAAATTCTCTGAAAAAAATTAAACTATTTTTATAAAGATATTTAATGGTTATTCCTCCATAAATTAAGATATTTACTCCATGATAGATTACTCATCGAATTTCATTTATTATTGAGAATCCTCTTAATTAAAAAAGTTTTTAATTGCAATTAAAAATTCTTAATAATATCCTTGTAATTCTTCCATCACTTTTTATTTAAAAATTTTATCACCCATATCAATTATACCAGAAGAAGATAAAAGAGTTTTAATAAAACTATCATCTGATTGTTTATTAGAGGAAATAATTGATTATTGTTATTATTCTAACCAACTATCATTTACATATGAATTTGCAAGAACTGAATCATCATGATCATTTAATTAATGTGTTAATTAATTTATAAGTTATTTATTTGGTGTTAATAAGGATGTCATTTAAGTAAGCATAATTGATAAAAGATGATTTAATATTGTAGTATATAAATTTTTTTGTAATTATTCTAACTTTAAAGGTATGAACTTTAAACTTGTAATAGATTTGATTGATTAATATGTCTATTCACTTACTTTTAATAATTAAACAGCTTAGGAATATTTCTTAGTATTTATTAATTCTGATAATGTTGTAAAACTCTTTTAAATTGACTAAACTCGTTTAAGAATGAACAAAATATTTTCAACTTTTTCAATAGTCTAAACTCAATATAATTAATACTTATTTCTTTCGAGTAATTTCTGTACTTTTTTTAACCATGTGTTCTCTTGTTGTACTATAAATTTCACGTATTCTTTTAACTTTTTTAATGTTCTAGTCAATTATTTAATTCATTTCATTTAAATTTAATACTACACTTAGAAATTTATCAAAGCGAGAATTGATTTAAAAGAATAAAGTAATCTCAACATCATCTAAATGATCTTTAATCTCTTCTAAATACTAATTAATTTTATCTTTGCCTTATGCAAATAATTGATAGTTAAATCTAAATGGTTGATCAAAAAAATATGCAGGTACTGTATCATAACAACCTAAAACCATTTCATCTAAATCATCAGGAATATCTGATGATTATACTTTTTTTTGAAATTTTCTATACTCCAGATAAACATCCCTAATAGATTATAAGTATTCAACAAAATCTTTAAATCCTAAATCTTTTATAGACTATAAATCTGATGATCGATAAACAGTATTCACGATGGCTTAAGCATCCTTCAATGATATTGGATGTTAGGGTTCTTGGGTTTTTCTTAGTACTCTTTTGAGTAATTGATCAAAATATCCCTCCTCTATTACACTAAAGACTAATTGCTATTCTTATTTATTTTCCTCACTAATTATTCCATTAAGAATACCTCATTTTATGATTGCTTATAAATATCAATTAATATATTATAATATATCACTTAATTCAGATTATTTTTGTATTCCTTATAATTAAGATCATTTCCTCATTGTTTTAAAGACTTAAGAACTTTGAGTTTAAATCACAAATAATATTTTGCTTATTTGAAATAACAATATGATAGGACTTATTATTAATAATATCTGTATTTTCAGAATGTTCAAATAATTATTTTTGGAATTAAATATTAGATTCATTTTATAAACTTCAATAAACAGCTTATGTCTTAGCTTTTGTCTTTAAATTCAACAAGTAAATTAAAAGGAGACTACTATACCTGTTTAATTAATTATTGATGTTCAATTTTTGATGGAAACTTTATGTTTAATTTTCATTAAAGTTTTTCTTTTTAACTAAAATAATTTGATATTTTCACAATAAGGAAGATGAAAAAATAAATCTCATTTTTACCCTACAATTTACTGATTATTTAATCTATAATTTTATTTTTAATTTAATTTTATTATCAATGGATGCTTTTATCGGTTTTAGCAAATGTTAGATAAAGAATACTTAAAGTTCTACTTCAATAACAAATTACTCATACAGCTTGATAATTCATCGTATATTTAACCGATTTTATCAAACAAAAATTAGAACCCCTCTAATAAATCATATTTTTATTTCAAATTATGATTGATTATATATGACCAGCCGTCGCCTAAAGATCTTTTGATTCAAAAGTTACTATCTTAGGATAAGATTCATCCTGAAGATTTTCGTGACCTTATTAAACCAGTTAAACTCATGTATAAACTTTACCTAATTAAGATTTGGCTATTGTATATTTTATTCCATAATGAGCTTCTGCTATTTTATAGTTATTCATACCTTGAATAACCTTTTTTCATTTCTAATTATCCAACTGTGTTTTCACCAATTTTAGATAAACTTAAAATTATCTCCTAATTTATATGATTTAAACTTCAAATTCATTTTTATCTAATTAATTTTATTCACTATTTCATGAGTTCTTATTCTCTACTTAAAATTTAAATTTTTAAGAGTTTTAACATTTCTAAATGATTCCATAATTTGATTGCATTCTGATAATTTATGTAAAAATTCGAGAATTTTCAAAGCTAAATTAAATTTATTTGCTGATTTCAGACTTACCAGATTCTGATTCTATAGTCATCCAAATTGATTAAGGTATTTAAATCATTTAATGGCAAGCTTTTAATAAAAATTGTAGCTATTACTAAGATTTAATACTTTATTACTAGGATTGATGCTAGTAAAAGATGATCCACCACAAAAAATTTAGATTTAAAATATTAAGAACTTTAGATTCAGTTAAAATTGATATGAATCCAATACTTTTTACTTCTTTTTTACAAATTTTTTGAATCATCTATTATACTTTCAGGAATGCTAATTAATAATGGGGAGAGACGTAAAGAATAATTCCAGATATTAATTTGTAGTCATAAAAGATCTAGCATCAAGTATCTAGCTAAAATTATTTCCTTAATTATAAATTTGGGCCCATTTTAAAGGTTAAAGCATTTATTTGATATATTTAAAAAAATAATAAATGAGACAGTTATAAATTATAAATTAGAATCTAGTTAAAAATAAAATGATGTATATAATAAATTATTGACTTGAAAGAAGATGTAATTGTACTGATTTTATAATTTTGATTAAAAATTATGTATTATGTAATATTCAATAATGGCACTTTTCTTTCATCGATCAGTATCTCTAATTTTAAGGTACTAATGTCATTAAAAAAGTAATGGAATATCATTAACTTTTAGAAGATGCCATTTAGATTTTGATGATCTTACTCATCCTCATGAATATTTAGGTGCTTGAATTGAATTAGATGGATTTTATCTTATTTGATCATCTTGGAGGCGTTCTTAAGATAAAATATACATTAACCTCTATCATTTTTAAACCATCCTTTAATTTTTTGAAAGGTGCTAGCAATGCAATTAATTAGTACTCAACACATTAAAATTATAAATAATGAAATTTACAAGTACTGATAATATAGAAGTGGATAGACAAGACTAATAGAAAATCAATTCTTTTAGCAGATTAAATATGCAATATCATGAACTAATAAGATTAAATTAAGCGTATAGAATGATAAAATTAGTATAGTCGAAAAGAGGAATTATCACGTTTAGCAGATGGCAAAGATGAAATGGAATTAATGGATGATGATGAGAAGATTCCTTTTAAATTTGGTGACTCTTTTATTAGAGTGAATGTTGAAAAAGTAATTAGTTTGGATATATATATTAAAAGGCAAGAACATTGATTGACGAATAAGTAGTGAAAATAAAAAAATCATTCGAAGAAGATACTAAGAAAATAGAAGAGACATTAAAATAGATGAATAATTTGAAAGCAAAGTTATATGCTAAATTTGGTAGTCAAATTAATTTGGATGATGAATGATCGTTCAATAAAATATATATATAAATTTAAATAATTCAAATGTAAAATAATACTCCTTTTTTAACTAATTCTTCTATAGGAATAAAAGGATCCTTGTCAGATCTTTAATATCTAGAACCAATAAATTCACTTAAACAATGAGCATATCTAACAGGAGCAGGAATTTTAATTGGACCAGCAAAGTTATAATAGAGCCAACATAGTTTGTAAGTAAGAACTTTAATATCATTTTCAATATTAGGTATATCTGAATGTAATATTTTATATAAAGTTGGTTAAGAGGTACCTTATCTGGTAATTTAAGATATTAAATAAAAATTAGGTTGTTATCCTTCACAAATTTCTTTACTATCTACAATAGTGCCAGATGCAGGATTATCAGGTCTATGTCCAGCTTAATAGAATTTACCAGCTACTCTTTTATTACAAATGACTAGAATTAATTTACTTGAAGGATTTGTTTATTTGATTGCTTATTCATATTAAGGAAACTCATCTCCTAAAACTACAGGAATTTAACCATCTGATATTCCATCTCTATAAATCACTATTATTTCAGGATATATATTATTTTTATCTTTGTAAACTTACATAGCTACTATTAAACTCTTTTTTAGATTATCTCCTTTATAATCAGCTCCTTTTAATATTTAACTATGATATCTGGTCATATTCTTATCAACAGTCGAACAAAATGCCAAATGCTTAGTTTAATGTAATCTATCATAACATTCAGCTGCGCATATCATTGAATGTTATTATTAAAATAAATGAGGTAATTTATCTATTGCCCATGGAACTCCTCCCAATTTAGCACATATTTATACCATTATTTTATTAACTATAGATCTTGTATTTTTACTTAAAGTATCTTCTAACACTACTTAACTTGGACAACCAATCTTTTACATTGATATAAATTTTGCACATCTATATAAACGACTATTCTTTTTCTATCCTGGTAATAAAAATATTATAAATTCGATCTTCTATTATTTTTATTCACATTCTTTATTTATATCATCACATAATTATACTAATGCTTTATCTCTCTCTTCCTAAAGTTATTTAATTATAGGCTAAGAATAAAAACCATAAAATTAATATTCTGTAATTGCTAATTTCATATTTTCTAACAATAATTTTTTAGCTTCCTAACCTCTTTCTTTATAATAATGAATTAAAACCCAAACCAATTTCTTTTCTGGCATTTGATACATCTTCTTTTACGTTTATTAATCTAAATTTAAATTCTATTAAGATAAATCAATATTTTCATTTCCCATCAATAATGTTCCTGGACGAACTGTTTTAGCTTCAATATTCATTGATATACTACTTAATTTCAAACCCCAAGTATCTAATATATTTATATTTGATCCTTTCTTAATAGTAGAATTCATTTATTTAGCAAATTTCTCTGATTTATCTATTCTATCTTATGCATTTGGTTTAGTTATTCTTGAAACTTCTTTCATTACTTAGAAATTCTAAATTATATTATATTTTATACACTCTTAACAGTTTCATTCAAACCAGTTAATTAACATAATTCTGGTATTAAATATATCATCTTATCTTCTTATTTCCCTTTGATTCTTAAATGTGTTTTTATTAATGGTTATTTGTCATTTAATTTTATATTATACCTTTATTTATAATACTCTTTAAATGATGTTTCCTATCCGTTTTCTGTTATAAATAAATCTTTAGGAGACATTGCAGTTTCAATATTATCAACTCGATAAAATTTTTAATTGTATTTTGTCATTACGATCATACCTTCATAACGATCAACTTCCTTTGTTATTAAAAGATCATCTAATAATGTATTTTATCTCAATATTTTATATGCACAATCTATCATAACACCGAATTATTTTTATACTATTTACACTCCTTCCCAAATTTCAAATTTATGTGCATGAAATTAATGAGATATCTTTGGCCAAAATAATTTATCTTTACCAATTTAAACCATCCCTTATTATGTGCTTACTATTTATTTTACAATTCTTGCTAATATTTATTGTAATTTTGTTCCTCCTACTATATTCTCGATAAATTTCAATGTTACAATATTTTAAATCTCTTAACCCTCATTTAATCCTCCCAATACTTTAGTTGCTATCTTAGTCGGAGAATAAATATTTAAATTTATGCAATAAAAGGTCATCAAATTTTCTGCAATCTTCTACCTATAGTTATTGATTGCTTTTTATGCATTGATATCAGAATAATTAGTTAATTCTATTTTATATCTATAGATTTAACGATCTGGCAGTAATTCAAATTGATGAAAATTCGATTTTACCTTCACATTTTTGAATTACTAATCTTGCTGTTACATTTTAAAAATATATTATTGATTGTTAATTACTATTTATTATATTTTACCTACAAATAATTTAATATTTTAGAATGCTTAAAGAATTATTCAAAATTTTGTAATAATAACTTAGAGTTTTTTGAGTAGATCATTTTATTGAAACTATTTGAAAATTCAAATTATTTTATATTATATAATGAAATACAATAAGATTATTAAAAAGTAGAATAGAAAAATAAAAGAGTTCATTTACTCACAAGACTTAATAAATAATCATCAAAATTTTTTGTATTTTTAATTGCTTGATCAATCATATCTTTCAATTATTATGATTATTGTTGAGTTGATTATCTCACACTAAAACTCCTAGATTTTGGTAAACTTTTAGTTTATTCGTTAGAAATGTCAATAGATTAGAAAAATGTACTATTCCTTTATTATTTCCTATAAGAGTACTCCCATTCTCTGTTCACAACCTTATAACAATTGTTATAATTACTTATTTACGCTTTGTTTAAGTTGGAGATGTTATTTCTTAGAGCACATCCATCAACTAATTCTTCGAGACTCTTGAAATTTTATTATTGCTTCTCATCTTTGAATTAAGATGAAAAGAATTAGTTTTTTTAAGTACTACATCAATAATTGGTTATTGTTTGTTTTCCTTTGCTTAATCGCAACTTTAATAAAATGTACTAAGATTGCTTATTTCTGATTACTAAGACTGCATTTTTGCATCTGTTTAGCTCAAAGTCAACGATGTATCAATATTCTCTTTTGTCTGTAATAAATGTTAAACTTTAACAAACAAAGTATGAGGTTGATATCTAATTACTGGAGGTTCAATTTTTTTTAAACAAATATACTTTGGAGTGCGGAATTCGATCATTCCGTTATTATTATATTTTAATATGAAAACTTTTTTTACAGAAATGGATTGTAAATCAGACTAGTAACTTCTCAAAGAAATTAATTGTCTTTTTCTGAGACTTAATTTAGAATCACCTCGAACATAATAAGCTATGAAAGAACTAAATTTAAGTAAATAATAATGTCAAATCAAGTAACATAAATATGTAAATTATAATATAAGAATTCTCTCTGAATTTCTCAATTATCATAATGAAGCTCATACCATGTACTTGAATCATTTGCAAATTTTAAAAGGTAATTCATTTTTTCCCCTACTCATATATTAGATAATCTTACAAATTTAGTGAAAAGAAGAAGGGTAATTATTGGCCCTTCTATTAAAATTGTATTCACAACTCCAAAGCAATCCAAACAATTTAATTTTCTAAAGAAAATCTTCGATCATGACCTTAAGGAGTTATATCAATCAGAATTGTAGATTAAAGAATAATAATAAAGAAATACAGATAAAATCTTTAAATCTGTTGAAGATAACTTGAAATCTATATCAAATAAAGCCAAAATTCATAATTAAATAGTTGATAAAAAACTTATAATATTGAAGAAAAGTAGAGAAAATGATTTGGATAATAGATTAAATAAAAGTCTTGATTTTGATTCCAAATTTGAACCTATTTAAAAATCATTACAAGATTCTAAAAGTAAATTTTAAATAATGATGTAATCTAAAAAACAATAAGAATTGGATTATCATTTAGAAAAAAAAAAAAGTATTATTGAATAAGATGAACTTCGTAGAACTAATTTATAATTTACAATTGAAAAATCTTAAAGAAATTCACATATTAGATAAGGTATTGCTAGTCATGATCGTATTCAATAAGTTTAAAATTAATAATTAGAATAACAATAAAAAGCAATCTAAAAAATTGCTAGTCAAATTGAAAAAACATCAATATAGACCTAATAATAGCAATCAAATTTATAAAATACAATTTAGAAAATGAAAGAGGAATAAGACAAAAAAATTAACAAAGTTCAAAAAAATCTTACATCTAAATCATTATTTTAATCTGAGAGGGAAAGTGTTATAATTTAAGATATATAAGAAAAAATTATTTAAGGGAATACAAAATCAAAGTAACGTTTATTAGATATATAATCAAAATTAAAAAATGTTACTTTATAAAAATAAGAAAAATAATAAGAATTGTTTAACAGTTATACAAATAAAATGGAGAAGAGAAATGAAACAATAATTGAAAAGCATCTTAAATTAAGAGAAAATCTAAAAAAAAATTAGAATTTAAGTAAAAATATGGTTTAATAATAACATTAATTAATTATTGAAAAGGATGAGTTTAATTAAAATATCTCTAAGGCTTAAAAATTAATAGTTAGTAAGACAACAAAGGATATTGAAGAATTACTCACTCATCTTGTTTTTAATTGAATTTTTAAATTATATAAAAATTTATGTTTGTATCTCAAAACAAAATCACAGAATAGCTTATACGAAATTAAGGAGAGGAACCTGCTAAAACAATAAAATTATCTTTACGTTCTATGAAATTGACTGTAATCATAATCTATTACATAGAAAATAGAAAATTTAGATTAATTGGTGCTTTTGTAGGAATTGAATCTAAGTCATAATAATATAACTAAAATAGAAAATTTAAGATTACCAGCACTTAAAGAACTTAATCTTTCAGATAATTTTATAAAATCCATGCATGGATTAGAATTTTTACCATCTTTAATTAATTTGAATTTGAATGGCAATCAAATAACTGAAATTAACCTAACAAATCATACTATAGAAACTTTAAAGATCTCAAGAAATTAAATCAAGGATCCAATATAGTTATTAAACCTAAAACCCCTTTTAAATTTGAAAATACTTTCTATTAGTGATAATCCTTTTTGTAGAACATTTAGTTACATAGAATATCTATGTTTTTTAACACCTACACTTTAAGTTTTAGACAATAAAGTTATATCAAATTAACATGAAATAGCAAAACAATTATATGGAGAACCAATCCCAAGTGATCATTAACAATTACTTTAAAATATAAGATTAGTATAATTGAAAAAGTAGGAAATTGATACTGAAATAGCTTAAATAGAGAATAAAATGTAAAGAGCTACAAATTTACTTCAAACCTATTAAAATGATTCTGATAGTGAAGATGAGACAGATAGATAACTTACCAATAAAGCTTTTCTTTCTCTGAAATCTTAGCTAGAAGAACATTATTAAGTACGTTAAGAAACAGATGATGCTTTAAAAGCATTAAAATAATAACTTGAATCTTATAAATAATAACCTAAAGAAAAATTACCAACTGAATAATTGAATAGAATTAATTCACTTTTTGTTAGACTCTAAGCAGTACTTTAAATAGATTTAACATCATGTTAAAGAACATTATTTGAAATGGCTTTATAGGGATCAATAGAATAAGTTTTATAGAGTATTGTTGATTTGCTTGAAACTATTTTAGATAGAATACCATTATTACCTTAAGAAAGTGTTTTATAGGAAGTGGCTGCATAAGTTCATGATTAAATTTAAGAATTATATTAGAGAGTTTCAACTAATTCTTTAAATTCAATCGGAATTTAAGATAAACCTATAGAATCTTCTATTGTGTTATTAAAAAAATTATTTAAAAGAGCAGAAAAAAAATATAAGAAAATTGATGAGTTTTATGCAATTAAAGCATAATTTATCAAAGACTTTGAAATAGAAACTTAATAGTTAGCTGAAAAATGGAAAGATTATGAAAATAAAAAAACATAATTACTACAAGAGAAAGAAACAATAAGTAAAGAATTAGAAGAATAATTTGAATAGATTATGTAATAAAAAGAAGAACTTAAAATGTAACATTAATAAGTTGAAGTTTAATTTGCAAAATCAAATGAAGATTTTAAAGTATTTAGAGCAAAGTAAAACGAGGCTAGAAAATGTTTAACTGATGAAATTACAAGACTTGGAAGATAGTAAGAATAATTGGTAATTATATAAATAATTATTTAGTCTGAAGAAGTTTAAGAACTTTAAAGTGAAATGGAAAGACTTAAAGATACTAATGCAGAGAAAGAAGAATCTATAAGATTATTAAATGAAGAGATTGAAATGTTATAATAGAGAATATAGGATCAATATTAAGTTAGTTTTTAAATTAGAGAAGATCAATAAAGAGCATTGAATAATATAGAATATTTGAATTCATAAAAAGAATTATTAAGCAAAGATATAGAAGAATTGTAATTTGAACATTCTAAATAAGAATAAGATACTATGGATTTATAAATTAAATATCAAAATGAAAATAAAAAAATGAAATAATTACTTGAAGAATTAGATACATGCCATTAAAAATTAAAAAGCACCGAATAATTATGTAAAGAGGCAGATAGAGTATTAAAATAATTAAATAATGCTATTGCTGATAAAGAGTAAGAAATGTAAAAATATGATAAAATTATGTAAGAATCAAATATAGAAAAAGAAAAAATTAAATAAACTAAAAATGAGAATATGATGATTAAGAAAGAAACACAAAAGCTTAGAACTGAATTTGATAATTTAGAATATTAAGTTTAAGTCAGCCAAGATAATTTATTAAAAGGAAAAAAAAATCTTTAATAAGTAACATAACTAACAATCGAAAAAGAATAAGAATTGTTATAAATAGAAAAACAATTAATTAATACTGAAAAATAAATATAAGATTAAATGAAATAAAAGGATATTTTGGGTAATGATTTTGATATCTTACAAAAAGAGTTAAAAAAATTGAATATAGAAAAAGCTAAATTACAATAATAAGTAGATGATGCTACAATAGATTTACAAAGTTTAAAATAAGAATATTAAATTTAATAATCTAATTTATAATCCTTAAATAAATAAATTGAGTTAAAAGTGACAGAATTATCTACTTAAACTCATTATTAAATGCATTAAGGATAAGAATCAATTATTAATTTTTAGCTTTAATTATAAAAATTACAAGAGAGTATAGAAATAAAAGGATAAGAATTTAAATTATTAGTAGATTAAATAGATTAATTATAATAAAAAAGGGATCATTTAATATAAAATGTATAATAATTATAATCATCTGTTTTATAAGAAGAATAGAATACAAATTAGAAACCTTATGTAAAAATTAAATAAAATTAGATTGTACACGATGAAGAATCTTTACATTCTTAAAGCTATGATAAATTAAAACCTGATTGGTTAAAGCCTACAAAAAATTCAGCAATAAAAAGTTAAACTAATTTTGGTTTATTAAGTGATTTTAGTAAGAAATTTTAGCCAAGATCTGCAAATTAATCTTTACTTAGAAAATCCCCTTAAGGAAAAGATTAGTCAGTTTAGTCTGTTATTTAAAATCTAGAAGAATTAAATTAAAATTTAGATAGAATGTATATGGAAAGTCTTGAAAGATTTGAGTCCTGAATATTTATTATTAATAACACTCATGAATATTTTTTCTTATTGAAAATAATTGCTGCAATTGCTACAACCCCTAAAGTAAAAGTAGCTAAAGTTAATTTTTGCCATTTTTTTCCAGCTGTCTAACTTGAAGTTGCTAAAATTCTTATTATTACAGCTTAAATAAGACCATTTCTTGATAACAATTTCTTCTAAAAGAAATATTAAGACATCCAAGTTGCTAAAATAGCTGATGCTGTTATTTTCCAAATAATATTTGTATTCCAAAAATTTCTATTTGTAAGGAAAAATCGAGAAGAATATGAAGAATTTTTATAAAAATCGCTTAATATCTATTTAGATTCTGATTAATTTGTTTTAGATATTTTTCCATTATAGCTTAACTATTTAATTTGTTAACTCTCTGTTAAATTTTCTTTTTAACATAAAATCTATTTTCTTTTATTAAATATTTCTGGATCTTAAGTTGTAGTTTTAACTAGATTCCAAGCTTCTTCTATATCTCTATAGGCATTTTCATAATCAAATTATTATTAATGTGCTAATGCTCTTTTGAACCATACTTCTGGATTTAAAGGATCAAGTTTGATTACCTATTTAAAATTAAAGTAATACCATATTAGCATGATATATACATTATTTTGGATTTCCTATGTTCAAATAACATGAACTTAAATGCAAAAAAATTGAAATTCTTAATTTTTTAAATTATACTAATAATTATTGAGGACATCTAATCAAATAATCAGGATCACAATATTCTGAAGCTAAATTATATTACTCTATAGCTTTGACATAATTTTATTATTTAAAAGATTGATTACCTTAATTTTTAAGAAATGTTGCTTCATCAAAAGACTTTTAATATTAAATAATTGGGTCTTATTCTAAGTCTAATTAGATCTTTTAAGTAGGTTAAGTCGATTCTGAATCTAAAAGAATTTTGGTTTTTTATGCTGAGGTAAAATCATCATTTTGATTTCCATATTACACTTCAAACTCTTATTGTTTTTCTTCTTCTTCATTGGAATCATTCATTATTTTATTAAAATGACCATAAAATGGAATCTATTATATATTTAATACAGGGAACTATGCTAAAGGCTAAGAATTAAATTGATTTAGTCTTTAAATTTAACAAGGAATAGGTATCATATTTATTTATTTTAACAATTTAGTTTAATTTTATTATTAATCTATTCCTGATGATTTAATTTTGTTCTTTTAGTTAGATTAACTTTCATTCAGGTTATTAATTAAAGCGTTGTTTATATTATTTGTTTGAGAATAGCCTTCAAAATTGTTAACTTATTCTGTGCTTTTATCTGATTACATTACTATTGAAACTAAGGATTTATTTAATGCATTGTTAAATGTGTTTTATTCCTATGATATTAATTTTACTTCTTATTTAAAATCCATAAATAAAAATTAGAATTCTTTATTATCAATATTTTATCATTAAAATTGAATTATTCATGCAAAAACATAAATAATTTATAATAATTTATAATAATTAAATAATATATAATAAAGGTATAAATTTAAAAAGATGTTATAAAAAAACATAAATATAAAAATTTATGTTCAAACTGTAATGATAATATATTTCCATAATTTTATTGCATCAACCATCCATAATAATGAAACATCATAATGTTTTATAGTTTTTTCAATAAGATGGACAAATTTTTCAAATAAATGTTCACTAATTTTGAGTCTAGAATGAATTGCTTAAATATCTGATCGTTTAAAATATTTTCTACCTGATAAAAGATATTCAAATTTTTTTAAAACAATTTTATTAACATTTACATCATTACTATCAAAAATATTTTTAAGTTCTACATTTGATTTCAATTCATCAGATATCAAAGGAATAAATTCACATAATTTATCTTAACCTACAATATCACAAGGTAGTTTTTAATTTATTATATAAGGAAGTATCAAATCAAATTCTTCTTCAAAGTCTTAGAAGATAACTCTTTATGGATTCAATTTAGATAATAAAATCATCATTTTTTCTTTAATACTTTGATATAAATTAACATTAATTGAATGTTAACAATGAAATGATTTCAAATCTTCAAGTGTAAAACAATTATTTTATTTATTAAAAGCATAATATAAAAAATATTTGGTATGTTCTACAAATTAATCAAATCCAACTTTATGAATGAAATTTTTATTAATAAATTAATCTTATTAACAAAGCTTGATAAATTCAGATGTATAATTATCAAAACCTTATTATTTGTAAACTAAATCTTTGATGCTGTCTTAATTGATAACAGCAGCTTTATAAGCATCAGTTTATTCTAGTACATACCAAACAACTTCTTTTTAAGTATGTTTTGATAAAGAACCAGATAAATAATATTTGAAAACAGAATATTAAACTGAAGTTATTTCAAAAGCTTTATGAAAATCTCTCATAGAATCCATAACAAAATTAGTAGATTCTGATGATCCCAAAATAAATCCAAAAATTCTACTAAATTTGATTGCTTATTCTTCCTATTTCGTACCTTTAAATAAGGGACTTAGAGAGAAATCTTCAAAGATTTGACTATACATATTTTTAGCTATAGTTCTGATATTATCTTTTACATTTTATACAGAACGAGACTAAAAGATAATTAAATTATATTACCTTTGAGACAATAGCACCTCTATAGAATTCAACTGTTTAAGCACATTTAAATACTTTTTCTATATTAATTTTTAATGAAATTAAGTATTTAAGATATAGATATTTGAATCTATTGAACATTTAATCAGTTATATCTAAAGTAGCATGTAATTGTTTCAAAGTTTCAAAATGATAAGTAAGTTTATTACCATTAGTTAAATCGATCAATGATCTTACAACTCCTTTCATTTCAATAACTTCTCTAAGAATTGGTCCAATTAATTCATCTTCATTAAGTATTGTACCTAATTCTTTAGTATAATCTTCTAAACCTTCCATTTTCTCAAATTCACTATGACGTGTAATACCATTTTTTGGCCTATATAAAACTAAATTAATTACTTTTTATCTTTGAAAGATGAGATAATGTCTTTGATTGATTTACCTGCTGAAAATGGACATTATTATTACTACTAATATGATTATTAAATTTATTAGGTCTGATGATAATTCGATTTTCTTATAGGTACTTAATTTGTTATAATGCTTGTATTTTCTTCTCTTTGAGTTTTTACACTGCCAGTTGATGATTTAGTATGATTTTTAATTGTGAATAATCTTTGAAAATTTCTGCTAGAACCTAGATCAAATTAGGTGGTCTCCTCAATTTATATTGTTTAATTTTTTTTCTTTTTTTGCTGCTACGGCGTAAGTGGTTTCGATGTTGTATTTACTCTTTCTGTATCTATAAAATTAGCAGAACCACCTTTTCTCCCTTACCATATATTATTTGGTTGGGTAGAATCTAAAGAAGGCAATTTTTTGAATAAATGTTCTTTTCTTGAAGTTTGAATTTCTTTTATGGAGTTATTGAAATTAGCTTAGCTATAAACATTCTATTGCAATTCACCAGAATCTCTACGAATCATAAGAGTTCAATAATAAAAATTTAATAAATAATTTGTTAAGTAATAGTAATTATATCATCTGAGAAATAAATTTTTACTGGAACACACCTCTTATTTATTTTTATTATTTTGTTCTGTTCCAAGTCTCCAAAATATTAAAGTTTCATCTCCTGCAGCTGAACATAACATAGATTGATCAGGAGATATTCCTAAATGTAAAACTCTTGATTTATGTGCTTATAATTCTTATATTAATTTAGCTTATTAAATTATATCCGCATTCCATATACTAATTTAAAATTTTGAAAATCCATGAGATGATATCAATTCTCTATATCTTGGTAAAAATTATAAAGCACAAACTTATGATCCTGTATCAATGCTTTTAAAACACATTCCAGTATCTGCATTCCAAAATTTTATATTTTTATCATTTGAACCTCCTCCACTAACAAGTGTATTTTATAACCAAGGACACCATGCCATAGCTTTAACAGCAGCACAATGACCTTCACAAGAAACACGTAATGACATTTATCTTCTATCCCAAAGCAATAACTAATTATCATTAGCTCCACTACTTAAAGTAGTTCCTGATGAATTCCATTTCAATCCACAAACTTCTTAAGTATGTTTTTAAAATACTCCTACAATATTATTATTTTTCTCTCGCATATCATGATTGAAAATTACATTATCTCTACCAGAACTCGACAACAATTCAAAACTACTACTCATTGTCGATACTCTTTCATTATGATAATATAACTATGTTATTGTTTATTATGAACAAACATCAACTATCTTTATTGAAGCATCATCAAATCCAACTCCAAGTATATGATCATTTATCCAATGAACTGAGGTCACATTTGAAGTTGCTTGTAAAAGTTATTCAATATGTTCTATTATATTCAAACATTTGCTATACAATTTGAAGCATTCCATAAATAAACTTTATTTTGCAATCCCACAGACAATACATTGTTGTTTCCCCATTCTAAAATATTTAGATAAAAATCATCTGCTATGTCTGGGGCATCCAAAATTTTCTCTGGAATTGAACTAATCTATCTAACTATTTATTGAGTTGGTAATCTGTATTAATTATGTAACTAATCCAAAAAAGATGTCGGAAAATTCAGTTACTATTTGCCGTTTCCAAAATTTAATACTTTTTCTTCATTTATATGATACATTAACTAAAATTTGTAATATATTGTATACATCATTGTAGTTTGATTGGGTATGTGATTAATATAGTAATTTCGATTTACTTTTTGGTATAAATCGATCCATATATCCGTTAAATTAATTAATAATAATATTACAATAATTTCATTAATAAATTCATTAATATCTGAAAGCAAAAGTTGAAATAGAATTAATTTACATTTTGGATATCAAATTTTCTTATGAGGTAAAGATTTTTATTTTAATCTGAAATATTTATTTTATTTAAGTTAGAAAAATTATTAATAAAATATTTAATAAATTATAAATATGAGTAATGCAAAGTAATATTATTTTTCAACTTCATTAGATCTGATGGAGAGAATCCAAAATATATGATGGGGGATGAACCTGTAAGATTTTAAAATTATGTTGGAGGATAGGATGAACAACAAGGTATTTTCATATTCAAATCTTAGTCCCATAATAGGATCAAAATTTAGAATACTATAATGAATACTTAAGACTATATATTGCTAATGTAGTCTTAACGAATTAAGTAAAGTTTTAAATTATATTATAGTTAAAAGAACTCTTGAATGAGAAAAATGAATTAGTGAATAAATTAAACAAATTAGAAGTAATATATATTTTACCTTAATTGTAGCGTCGTAATCAAGAGCTAAATTCAAATGTAGAGGAGACAGGGGAAGAGAGAAAGAAAAGATTAAGGAGACCTGCTTAAGAAATAGAAAGACATTTTACTTGTCCAGTCGAAAATTGTCAAAAAAAATATGGGTATTTTAAATAAGGTTTATCAAACTAATAGAGCTGAAGGATCTCTTAATTAACATATCAAATTAAAACATCCAGAATTAGTAAAAGATAGAGCATTTTATAAATCAAATGAATAATCATAATAATAAGGAGAGCCAGAATCATTATCAGATCTAAAACAAGAATAAAATTAATGACAAATAATTAAATAAATATAAGTTATTTTTATCTTTTTTTTATTCTAAATTCTTTTTTGTGATAAATCAAATATTTCTAATATTTTATTTTTCAATCATTTAAATAATAAACTTATAATAATATAATTTGGATAAAATAATAAACTGACACATATATGTCATTAACAAATTAATATATATAAATTAAATTGAAATTTAATTACGATAATAAATGAATATTGTATAAACATCTTGCATACAACTATTAAAACTAGGTACTATCCCAAACCACGTAGGTGTGATTATGGATGGTAATCGGTATTTTATAAGTTAGATGTAGACGATATGCTAAATAAATGAAAATGGAACCAACAGATGGTCATATCCAAGGATATTAATCATTCTTGAATTTATTGTAATGGGGTTAAAAATTAGGAATAAAAGAAATTAGTGTATTTGCTTTTAGCATTGAAAATTATAATCGATAAAAAGATGAAGTTTAATTTCTTATGCATTTAATGAAATCAAAAATGGACCATTTACATAAAGATCTTAATTTTATTGATAAAAACTAAGTTAAAGTAAAATGTTGTGGAGATCTTGATATTTTACAAGATTAAGAATTAAAATCAAAATTAATTGAACTTGAAAATCAAAGTTCCAAATATTCTTAATATAAGTAATTGTTTTTTTCAAAATTATTTTCTAGATTAAACATTTGTTTCTCTTACAATTTCACAAATGAACTAGATAAAGCCATTTAAAAAATGCCTAAAGGATTAAATAAAAAAGATTTTTTCTAGGAATTAAATTCTCATTTAATGGTACCTAATTCACCTGATATTCTCTTAAGAACTTCTGGAGAAACGAGACTTAGCAATTTCTTACTTTATTAGATAAGAGAAAAAACAGTAATTCATTTTATAGATAAAAAATGGCCAGAACTATCATTTCTAGACTTTTGTAATATGATTTTATTCTATAGAAAAAATAAAATTTGATTATTATTTTAAACATTAATAATTATCTATAAAAAATAGTAATAATAATCAATAATAAATTAATTGGGCAACAGTCATAAAGGTTTTAGTTTATTATCTTAAAGCAACTATAAATTAAGATTAACTCTAATTATAAAAACATTAAGACATCTATGTATAAATAACAAAATTACCTCATGAATTTATAAATCATTTCCTATTTTGAGTTTACATGTCATTATTTTATTTTGAGTCCAATTAATCCAATAAATTGTGCCATCTAATCCAATAAGAACAATTACAGTTAGAAAAATACCTCCAATAAACGATGGAAAAGTTCTTAATCCATAACTTTCAGATACATCAATTATTTTTAATGAATTGCCTGTTTTCCAATTCCAAAGAGTTACATAATTATTTAATAAAGTTACAACTACATAATCTATTCCTTCAACATCCTTTTTAGATTTTAAATAGCTTTTCTCTTAATGACTCAATTTAAATGTTGTAAAATGAACTTAACAATGTTCTGTAAGTCCAAGTTTATGTGATAAAGTTTCATCATCCCATATCCTTGATAAAGGTTAAGGTTAAAATAAACTTCTTATGGCTAATTTTATTTAATTCTTTTAATAAGAACATAATAGTAGATCAAATATTGAATCATGGCTAGGACTAGTTGAAAATTTAAGAGCATTTTTTGATTCTGGTAATATTTTAACCTACTATATACCTGATCCATAAGTAAAATCATAAAGATAATTATTAGAAAGAGGATTTACTTTTAAAATTCCTTTGCTATCAAGTGTTAATACACAAGTTTCATATCCTTTACTATATAAATTATATTTATTTATAAATTGTATTTATTATATGGGATTTATTGATGCATTTTGTATAGTTTTAATTTTTTTAAAATTTGAGTACATATCTATAAATGTTGGTTGCTACCATTTAGATATTAACTACAAATCAGAATCAATATGATATGCTAAATAAAAATCATTTTATAAACATTAATGAAGAATTCCAATAAATTTAAAATTGTGATTATATTATACAATCTAATTTTAATTCAATACACAAATAATCTTACTTTTTGATTAAAATATCTCATCAACTATCATATTTTTATGAATATTTTATATATTAAATGAATGATTTTCTTAACTTGGAACAATATTCCAACTAAAAGTTGCATTATTTTTAAAAGGTAATTAAGAATATTTAGATGGTAAATATGTATCAAAATCCTTTAATCTTACTAAATGACTTAAAATTCTACTTTTAAATTAGTGAAAACCCTATAAATCTATTTAGATTAAATCTAAATAATTATGATTTGTTCCATCATTAGTAATATATGTGTATATATTCTAAATTTCAGAATTACCTGATATTTTAATTGAATAATCCTTTATTATTTAATCAAATGATTCCTTAGAGTAAATGCCAGTTTAGTATTTTTATAAAGCCAAACCTAATTCTTCTAGATTGTATACCAAATCAACTTTTTACCTTAAGTATTCAACATTTTTAAGAGCATTATGGGATAATATTTTCAGTTCTTCAATTAAATAATTCTAGACTTCTCTCAATTTAAATGTAATTTCTCCTAAAAATGTATCAAATATATATTGCAACTGTTATTCAATTTCAAAAGTATTTATTTCGTTTTGACTATTTTATTTGAGAAACTCTAGAACAGGTTTAATCTTGGATTCTGCCCATCTAGGCTGCAATATTGTTATTTTTTTATTTAAATCTTATAAAGGAATCTATTTTAGAATTCAAATGATACTAAAAAGTGAGTTGATGAATGTTAACATAATTCACAAATAAGCCTTGTTTTACATCCTTCTTATAAACAAATATAAGAATATTGTTTTTCAATATGGAATTCACAGTTCATAATATAAATGTTTTATTATTATTTTTTTATAAATCCATTCAAAATATCAGACACAAATCATTAATAGATTAACCATTTTTCCATTTAGATTTTTATCTTCTATCTTTAATATTTTACAATCATTCAAATTTTTAGAATCTTATAATTTCTATACTTTAATCCTTTCTGAAGTTCACCTTTATAACTTAAATATTAATATTTAGTACAATAAGTCTTAAAACAAAAACTCTTCTACTTCATCTTGTTTCAAACCATTTACACAATTTCCATCATATTTTATTTTTTTATTAAATTTATTACACTCTCTCTTTCAAGTTTTCCTTTCTTTTATATTTCTTTTCCAACCATTTTCTTTTATATTAATCTTCCTTTTCCATATTTATAAAGGCTATTATCAATCGTACCATCATAATAAAGATTTTCAGAATAATTTATTATGACTGATTAATTTTAATCTCCTTAACCATCTGAGTTTATAATAATATTTTAGAAATCAATCCATAATTAAGGAATTTTACTAGTGTTTTAAGTTCCTATAATTTATTATCTTCTTCATATTCTACTTACTGATTTTGGTGTATTTTTTTATATACTAAATCTATTAGTACTTTTAGGGAAGTATTTGGATAAATCTAAATTAAAAAGAGAATTATTATAATTTACTAAAAGCTATATTCTAATTATTCTTTTTTATTAGATAATTTAGCTTAAATTAAACGATTTTTCCTTATATTTGTTCTATAAAAACTTTTTCAATAAACTATATTTAAAATAATAAGATAATGTATCTAACTTTAAAATGGAAAATAAGATCGAATTCAATCTGATCATATTTAAAAATTAAATTATAAAACAAAATTAATGTCTAATTGATAGTAATATTTAATTAACTTTGAGTTAGAAATTAATATTATAATTATTTTAAAGATGGCAATTCAAATTTTTTTACTTTTAATAAATTTAGTTTAAGGAGTTGATAACTTTTTTGGATGTCAAGTATCAACGACTGGTTAAATAAATTAGAAGGGAGATTATTAATTTAAAATAATTAGATCAGGAGATTTTAGCAATCATCCAATAAATTTATTAATAAGCTATAAAATATAAATTGATTTTCCTTGGAATATCAATAATGATTATACTTGTTATAATGAAGATAACAGTTTAGTAAGTTGTAGTTATACTTCAAATACAAAAGGAATTGTGAACAATTATTTTGTTAAAGATTATACAAGTTTAGATTATTAAGATTCGGAGGGATTTACATTTTTTATTAATTTGAAATCAGTTTTAAATCCATCATATAGTGGGAGATATGAAAATCCAATTTAAATATCAATAATTAGTTCAACGAATGAAATATTAGAATAGTGTCCTAATGGAGGAGTTAATCCAACAGTAAATCCAGGTATAGGAACATGTTCAGGGGATGGATAATAATCTAAAGTTAATAGCATAAATACTGATATTTCATTAAATATGTTTGTAAAGAACTCTTTGGCTGTAGAAGTATAATTCTTTAGTAAAATAGAGTTACTTAATTGTAAAATATACTCGTTTTTGGTAGAATGATAAAACTACAAAAGAAATGATTCCAGGAATTATTACTTGTTAATTATATGCAAATAACATCTTTATTTCAGGTACAATTTGCTCAAAGGATTCTACAAATTTATAAATAAAATCAAATTTAGGAACTGGTTATAGTGGAACAAATGTATAATATGTATGATATTAGATTACTCTAGTGATTAATGGAGTCAATTCACCATCATCAACAGCTCCTGATGGAAGTTTTATTCTATAAACTTATAATTCGAATAATAAATTAATAGATGAATGTTCGTTAACATAAATAAGTGGATGGTTGCCTAATGTAGTAATACTTAGTAGTATGACATGGACAAATATAGTAAATTAAGTAGAAAGACTAAACGTTTAATTTCAATTAAACACTTAAATATTAGTAGGAGATACTATTTAGATTACTATACCTAAAGAATTGAAAATAAATTCCACAATCTTAACTTAAATAAGAGATACTAGAAGTACTTTCTTTAATACTCCATTATAATCATCAGCATTTACTATTAATGATTAATTAGTCACAATAACATCAAGTAAAGCATTTTCATCTACTCTTACAAACATTTTATTAACATTTTTTAATGTAGTTGCTCCTCCATCTATTAAACCATCTTCAACTATTTAGATTAGTACTTATAGAGATTCTTATGTTATTGATAAAAGTATAGCAAGTTTAACTATTACAGCCTCTAATGGTGCAATTAGATCAGTTTCTATTATTGCTTTAAATACAGTTATTAATTAATTATCTGATTATGAATTTGATATTGGATTAACCAATCCACTTTTATAAGATGGATATTTAAGAATTTAATTTCCTAATTAATTTGATTTAACTTAAATAACTCAAATACAAAACTATTTAATCAATTCTTAATCTTATGATGCTAAATTTAGTGTTTCTAGTCAAAGGTTGATAATATCATCATTATATTCATCTGATATTACTGCATCTACTTAAATAAAATTTAAAATCTCATAAATAAAAAATTAATTCAGTGCTAATATTAGTAATACATTTACAATATAATCATACTATTCTAAAAACAGTGAAGATTTTTTAGTAGATTAACATACATCATATTAAATGAGTTCATTCACATCTGGATCTTTGGATAGTAACTCTATTACAGTATAAGCTGAGTATTATATTACTGGATAGCTTGATAATTATGAAATCAATTTTATAAATACAAATGCTATCTCTGCATTAGGATATTTTATTATTAACTTTATTTCTGAATTTTCTATGAGTGGAAATCCTACTACTTGTTCAGTAAATGGAATCAGTAGTACTTGTTAATCAACTGATAAGAATACTATTAAAATTATTACATCTACAAGTATAAATAGTAATACTAATATTAAATTAAAAATAAATTCTTATATTTATAATCCTATCACTCTCTAATCCTATAGTAAAATTTTGATCATAAAGACATATGATGATTAAGGTTTATTAATAGATAGTGGATAAGGGGGATCTATTTAAATGTTATATCTTTCAACATTTACATTAACATTATTTTAAAGAGTCTCATAAATGAATGGTGTAAAAAATGCATATACTTTCTACATCAATTTTTAAGTCACTTAAATAAATGAAATATATCTTATAATTGAAATTCCTATTGATTTATCTACTGATTTATAATCTTGCTAATCTATTTCCCCATTATAAACTACTCTATCTTGTTCAATTTCAAATTAACAATTGTAGATTCAATTAAGTTGTAGTACTTGTACTTCGATAACCAAAAACATAGATTATAAGATCACAATTAATCAAATAATTAATAATTCTTCATTTAAACCAGTTATCATTTCTAAGGCCTACACTATATAAAATTTATCAAATGATTTAACAAAATAAAGTTAATTAAAAGAATAATTAATAATTACTAATACATAGACTAATACTATTAAGTCATTTACATAATCATATGAATATGGTTATCTAAATTAACTAGATAATTATTCATTTAATATTGAAGTTTATAATTAATTGAATGCTAATTTCAAAATTGTACTAAATGTTCCTACAGATATCAAAGTTTATCAATCAACTGAAGCAACTCCAACTAGTGTTAATAATATCTAAAATTTACCTGATGATGTTTTAGTCATTTTAAATTCCTAGAATATCATTATAACAGGTTATTCTGGATCTAAAATTTCTTAATTTTCTTTTAGAATAATGAATTTATTAAATCCTAGTACTTCATCAATTAGTAATCATTTTACTATAAATACTTATGATATTTAAATCAATAATGAATATTAAATGGATACTGGTCAACTTGGTACATACAATCATAAATGTACTCTACCATGTAAAGATTGTGATTCATCTATATTAACTAAATGTTCTAGTTGTTATGATAGCAATAGAAGTAATTTGGTCTAATAGAAAATTTATTTAATGAGCATTTAAAATACCTGTATAACAGATTGTTACCAAATTGACGGTTATTATGTAACAAGTGGAGATTTTATATGTTAAAAATGCAATCCAGAATGTAAAAAATGTAAAGATGTAAATACATATTGTTTGGAATGCAGCGGAACCTATAAATTCTTAGATAATAAATGTTTAGAGTCATGTCCAAAGACCTATTTCAATAATTAACAAGTTTGTACAAATTGTATTAAAAATTGTGATACTTGTTCAAATACAACTTTCTGTTAAGTTTGTAGTGTTAATTTTTATCTTTATCAACAAACATGTGTTGATGTTTGTCCTGCTAATATTACTATTGCAAATCAACAATTATAAACATGTGATACATGTACTAATAATTGTTAAACTTGTCAAAATCAAACATCATATTGTATAACATGTAAAACCAATTATTATTTATTTAATAATACTTGCATATCTTAATGTTTAGATGGTACATATCCTTATGATTTTTAATGTACAGATTGTCTCAAAAAATGTAAAACATGTAGCAATGCAAATAATTGTGATACATGTGACAATAATCTTTTATTTCATTAAAATGATTGTCTTGATAAATGTCCAGATTAATATTTTGCATTAAGTGGAAAATGCTAATAATGTAATATATCATGTAATACATGTGAGTCTAATTAATATCGATGCACAAGTTGTGTAAATAATACTTTTTTGTATAATAATCAATGTTTAGGATAATGTCCAGATGAATACTATAATGATATTGATACAAATAAATGTATATCATGTAAGATTCCTTGTAAAACTTGTAAATCAAGTACATCTTGTTTAAGTTGTGTAACTTAGACACCAATATTATATTATTATAACAATTCATGTAATACAGATTGTCTCTAATATTATGCTCCTGAAAATGGGTAATGTATTTAATGTAGAAATCCTTGTAAATAATGTACAACAACACCAGATATCTGTAGTGAATGTTATCCAAATACTTATTTATTGAATCAAATGTGTGTCACTGATTGTGGAGAAGGATACTACAAAAACAGTTAAAATTATTAATGTTTAGTTTGTTAAGATCCATGCAAAAGTTGTTCTAATAGAAACGATGAATGCCTCACTTGCAAAGATAATTTATATTTATTGAAAAATAAATGTGTTGATAAATGTTAAGATGGATATTATTAATAAGATTAACAATGTCAACCCTGTTTAAATGTTTGTTAGAGTTGTATTGATAATGTCAGTTGTATATAATGTAAGGACAATCGAATATTATATAATAATCAATGTTTAACATCTTGTCCATAGAATTTATTTGAAGAAAATAAAAGTTGTGTGGGATGTAGACCACCTTGTTTATAATGTGGATAATCTGCTGATGATTGTTTATCCTGTATTTCTACAACATTTTTAAATGAATAATCAGAATGTGTAAAAGAATGTGAAGATGGATATTATGGTGATCAAATTTCAAACAAATGTTTATAGTGTTAAATTCCTTGTAAAACGTGTTCGTCAAGCACCACTTGTTTAAGTTGTATAGATTAGATACCAATATTATTTTATTACAATAACTCATGTAATACAGTGTGTCCAAATAATCAAGTTCCAGAAAATGGAGTATGTGTAAATTGTAGATAACCTTGTAAATCTTGTAACACAACTCCTGATGATTGTATGTCTTGTTTAAGTGATTCATATCTTCGAGGTAATAAGTGTTTGAATATTTGTGATGATGGTTATTATGCAGACACTACAACAAATGAATGTAAATAATGTATATCCCCCTGTCAAAAATGCATTAACCTTACAGTCTGTATTACATGTCTCTAAAGTTAAATTAATAAAATTTTGGTAGATGGTAATTGTATATCCTCTTGTCCTATTGGTTATTATGAATCTAGTGGTACTTGTATTCTATGTACTATTGATTCAAAAGAGAAGACTTGCAATTCCACTGTTGAAGTACTAGAAAGTATTTAAACTGAAAAATTCATACCTTTGCCTTGTACTATTCTTACATTAGTATTTATTACAACTGTTATTGTTGCTAAAATAACTAAGCCTGAAACTTTTATTCCTGGTGCTATAACATCTATTGGAGGTTTATTTGAATGGGGTAGTCATTGTGTCTTATTATATCTAAGCTATTCTGAATGGGGATTATTTAATACTAAAAACTATATTATTATGGGAGCTTTAACTTTTAATTATTTATTCAACTTTGTTCATTTGATATCTACAAGTTGTACTATCTCAAATGATGTCTATTTTTAATAATGGTTAAGTACTAGATAAGTTAATAAAATAACATATGCTATGTTATCATTTATAGGATTTATTACTACCTTTAAAATTAATAAATTATATTTCTCTAGATATTTTGGTTTTTATTTTTTTAAAGCTTGTATTGAAGACATTAAAAAATTTCTTATTTTCAATATCATTTCTTTATTAAGTATTTTCTTAATTACACTGCCTATGGTTATTGCTTCAGCACTTATTTTAAATGAATATGATTAGAAAGATTAACTATATATTTCAACTATTGATTCTATTATTGTCACTTTTATTATCTTTATTTCAATTATATGGGAATCTTAAAAAAATGAAGATTATTTTAAAGATAATAGATCTTAAGCTTTACATTATGTTGTATCTGGATCATATGAATAATAAATAGTAGATTAATCTATAGAATAAGCTAAAATTAATTCTAATAATGGAGAAAATCTAAATTAATAAATGGATTAATCTTAACATATTAATTCAACTAATAATTAAAAGAAATCATTTTTAATTAAAAATAATTCTGAAATTATCATTCCAGGAAAAAAATAAACAGTTGCTCCTGTAGATTAACCATTTTTTAGAACTTAAAATAGTGATTCATATACTAGTGCATAAAAAAAATAATTTGATTAATTTATCCAAAACAAAAAAACTATCAAAAATTCAGATGATTAGTCACTCAATTTATCTTCTATTGAAGAATAACTTTAACATCCTCTTAATGAAACTTCATAAGATAAAGAATTTTTCAATGATTACAAAGTATTATAATTTCAAAATCCAGAAGAATTTCAACAAAAATTCATTTAAACTGAATCATAACAAGATTTAGATTTTTCTTCAGAATTAGATTGTAATAATTTAAATTTAAAATAAAATCAATTAAAAACTCCATAAAATAATACTCTCAAAGGTACTGCTTTTAAAAAAAGAAATAAAACAATTGAAATTGTTGTAGATCAAATGAATTTTGATTAAACAGATTAAAATTAAATCTAAAATAGTTCTTAATTAAAAAAATAATAAGAAAATAATTAAGAAGAATTGCTTAAATTAAAATTAGAAGAAGAAAGACAAAAAATTATCAAAGAGGAAGAATTAAAGTTAGAGTAATTAAGAGAAGAATAAAAATTAAAAGAAGTAATGTATTAAGAACAATTATTACAAATTTAATTAGAAAAATAAAGAATTGAGGATGAAAAAAAATAAATAGAAGAAGCTGAAAGAATTAAGGCTGAAGAAATAATTAAAGAAACTTAAAAAAGAGAAAGATAAATATTATTGGAAAAAGAGGAAAAAGAACGATTGTGGGTATCTTAATTAGAAAAAGAATAAAGATAAAGAACATTATAAGAACAAAGAGAAATTGAATTAAAATAAGAATTAGAAAGAGAAAAATAAGAAAAAATTAAATTTTAACAATAATTACAAGAAAAACTATTAAGAGAGTAAGAATTTGAAAAATTAGAAATAGAAAAAAAAAAAAATGCTGAAATTGAAAGATTGGAAATACAAAAATAAGAGGAAATAAGATTAGAGCAATTAAGAATTTTTAAATAAAAAGAACTAGAATTATAAAAATAACTTTAAGAATAAATCAAAAAAGAAAAAGAAGAACATGAACTAAGAAAAATATAATAGTAAGAAACTTAAAGATTATAAGAAGAGTTATTAAGAAGATAAAAACAAGAAGAATTAAGATTAAAATAAGAAGAAGAAATTAGATAATAATAACAATTATAATTAAGATTATAAAGAGAAGAAGAATAAAGAAAACAGTAATAAGAGGAAGAAAACAAAAAAAAACGATTAGAAGAAGAACAACAACAAAAAAGACAAAAAATATTAGAAGAAGAAGAAAAGCAAAAGTTTAAACAATTAGAAGAAGAAGAAAATAAAAGACTTTAATTATTAGAAGAAGAAGGAAAGAAAATGTTTAAATTATTAGAAGAAGAAGAAAATAAAAGACTTTAATTATTAGAAGAAGAAAAATAAAAAATACTAAATTTTTCTGCTTAAGATTAGAAATAATAATAATCTCTCTCATTTATTGATTTTGATAATAATGTAGAATAAATTTCTTAAAATAATGATGGAAATAAAATCAAGAAATAAATATTTTTATAATTAGATGATCTTGAGGAGGAATTTGGACTTCAAAAAAAATAAAGATTGGATAATATTTCTATTGAATTTGCTGAAGAAAATATTTTATAATAAGATGATTAATCTGGTTATCAAAATACTGATTACTTGAGATAATTTGAGATGAATGATCTAAGATCTATATTTTAGCCTAGAATTTCATCTTAAAGTATCAATGTTAGCCATTCTCATAATAATCCTTAGTAAATTCATAAGACAATTTAAGATCTTCATAATTCAAGGCATTTTTCAGGAGTTAATCAACATTAATTTATTCCTAAAAGGAAAAATTCAAATGTCCCTCTTTCAAATTAATAAAAACTAGATATTCCAAAGAGATAATCAAAATCATCTAATCATCATAATAAAATTAATTAATAAAGTTAAAATAGAGTTTTAGGAACTCCTACAAATTATCATTAAAATACCATTAATTTTATTGGTAATGCTTATAATACTTTTGCCCCTAAAACAGTTTTAAATAAAGAAAAAGATGAACGTTATTTAAGATAAAAGGAAGAAATTTATTTATAACATATTCCTAATTATTATGAAAAATAAGTCTTAGAAAATTTAAAAAAGAAAAAACAATAATAATAATAAAAGAAAAACATAAGAACCAGCTAATATAAACAATTTGAAGTAGCGGATGATTAACATTTAGATTTTTGAATAATTAATTTTGACATTAATAATATTAATTTAATTTTCCTTTCTTTTTTTTTATTACATTATTTATAAATTCTTTATCTAATCACTTATTCTCCTATTAAAATATTTTGAAATAAAAAATAGATCTGTTGAATAATTTAAAGAATTAACAAAAAAATATTGAAAATTTTTGTTTAGTAAAAGTATAAAAAAATTCTTAATTTTATATTAGATTTTATATTAATATCTGTAATAATTGTTCAATCGCTTTCAATTGTGAACATTCTGAAGGTACCTAATGCAACACTTCCTAAAAATTGATAGAATTCTTCCTAAAAAATAAGAAAGGAAATTTTACTTCAGTTTTGAATGAATCCTCTTATTATAGGTGTCTTCTATAATTTCTAATTGGTCTGAGAACATTTCTTTCAAGCTTCCTATTGAATGGTGGAACAAATAAATATCCAACAGTTACAGCACCTGCTGTTCCTAATGCTATCTTAGCCAATACCATTTTATTTAATAAAATATATAAATAATAATTAAATAATTTTCATTTTTCTTCTATTTTAGCCATAATTCCTAAAACCTATTCTATTAATTTTAAAAATTCATTTTCTGAAACTCTGCCATCTCCATTATCATCAAATTCTTTTAATATTTCATCCATTTCTTCTGATGATGGTCTATCAATTTTTAAAATATCAGCACAATTATTTAGAATTGTTATAAGTTCTCTATAATGAGTATATAACTTTAAACTTTCTTTCTAAAAAGCCACTATCATCCTCATCTAAAGCATTGAAGGCAATTTTTGTAATTTTTTTAATTCTTTAAGTATCGTTTAGAATTTCTCTAAAACTCATTAAAAATAATTAATTAATTATTTATGGTAAAAGCCTATTTTGGATATAAGTTTGATACTCTTTTTGGTAGTATAAGTAACAATGGAGGAGTAATAATCAATGATATTGCATATACAATAGTAGATTAATATTTACTTTTAATAAATATCAAGACATAAGAGATAATTTAATAAATAGTAATAGATGGTAAAAATATAAAAATAACAAAAATTGCAATTAAAGAGAATACTATAGCTCTTGGATATCATGATGGTGAAATAATAATATATAATATTATTGATAAAGAAACTTAATGCAGATTTTTTAACCATTAAAGTGAAATAAGTTAATTAGTATTTTTAAGTGAGACTATTTTAATAAGTGGAAGTTGCGATACTTCTATAATAGTATGGGATTTAGCTGATTAATCATTATAATTTAGATTGATAGGACATTCAAATTAAATTACTGCTTTAGAAATAATTACACTTGAAGATTAAAGCTTGGCATTTACTTAATAATTTATTGTTTCAGGTAGTAAAGATGGATTAGTGAAAATATGGGATTTGAATCTTGAATGTTCTATATCTACATTATCAAGTATGCATAGTGAGGTTACATGTTTATGTGTTTATGAAAATTATTTAATTATTTGTACTAATTCTGATGAAGTTCTTATTAAATAATGTTAATTGAATTCAGGAAAATGTTAAATTGAAGATGATGGAATCATTAAGAGGTAATCTTTTATTAGAGCTATTTAATGTCAATATATTTAATAAAAATTACTTATTCTAAGTAAAATTTTATAATTATTTTAGATAATGAAAAGAAAATTGAAGTTTATAAATCAAAATAAGGAAAAAAACTTTTAAAAGCAGAAAATTTTAGCTAATCTTTAATTTATAGCACTGTCATTTCATAATTAAACAAAATAGTTTATTTTTAAGCTATTGTTTATAAGAATCTATTAAAAATATTTATTTTTACATCAGATAATCAAATAGTGATAAAAGAATTAATAAATGATAATATTGATGAAAATAATAATATTGTCATTTAATAAATTAATGGATAAATAAAATAAATTAAATTAACTTAGAATGATAATAAATTAATCTTAATTGCATCAAATAAATGTTATTAATTTGATAATGAAACTGCTTAATAGCTTAATAGTATATCAAATACAAGTAATTATACTTCTCTATGTATTTTACCAAAAAATAAGTACTTTATGGTTGGAGATGAGAAAGGAATCTTATATTTAGTTGATATGAATTAAAATGAAATTATTTTTGAATAAAAAATACATAATTCAAATATTAATAGTATTGAATGTCATGAAAATTGTAAAGCATTTAATGGTTTAGTAATAATGACGACTGAGATAGATAAAAAAGTAAATTTTGTAGAGTTATTTTTTAATAAAACATAGAAATGTTTAGAATTTTAAGTAGTTAATACAATATATTTAAAAGAAAATATAAGAAGTGCTTAATTTTCATATGATGGTAATTACTATGCATTTGCTTAAATGAATAATATAGTATCAATTTATTATTGTGATTCTCATAAATTGTATTTAGAATTATATGGACATTCATTACCTGTTTTAACTTTTGCATATACTTCAGATGATACAATAGTAATATCAGCTGGTGCAGACAAAAGTATTAAATTATGGGCAACAGATTTTGGAAATTGTAAGAAAACAATTAAAGCACATATAGCAGAAATTATTTAAATTAAAACTGTTAATGACACTCATTATTTTTTTAGTGGATGCAAAGATAATATTATTAAATATTGGGATGGAGATACATATTAATTAATATTATAGTTTAATGAAGCATTAACTGGAATATAATCATTAGTTATTGGATGTATAGGAGATTTATTTTATTCAGCAACTAAAAATGGAGTCATCAGAAAATATGTTTAAACTAAGGAATAAATTTTTGTTTCTGAAGAGGAAGAAAAGAGATTACAAGAATCACTAATGTAAGAATTATAAAATAAAAATAAATAACAAACTGGATTTGATTTAGGACAAGATTAAGTGAAAAAAGATTTAACTCTTGTCTAAATTGGATAATAAAAATTATTGGAAACTGAATAATTAATGGATATATTAGAAAAAATTAAATAGTATCGAGAAACTATTGAATTAGGTGAAATTCCAAATGAAGATCTATTTTACAATAAGAATATTACAGAGTATTTATTTGATAATCTTTAAAATTCAGACTTAAGTTCTCTAATGAAATTCTTACATCATTAACATTTAATAATTTTAATAAATGAAATGAATTAAGATATTGCTTTAAAATAATATCCAATTATCATAAATAAGTTAATAACTTATATTTTTAATAAGATTGATGGATTTGGATTTAATTCACATGAAATAATGATGAAAGTTCTCAACATAAGAACTTAATTGCAAATATATTTTAAAAAGGAAAAGAAGATTACTGGATATAATCTTGATATCCTTAATTTAATGATACAAGATATAAGTAAAAACTAGGATGATTTTATTTTTGAATGATTGATTAATTTATTTGTTTATAATATGATGATGATGATGTGGATAATTTCATCTAATATAAATTTTTATTATTAAAAAATAAAAGAAATGAAATATAAATAATGTATTTAATTATTCTGGTTGTACTAATTAAATGCATGTTGATTCACTTATAGTATAAATTATTTAATAAAATTCATTAGTTACAGCACTGATTTTGATGTACATAGAAATTGGATGAGAATTACAACAGAATAACCAATTAATTAATGGTATTATGATGAACAATCTATTTGGACTCTTGATTATCCTCCTTTGTTTGCTTATTTGGAATATTTATTTGGTAAAATTGCATTATTGATTGGAATTGACTTATACAATATTACAGACTAATTAGTATGGTTTTAAAGAATTACTGTAATAATATCAGAGTTTTTATACTTTTATGCAGTCAAATATTAACAAAAATCGTTTACAAAATAGTTTATTGATATGATACCATTTGGATGTTTATTAATTGATAGTAATAAAATAAATAAATATTAATAGATATACATTTTTAATACAATGGATTCTTATATGGTATTTTATTGTTTGTTTGTTATAAATTACAAAAACAGTAGTATTTATAAGCCTCTCTATTGTATGTTATATTACTTTCCTTTAAGCATATATACATTTATGTATTGCCAGCTTTTGGAGTTATTTTGTTGAAAAATTGTCAAATCAAATAAATAATCACTATGGGTATTTTTTCAGTGTCTCTTGTTATATTGATTTTTTTACCTTTTTATTAAGATTTATTTTAGATTTTAAAAAGACTCTTTCCTTTTTAAAGAGGACTTGTTCATGCTTATTGGGCTTAGAATTTTTGGAGTATATATTGTACAGCAGATAAAATTTTAGGAATTATTTTTAAAGTTAATAAAGCTTCAACTGCTTCTGGTGTGGTTTAGGAAACAATTTTTAATGTGTTACCTTAAATAGGTAATTTCACAACTTTAATAATTATTGGATTTTTATGTTTAGTATGTTATTAATTAATTTTAGATTTTGTTTAGAAAAAAATATAAAAATATATATGATATTTTTACTATTTCTTCATTGATATTTTTTAATTTTGGATATCATGTACATGAAAAAGCTGTTATGATTCCATTAATTTTATAATTTGTTTAAATGAAAAATCCTAACTTAATTTTTATGGCCTCATTTATAAATGGTATTGCATTATTACCATTAATTCCTACTTAATATGGTAAATATAATAATTTAAATAGAATAACCAATACTTATAATATTATTAATTGTTTTACATTTGATATTCTATGCCGAATATTAGATTAAATTGAATGATATAGAAAAATTATATCTCTTATTAGGAGGTCTAATAATTCTATATGATCGTTTATTTCACAATTTGTTATTAGGAGGGAAATTAGAATTTTTACCTTTAATAATGTATTCATTATATGGAAGTTTGTTTAATTAATATTGGCTCATATAGTAGATTAGATAGAAAGATGATTATTATGTAAAATTGTGTTGAATTATTATTAATATTATAAATATAAAAATGAAATCTTGTTACATTTAAATTGATAAATATATGATATATACTCAAAAGTAATTAGTTAAAGGATAGGTGGAACAGTTTTCTTAGGATTTATGCCAAATGAACTGGGGATAAAGAAAATATTTTTATTATTAAGGAAATCCATGTAAAAGCTTCTTCTGAAGTAAAAGTATCGTTTTAATAAAAAATAAATGTTTTAAGAAAATTAAATCACTAAAATATAGTTGTTTTTATAGATGCAAAAAAAAGAAGAATTTATGTATTTAGTTAAAGAATACTGTAATTAAGGTGTTTTGGATGATTTTATTTTGAATCACAATTTATCAGAATATGTTGTTGTCTTCTTTAGATAAAATGCAGCAGTATTCAAATATTTAGTAATCAAAAAAAATAATTCATAGAGATATTAAACCATAAAATTTATTTTTACATTATGGGTAAGTGAAAGTTGCGGATTAACTAAAGTTATGGATTAATCAAATTAAAGTGGAAAATTTTAAACTTTTAGTGCAATACCTGCGTGTATGTCTCCTTAAATAATTAAATCAAAATCTTATAATAGTTTAAGTGAGATATGGTCTTTAGGAGTATTTAGAGAATATCATTGGAAAGAAGTCATTCCATTAAAGTTATTAAAGAAAATCTAACATAAAAGAATATATTTTATTTAATTATTTAAACTTTTGTTTTAATCTAATACCTGAAGGATGTACATTATCAGAACCAACTAAAGATCTTTTAAAAAGCATGCTTGTTATTGATGAAAATAATAGAGTTTCTTGGTAAGATTTCTTCAATTATAAAGCAATTAAAATTGAATAAAATCCTTAATTTACATTATCAAATTAAGATACAGATGAAGATTTAACATTAAACAATTTCTTAATTGAAAGTACAAGTCTCAGTTTATCAAATAAAGAATAAGATGAAATGTAAGCATATGGAAGAAGATATACATTATAAATCTAAAATTTAATACTAGAAATTATTTGGCTCATTAAAACATTTTAAATAGAGCCTAGAGAAGCAAAAGATCATTTAGATTCCAAATATCTATAGATATCATTTTTTATAAGTTGAAAGTCAAAAAAAAATTGTTGTACATTTAATGCAAGTTTTTACTATAAGAAAGAATTTATTTTGTCTTTTCATCATTAAATCAAATGCTATTAATTGATTGCAATGAATCAGGAATCTTAGAATTTGATCCACAAGATTGGTTAGAATTAATGACATCTGAATATCTTTAAAATGATTTATAAAAAAATAGATAAAGTACCTAAAGAGATTTTGAAATATCTAAAAAAGAATTTAAAAAATGGAAAGAATAATTATATGATGCTTAATTTTAATTAAAAAAGTTCTCTATTATTGAAAGAGGAGTTGCTTAAAGTATTGAAGAAAATGAATATTTAATTATGGCAATTAATAATAATTTCAAAGAAATCTTTTTAATTTTAGCATAATAATTAGAACCTATTTATTTATAAATATTAGAAACTAAAAAACCTATTAACAAACACTAAATATACAATGAAAAGAAAATTGATACCATTTTCATCTATGATATTCATATGTTTCAGAAATATTGTTAAAAAGCCTTAATTAGATTGTTGAATACAAATAAATTTTTAAAGATATTATGAAGATAGGAAAAGAAAAGAAGAAATAGAACTATTACATAGAAATTTAGAAGAAGTATTAAGCTTGGAAGTAAAATTGAATTTATTATTTTTTTATAATTAATTTATTTTTTTGCATAATAGAATTTCAAATTTGCAATTTGGAATTAGAAAAAATTTAAGTTGTTTAAAGTTGATACAGAAAGTATATAATAATTAATTAGGAAGTGGAGTTTTGTATCAGAATTTTTTTAATTTTTAAGATAATGATGATAATTTAAATATTTAATATTTATTAATAAAAATGTTTAATCAAACCTTTAAGTAAGATTTCATGATCCAAATACGTTTGAATAATTCAATAAACTTATGTATTAAACTCATTGATTAGTTTTGAAAAGAGAATTACGATATATTTGTAAAGAAAAAAAATAATATATATAATTATTAATAATGGATTTAGTAAAAAGCAATGAGGAAAAAACGAAAATAATTGTAATAAAATTTGTAGTAAGAAATTTTCTGGAGAAAAAGGAGATCATTTTTCTTTCTTGATCAAATGAGCCTCAAAACAAAATATTAATATAAATTATATTTGATAAAATTAATCAGTGTTATAATATAATTCTTCACAAATCTTCGCTTTAGCTAATTACTATTAAATTTGTAATTAATTATGACTTTTAAAAGGGCATTCATAATTGCCAGTTTTAAGTATTAATCATTCATTTTAATATTTACTTCTTATGACTTCGATACATTCTTTGATTTCATAAGCTAAACAATAAGACTTATAGAATAAAAGGTCTTCCAAAATTTTACAAAAACCCATAGCCAAATGGAAAAATAAACTTGTCAAATCAAGTTAATGTAATAACGATTCAATAATTTAGCTCATTTTATGTAAAGAGACTAAGGAGAATAGATATATTAAATTGTACATTTAGATAGAAACGTAGAATCAAACTAAAACATTGGATATAAATATCGATCATTAGGAGCATTATTTATTGACAATTTTTTGATGAAGGGTAAAATTTTAGAAAGGTAATATGAAAATCATTCAGTTGAATATAAGCTTTCATTTTTTACTTAAAATACTGGAATCTATAGTAGAGATAATTTAGAATATGATAAAATGATGCATTTTTATAAACTATTACGATACGAAATGATCACAGAAAATAACAGAAATACTTATGAAGGTAAGATTAATAGACCTTATGAGTGTTTTAATTTTTTATTTATTGATGGAAAATTAGATGGAATTAAAAAAAAAATGAATTATGATTTGCTTAGAATTATGGGTATTAATGAAGAAATGATAGATGATTATATTTAAAAAGAGAATCAACTGCCGATATTCTGGGATATTTCTAAATTTGTTAATATAAACGATGGAATTTACTACAATTCTAATTTAATAAATTTTCAAGGAGAAATTTTCACTTCCCAAATATAAATCAAAAGATTCATATAATCAAATTCTAGTTAAAAGATATCGAATTAATTTCTATATTTTATTTACAATTGTGATAGAAGTTAATTAAATGTTAATAAAATTGAGAAAAATTTCTTAAGTTATTTTTAGTTGTAATCCCTCTCTATTAAATAATAAATGTAAATACAGAAATCTAGAATAATGAAACCATGCCTTTTTAAGCCGATAATAGACTAAAAATGAAATGATTATTTATTTAAAAATATTATAATTAATATATCATCTATTTATTAGCGATATTAATACTTAATTTTAAATTGTGATTTTTTTATAATGTTATTAATTTATTATCTAAAACAGCCCAATATACAAAAATATTCATTCATTTGATTTTAATATTTGCCCATGCTCAGCTGTATAAAGCGGGCGACTTGAACTAAAAGTCGAGTGATGAAATCCAATTAGACTTGATTCTCTATAAGTATTGCTCAGATACATATTTTTCTCTTTGATTTATCTGTTTTTTGTCTTGAAAAATTATCTTATCATTTTAAATCGCATTTATATTCTCTCTTCTTATTCTTTTCTTAACATCAAATAAGGTTTCAAACATGCATATTAAATATTAACTTTTGGAAATTTAAAAATAATTAATTTTCTTAATGAATCTAATTATAAATTTAATCTTTAAAGATAAACAACAAAAATTCTTTTTAATAATAATACTGTCTATTTGTAAATTAGAAATAAAATAATAATTTATGTTGGATAATTTAAATAATTTATTTCTTCTTACTAAATTACGTATAATAAAAGACTACAAATTAATGTGATTGATAATAAAAAGGAAATTTTCCCATCAATTTAACTTATAGATTATAATTTATAAGGTTAAATTTCTAAACAAAGTTTATAGTAAATTAAGACAATAAGAAACATAAAAATACCCTTTATTAAAATTTATTATTCAAAATAATTAACAATTAAAATTATTGATATCTTTTGTAACATTTTCAAAATCTCCCAATAATATGATTTAGATGTGTATTCATTATATAAGAATGAAAATTTTTAAATGGAACTTCTATCATCTAAAAAATTTTTAATTTTTCTCATTTAAAAAAATAAAAAAGCAGGAATTAGTAATCCGATAAAAATTAAAATTGGATAAATAAATCTTTACGACCAAATTCTATGTGAATCAGTATCAAATTTACTAGCAACATTAGCTTATATCCAATCAATCCCTGATAAGTGACGTTTTGTAATTAAAGAAACTCCCCTAAAATAATAAAAATAAATAATATTACCATTTCATAATATTTTATAAATTTAAACAGTATAAATAGATTATAGAGGAAAAGATATATGATTTTGAAAATGTCACATATTTTTTAATAAGTATGATTAAAAACAAAAAGGAACAACAAGCAAAATGAAATAAAGGTAACAACAAAATAATTATAAAATGAGTATATTCATATTGAATAGTAACTAAGGAAGGAATAGAGCAATCTAATTGATAAGTTACTAAATAAGTGGAATCTCCTAAAAATAAGACAATATTTGATAGATTTGAAAATATAGTTATTTATAGAGTGCTAATTAAAGATAATATTTAAAAATTATTATTAGTCATTTTAATTAGAGTGCTTGTTTAATCCATCATTTATTTGTAAATGGTTTGATAATGACGATATAAACATTTAAATTTAAATAATTATTTATTTGATAATGTATTACTTCTAACAGTTAAAATAATTAGTAACATGATCCATAGAGATTCTAAAATCATGAATATTAATTAGAGACTAAATCTTCCACATTTTTAGCAATAACTTTCTTTGTTATTTAAATAAGATCCTTGCCCTCTAATATTAAATAAATCGCATTCTTCACATAAAGCTCCATGTGATCCAATGGCACATGAATTATCAGATACATCCCATCCACCAAGACATCTAATTGGATATTTATTACATTTCTCAATATAATTAGATCTAAAAGAGGGTCTCCAATAACCTGGCTAAAGCTCTATCATAGCACCAGTAGTGTTTTTAATCATTTAGATATTCATTCTAGAACATGATGTGCTTTTTACTTCAACTGAATAAAATCCCTAAATATTATCACATTTTATGCATTTCTAGCTCTCAAAATATTCTCCAATTTGGCAAACAAAAGTTTTTAAATAGAATCTCATTTAATATTCTTTACTTACAATACTATTACATTATATATCAACTTATAAGTAAGATTAATCAGATAAATAAGGATCTAAAATAAATATCAAATCATTAAGATCATAATTTTATTCAAACTCATTAAATATTATACTTTTTATTTCAGAATTATTTGATAGTTAAATTAATTTATCTAAAAAGATTTGGCTTACATTTAATAGACATTTAGTCTGCTTTAAATCAAAAATTTATTCATTCAGACAATTCATAGATTAAAGTATATAGCTATAATTTAAAATAGTATAGGAACTTGTTTTAAAATTAAATTTTTAGTAATTACTTAACGAAATTCCACTAGGCATATAAATAAATTTTGCTGGTTTTGATTTATTAAAATATTTAATAATCTATATAGTCTTATTTCCTTCCTTCAGATTTTATTTAATTGTAGGTTTATTATTTATTTATAATTATAGTTCAGTTGGTTCTGTTGCAATATTATTTGCAAAATAATATGCCTTGTTATCGATTAATAAAATGGTCATCAAATTTAAACTAAATAAGGTTTTATCATAAATTGCTCCACCTATATCAGCTTGATTACTAATTAAACTTACATCCTTAAATTCTAATAATTAAGAGTTATCTACTGTTTTATAATATATCGCTCCTCCAGAAACAAGAGCATTATTTGATAAAAAAACTGATTTGTGAATTTTTAATCTGAAATTAGATAAATTTATAGCCCCTCCATTTTAAGCAGAATTATGAGAAAATATTGATTTGGTTATTAAGTGAAAAATTTAACTAATAATCGAATTCAAACATAAACATGATCCTAAACCACAAATATTTTTAAAAAATTATAAATTAATTAAATTAATCTTGTGGACTAATTATTTATTGTTAATATAAAGTAATCCTAATTAGCAAGCTTTACAATTATTATTATACAGTTACATAGACACAACTTAAGCTGAAGTAATATTGTTATTAAGATCTATTTCTACTAAGGAACTGAAATTTGTTATATCATTTGTATTAAAGATATTCAGGTTTATTTTTTCTATATTATTAAACTTATTTATTTTATTCATATCAAGTTCATTAAAATTACTAATAAGAGTTGACTTTATATAAAGAGCCGATTTCACAGCTAAATATGATAATTAAATCAAATTACATGATAAATTTTCAATATAAATAAGATGACTTAAAAAAGAATTTAAATTGTATACCACTATTCTTTCCAAATAGAGTCTTTTTGCAAAAATAAGATAAAGAATTGGTTAAGCAAAGTATCCAGATACCTTAAAATCATACAAGGATATTACTCTAAAAATAATAGAATATATTTGTACACATTTTGAAGAGAAAACATAGCTGATTCTTGATATATCTAATAATTATTTAAATCTATTGAATAACTTTTAAAAAATAAAAGTAATTGTTAAAGTGAATTTTCTATTTCTATGTCAATTAATTCAATAGAAGAAATAGAATCAATATTTGTATTACTTACTTAGAAGAAAATTGCTGAATAGAAAACAGCAAAGACATCTTTAAATGTAACGTTTTATAATTTTAATTGACATTGATATTTGGAAGGTTTGATATAAAGGACACCTCCTTTTAAACCACTAGTAGAATTCAAAAAAATAGAATCTTTAATAAATAAATTTAAGTAGGAATTTTCTGAATTGATATATATACTTCCACCTCTTCCTTCTTAGCTTCTTTAAACATTAGTTGATGAGTTATTAAAAATTGTTGTCTAAATATCTATCAATCCAAAAAATTTAGTTGTTATACTTACCACTCCTCCCTCTAATCCAATTATATTTTCAAAATGACATTGTTTTATAATTAATTATTAAGTTTAAAAATTAAATAAGCCACCTTAAGAGTTTATAAGAGCAGAAGCACCTAATAAATCAAATTATAATATTTATTCTTATTAATATTTATTGATGTAAGATTAAACTTAATTTATATTTACACTTGTTATATTAAGTAATATAGTTTAATAAGTTTATATTAAGAAAATTGAATTACTTGAGTTCAAGACAACAACATCATTAATTTAATTTTGTTCTAATTAGAGCATACTTAATTCTGAAACAATTACAGCAATAGCAGCAGAAGAAATTTTTGTATCTTAAACAAATTCATTGAGAAATATTCCATTAAATTGAGAATTTGTAATGAATATATTTTATTTAATCAAGCTTGTTATATAAAATATAGTTGAAATTTCTGAAAATGATACTTTAATCAATTGAATATTCTCAAAGATTATATTTTAGATTTTTAAGCATGCATCTAATTTATCTTGCAATTTTATTAGATTTAATTAAAAAAAAATCACATTAACACTTAATTAATCTTATAACACTATCTGATTTAATTTTATTATCTATGCTTCAATTATGAAAATAGTGTTTAAAGATTATTCCTTTATTATATTCATATTTGATGAAATTTTTGTTATATTTGAAATTATTTTAACTTCTGAAATGGATACATATTCACAATTCTTTATAAAAAATTCAATAGACCCTGGTTGTCTAATCAATTTAATATATTCCATTATAATCTGAGTAACTTGAAATTAAAAAAAATAGAAATTAAAATTTAAGTTTTAATTAAGTGAATGTAAGTTGTATATTTAAATATTTTTTAAAGTTACTCTTATATCCTCAAAACTATATTAGGGAATAGATATAATGTTAAATTCTTAATAATAACAGTCAAAAATTTAAAGATTTTCAAATGAATATTCTTCCTTAGTATAAGAAATAAGTGATTTAATTTTATGAATAATTTTTGAATTAGAAATAAAGCTATTACACACTTTAATATTTTAAACAAATGCCTTGGAAGATAATCTAATTAAATCACTATTATAAAATTGAACATTTTAGAGATCTATATCAATGATTGATGTCATATCCGTAATTGGTATAGTGATAAGAGCTGAATTTCTAATTAAACAATTTTTTATAACTAAATTTTAAAGTCTAAAATTGCCCTTTAATTCTAAACCAAAATTATTAATAAAATAACTCTCGCTAAAATTACAATCTATAAATTTCAATTAGATTATAGAAATGTTATGATATTGATTCATATCTAAGAGACTTAAGAAATTAGTTTAAGAGAATGAGCAATTCTAAAATGTTACATTCTATAAGATTATGAAATCAAGTTATGTAATTGATTTATTAATATTTGTTAAATTTAGAAAAGTAGTATTAAATAAGGCAATATTCTAAAAGAGAACATTAGTGAAATTAATTTGGTTTGGATTTTAAACAGCAATTTAATAAGATCTTTCAACAGTTGTTGTGTCAAAAATTTCATAATAATTACTAAAAGTGGTGTTTGTATCCTAAAAAATACAGTTTTCAAATAAAAGGCTAATTATACTAAGTGACTCAAAAACTAACATGGAGGATTAAGTTTAACTAAAAAGGATACTTGTTTGTTTAAATTAGATTTCTTAAAAATTTAGAAATCTTAGCTTTCCAAAAATGAAACCATAAGAAATGTTTTAAGAATAATAAATAAGTTTGGAAGTTCTAAGGCTAAAGATTAAAGAAATATAATTATTAGGTACATCATGTAGATTGAAAAATGATTATTCGACCAAATTTGTAGAACTAGAGTTGATAAAAAAAGTAAATCCTGAACTACTTCTTAGATTATAATATTTTTGGTTATTTGATGATTCAAGTTGTATTTGATTTGTATAAAAGTTTTTAAAATTTGTAAAATTCTTAATGAATTAAATTAATAAATACTTAAGAATGATGTAATTCACATTTTGGCACTTCTAAAGAGCATCTTCTAGGTAATTGTAATCGATTATCAAAAAATATATAATTATGAGTAGTTGATTTTTGAAGACATCTGTAAGTTAATTCTTTAGTAAGAGTAGTTGTAATTAGGTAAGGATTAATTAAATATATTTCCTAATTTTACCTAGGTTTGCAATATTCACAAAAATATGGACAATCCGAACATTTTAAATTAAGAATAGTAAGTCGTTTAGTACCTTCATTAGTAGATGAACAAGTTCTGCACCCTTTGTCATAAAATTCACAATTTTATGAGTCAGCTTATTAACATAAAGTATCTGAAACTATATCATAAGTAGTGATGCATTTTTTAACTCTTAATTTTAAAGAGTCTAAGATTTAGGATCCAGGATGTTATTTTGTTAAACTAAAAATGAAAGGAGTCAATTAAAGTTTAAATAAAGGTTCAAACCATTAGTATTACTCACATTCTTAATAAACAGAATTATAGTCCAGACAAGACATACACAAACCATATTAATAATGTAAATAGTATCCAGATTCACATTAAATACAGTAATATTAATTCGATTGAATTTTTATACAACTCAAACACTTCGTTAAATATTATCTGCAATCTAAAATAGAATTACTTAATGAAAAATTTTAGTCTATTATACAAATTTCTTTGCCTTATTGATTTATGTAATAACTTTAACATGAAATTCCTAAGGGATATACATTCCTCTCACATTACTCAGATACAAAATTAAAAATGAATCCATTCTTACATAAAGCACAAGCAACTGATAAATCTTCTTGATCATAATTAAATGGTTAATGTTAAAAGATAGTATTATAATTAATATCAGATTTCAAATATTGAAAACAATACTTACAATTTGGAATTTAACATGGATAACAATCATTCTATTCCATATTTAAGAAATAATTATCATTATCATAACATTGAGTACATTTATTTGGTTAAACTTACTAGCATCTTGGATAGAGAACTTAAGTTGGATAATTATCTAAACAAATTAATTATAAATTAATGTAAACACATTTTTAGCAACTTGATTAACATGATTTGCATTCTCCATCTAACATAATTGCATCATATTTACAAATCACCATTATTTTTTATTATAAATGATAATAATTACTTTATTAACAATCACTGGCATATGGATAACTTAAACACAAATTATTACAAAAGGAACAAAAACTTAATTCTTCATTATTAAACAAATAAATTGCATAAGGGTCCAGATTTATTGAAAGTATTGATATTGGCACTATAATATCTTATGTAAATGTATTATTTTCACTATTATTATACTGTTGATAATTCATTGTACAAATTGGATTATAGACCCAAGAATTTGGATATTAAATGCATTCTGGACAAAAATACAGCTTTGTTAATTTAGGACTAAAAATTTTTAATTAAATTACCATGCATAACATACATCCTCATACTTAAAATATCCATAACTACAAACTATAATTGGATATTCTAAATCATATTCTTTCTTTGTTGATAATTATACTAAATTGTCTTATACTGTTGAGGTTGAAACTTAATAACATGAATTTACATTTATATCTAAATATCCAGGTTTACAGATGCATTTAAAATCAAATGATAATTATCTATTTGAAGCCGTTGTGCAACTTAAACACTAATTTAATTAAGGTCCTGTGCATGTAGAACAAGAATAATGACATTTTGGTGTATATGTTGTCAGACAAGTATAGAAATAAGCTAGATTAAATTAACCAGATGCAATGCTTCTATCAGCAAGTGTTCCCCCTAAATGAATAATTAGCATTAGATCTGAAAACTAATTAACATTTGTGATTGTTTTTGAAAATTGATAGTTTTATTGCACAAAATTTAAATTCAAAGATATCTAATTATTTCTAAATGAATATGAAAAATAATGCCAATTATAAAGAGAATATTATACGCCAATTTAGTAGGTAACAATCTTTTCTAATGGATCACCAGTATTCGATAATTTAGGTATTGAAGGAAATGAAAATGTTTAGTAGATAATCTCAATCACTTAAATTGTTGAATTTATGAAATATGCTACTTAAGCTATTCTTCCTCCTATTTAAGTTTAATAATTTTTATTTGGATTCTACTATATATGCATTACATTTATATAATTATTGTTAACACCTTTATTTTCTTCTATCTTTACCCATGTAGTAATACCATATGATCTTGAAATTAATTCTTTTATTGTAAATTCGTAGTACTACTCTATCGTAAAATTAAATTAATTTCTCATTGCATAACCAGAATTTGAGCTACAAGTTTTTTAAGTTGTTGCAATAAATCTTGTTGAAGATGTTATTAATTGAAACTTAATGACTCCTTGAAACTAATAGTATCCTAGTGATTTTGACTTAATAATGATTAATTCTTACTATTTTTGAATCCCCAATATAAAATGAAAAATAGTCAGTAATGGCAAAATATTCATTTTAAAAAGTCTTTTGAAATATTACATTCTTATTTGAACTTTAATAGAAAGTAATGTTTAACGATTTTAAAATTGCATCATTTCTTATTTCTAAACAATACCAATAACCTTCATAATTTAAATTACTAACTAAGAATTATTAAATATAGCTTTGTTTTTAAGTTATTATTTCAAAATAATGTGTCAATGTCTTCATTGTTGTATCGATTTTCAAATATTGCAAAAATACATATGAAACATTTGATTCACTCACTTTGCCATTTTAAATTGCAAATATTATATAATTATTAGCATTGTTCATTTATAAGCTAGTATAGGAGTAAGAAGCTGGTGTATATTTTTATTCAACTGTGAAGTATAAGGAATTGTTCCAATCAATCATTTAATATTCATATTAATAGTTCTATTAGATTGGATTGACAGTTCCAAACTATCCTTCAATGACTCTAAATATTAAACATAGTGAGAATATTAAAATCATTAATAATTATTTAATTTATTTTGTTACTTTGTAATACTTATATGAAAATGTCATAATATATCACAATATATATAAAAATTTACCTTTCAAAAAGTTTTATTCAACATGATTATTTAAATATCTAAGAAACAAAGTGAAATTCTTGTAAAATGCTTAAAGAAAAAAAAATCAGAAAATCATATAGGATTACTATTCACCATCTCTAACCACTATTTCTTGAGCCTATAAAATTTGTATTTGTTAAAAAATATCATGATCATCTTATTTAGACATTAGATTCATTTGATTTTTCTTTAAGTCTACTGGTAAATGAAATAAAAATATAAATTATTTAATTTTGACATATTTATTATTGATGGATCCTTGATTTATTTAAGTATGTTTGATTATCTTAACTTAAGATTGAATTGATTAGTATTAAATTATTCTCTCAATCTGTTCATTTATAATATTTTGATTATCTTGAACAAATCTTCTCGTATTTAGTTAAACTTCTAAACTTTAATAACTTCATCTTTATTATTCAATTTCTTAATTTAAATTTTCTTTCAGTATCATCAAAATAAGTAACTTTTAATATTTTATAATCTTAACTTTAAATTTTCCAATTCTCAATCATAAATTTATCTCTCTAAAAATAAACTTGTTTTCATTTTAATAAAGTATTATTTTTCCATCGTTCTATTCCTTTAAATTTATCAAAATGTTAGTTTTCTTAATATAAAGGTTAACGCTGCATAGTTGTTAACATTAGAAACTTTATAATAGCCAAAATTATCATATATCAAGAAAAAATAATGAAAAAGCAAATATTTTTTATTTGACAATTGTAAGAAAGTTTTATTAAAATAAAAATGAAAATTATTTTTTTTTTCAAGTTTTTAAAATGTATTTATTTAAGCTTATGAATCTAAAGATGAATGAAAGCATAAAAAATCTTTTAGCAATATCAAATCTATTAATGTGAATTTAATTAATAATAATTTTACAGTAGCATAATTTCAGTTTCAACTTTAAAAAACTGTAAAGCCCTCATTTAAATGATGGCAACTTAAACAATATGGAATACCTAAAAGGTTAATTGACCTAAAATATATATGTGGTCTACTTATTCTCAAAGCTTAATAAAAAACTACAATTATCCCTAAAAAAGCATCTTTTTCATCATCATTTTCATAAAAGATGTTCACTAATTGTTGCATTGATTTTTTAAATCTGAAAATAATTGAATTAATAGCTTTCAAAACAATCTTTTTAAGTAGTTTTATTTTATTAAAGTCTAATTTTATTGCTTTATATTTCTTCTTAATCCTACTTTTTTTCTGCCATAATGAGAGAGAAATTTCTCAGTAATACATTACTGTCTAACTAACATTTCTGGGGTTAATTTCATTGTTCCATTTATTGTTTTTTTAATCATTTCTGAATTATTTCCTTCCTTATTTTTAGTTTAATCTTACTATTATTCTAAATTTTTTTAATAAATTTATTCTTTAGATAATGAATTTGATTTTATTCCTGTAGTTTCTTTATTTTGAAATAATATTTTTGTTGTCGCATTTTGACCATTTTGATTAGAAATCACAATTTCTATCTAATCTAATTATCTTTCTTCTATAGTTAAAACTAAAGTTAAAATCTTTAATACCTGTTTCCTCTTTATAATATTTAAATGAACAACAACCTATGATTAGAATAAAGTAAAATATATTTTTTATATAAAATTTTGTTCATCAATCTATTATACGAGGAGATAATTAGAATTGAATGATAATTTTATTTTGAATATACTATATCAATTTTGATTATTCATTGCTAAATCCCAGAATTGTTCAACTCCCTTTTCTGCTAATATTCTTTTTCCTTCAGCTTCACTTTTAATTTCAATAGTTCTCCATTTATTAAATGCATGCTATTTAGCAACTCCTTCCCAAACTAATGTACAACCTTATTTTTAATCATCAGATTTCCATTTAATTCTATTTAATAATAATTTTTTATAAAATTTAATTCCTTTAGGTCCACCTTCAGCTACAACAATAGAAGGTACAACTGATTATCCATTTTAATTTGCAATTAAACATACTCCTTATAAACTGACTTATTATGCATTCATATCTACTTTAAATTTTAATTTTTTAGATTCTAAATTATTAGATGATAGATCATCATCTATTCTAAATACAGCAACTCTAATTTCTTATGAAGCATCTTTTTACCATTTTTATTTTAATTTATCTCCTCTTTATTCTTTAGTTAATTCTCTTTCTTTATTTTATTTAATATGTTTATCTAATCTAGCCTAAATTTATCTTCTTACTTCTTATTCAGCTTTACTTGGATCTATTTATGCTTCTGCTCCTAATATTGCCATCATATTTTATAAAGTTATTCTAGGTGGAGATGGTTTTTATAAACCTAATCTAATTTTATCTTATTTTTCTTTCTAAATATCCATACGTATTTTCCTTAATCTTTTCTTTCTTTCTTTTTTTGTTAAAAATGAAGGTAGAGCTGCTTTCTCTCTATTCTATACTAATTCACTTATAATAAATGGTTTAGGATGTTCAAGTAATTTTGTTATTTTTTCTAATAATATAGTTGTATCTGTATATTATAATTATTATAAAAATGTTATATTTCTTTGAATTTCTTCTTAAGTATGAGCTGTTGCAGGTTATTTATGTTCTTATTCACTATCTATATTTATAGGAATATAATTTGCTTGATATTCTGGAAATAATGGCATATCCCACCATTCTATATTTGGTATTGGATCATGATGTTTCATTTTAACACAAACTCTTTTAAAATTTGTTTAATTGGTAGTACTTGTTAAATTCTGTGTCTCTTTTTCAGCTACTTTTTCATCACCCTAAGTTTCTATTTAAATTGAACCTTATTATATTTATTCTTAATTTTTATTATTATTCTCAATAAAATTAAATGCTAACAATTTTCTTTTCTATATTCTTGCATTACTGCTTTGTAATGTAAAATTTTTATCTAAGAATCTTCCCTTATCATTTAAAGCATCCTTTAAATTATTTTGAATTTTTAACATCTTATCAACTTATTCACGCTTCTACCTTTCTTAATTAATTTTTAAATATTTTTATTGATCTAATGTAATAATTTTTCCATTAACATCTTTTAATTTACCTTCATCCGTTTCATAAATTCCTTCAGGTAATTATTTATCAATCTATTACTTTGGCTCTTTTAATATTTATATTCTTCCTGAATCTTTTAATTTTTATATAGCTTTTTATTTCTTTTTTTTATGTTTCAGATAAGTTACTAAACTATCAGTATCTGGTCCAAGCACAGCTTTATATTTAGCATCAATAGGCATTGCTAATAATTTTCTATTCAAATCTGGTTATTTAATCTTTGTATTCAAATTTTATTATGGAAGATTTTAAGCTTTTTTTTCTAAAAATTATGGTGTTTAAACATCCTTACTCACACCTTTATTCTTATTCATATTTTTATTAATATTAGATGACATAATTATAAAAATTATATTAAATTATTTAATATATAACACTTAATAAAATCTAAAGAATAAGTATAAATAAATTGTTAAAAGAAAGTTATTCAAAATAATTTGAATAATAACTTTATTTATCAATCATTCCTAAATAACTTTTCATTTATAAATGCACTTTTTAATGCTTTTTCTTTTTTAATTTCTTCATCAGTTTTTCTAATTCCTTTTATTTGCTTAAATTATAAATAAAATAACATACTTTTTCTTACATATCATCATCATATAATTATGTTATTGGTGGTAAAATTTCATGATGAGATTTTCTTTTAACTGATAAATATCTTTCAATCTTTCATGTTAATCACCTTAGATATTATGTGCATTCTTTACAAAATTAACTGGTAAATCCTAAATTAATCTTATAAATATCTATATACTGATCCATATTTTTCTTTATATAAAATTAAGTAATATTCTTTGATACTTTTATTATTTTTCTAATTTGATAAAAATTTTATTTTTCCCATTTTATCCCGAACCCATAGGTGTGTTATCACTTTCTTCAGAAAAAATAGGCTTTAATATATAAATTAATTTTACTTTTCAAGGAGATCCTGCAATTTATATACTTTTTTTAGTTTCTAATTTTCTTATTATTTCAGATTCTTAAAATTCTTCTAAATCATTTACTTTTGTTTCCTTATTTACAATTGCTTTAGTTTATGCAATAATTGCATTTTATAATTATGATTATCCTTTCTATTTTTTTTGCTTCTCCTTCACATAAACCTTTTCTCATTGCTAAATTATTAGATAAACTTTAAATTCTTGTTATTTCATTGCTATGTAAATTACTTTATTTTAGTAGTTATATATCATATGCTTTTTTCATTTAAATTATTCTGTTTCTTAAAGTTTACCTTCTAATTATTCTCTTTCCTTTTCTTATTTAAACAATAAATTACTATGTTATTTTTCTAATCTATATTTTTATACTCTATAAACTCTATCTTATATTTTTTTTCTAAATCTTTAAGTTCTTTTTTAAAATCTAAGGCTTCCTCAACTCTCTCTTCTAAACTAACCAATTTTTCTTATGTTTGTAAATCCTTTAATTTCTATTTGGTTTCACTTTCATTAATTTTGTATCCTTTGATAAACGATCTTCCAATTAACCAAGTTCATTTTTTTTAAATTATTTTAATTATGCTCTTAATTATGATAAAATATAAACTTTCTATCTATTTTATATTTAGTAAGTTATTAAAACTCCTAATAATATTAATCATAGAATATTTTATAAGTAGTACGATTAGTCGTTTTATCATTATCAAAATTTAAGAATCCAAACTTAATTAACTTTTTAAATAAAATTATAGCTTTATTAACATTTTATTGAATTCAATTAGTAGGATTCCCTGAATAAGTTAAATTATATATGCATCATTCTCTTGTTTTTACTTAAATTCTTCGGTTTATTAATAATATTGTATGATAGTTCTTTAGTTGTTTGGAGACAAAGAAATGCCAAAAGGAAAAATGATAATTTTTATATGATTTAATTGTGGAATTGCTTTTATAAATTTTCTAAGCTTTAAACTTACACTAATTAGTTAAAGGAATCTATAAGTAAGAACTTGAGAAACTTTGCTTACGCTTAATAGATTCCAAAAGAGTGGAATGAATCTAAATTTAAAGAGTTTATTGATCCTTAAACCTAATATGTTAGAAAAGGTAGTAATATATTAATAAGTTAGTTCATTTTGTAATCGACTCACAAGATAAATTTAATGGTAGAGCATTTATTGAAATGGAGTCAGAAAATGCAGTTGAAGATTTTTTGAAATAATTTAAAGAAAATAAAATAGAGGACTTAGATGCTAAAATTTAGATTTCCATGAATCCTTTAGTTTTAAAAATCTACAGAAAAAGTTTAGATTAAGAAAAAAATGAGAAGAAAGCATTTTTAAAAGGATTACCAAGAACAATGAAAAATGAAGATTTACTTGAGTTAGCTAAGGATTTTGGAGATATTGAAAATATTTCTATTCTTAAAGATTAAAAAGGAGAATTTAATCGAGGATAGGCGAATATCATTTTTAAAAAAGCGGAAGATGCAAGAAAATTTAAATATTTTGTAAATGGAAAAGAATTTTTAGGAAAAAAGATTGTGTAAATATTTTTCATGAATGTAGAATTTAGTTGAGACCTCATTAAGAAGAGAATGAAGAATAAATTGATGAAAATAATAAAATGAATAAAGAAGAAATTAAAAATGATTAATCTAAAGTAGATTACAGTAATTTATAAAAGTTGCTTGATGCAGAGTGATATATATTGTTATATTTTTCATTTGGAGTTACTCAAAAAAAGTTGAAAAAGAAATCTCAGTTGTTTAAAAACAATATAAAATATTTTTCATAAGTCCTATTTTTTTTCTTTTCTCATATAAATTTCACACTTGGTGAATTCTTTGATTTAAAAGTCGTTTTTTTCAGTGTCCCAGTTTTTAAGGCTAAATTCAACCATAAACTCATTTACAGACATTTTCACATGATACTTATTATGAACCAATTAAATACAATCATATTTATGGTGTTGAAATCAACATTGCTCCCTTGATAAATTAATCTCTCGAAGAATTAATCTGTATTGCAAAAACTTTAGTAATGACTTTCAAAGAATGCCAATCCAATATCTTTAATTATTGGACGTGTTATCACATCATAATCTGGATTGTTTAATGTTTTAAACATCTTAGCCATTTCTTCTGTAATTCCATAATCAATAGTTCCATAATTTGTAGTGCCTTTTCCACCTTACAAATTTTCTATTGGTTATTCTACTTCTTCGAATTCGATTGGCATTTTTGTCCATTCAACACCGTCTTCAAAGACTGTTTCTACTTCGCTAACTACAAAATAAACTAGTATATTGAAGATAATAAATTTCATTTATTAATATATGTCGTTGAAATAATAATTGTCATCAATCTGTTCTAAGAATGATGTGCCAACCTGAATCACTTTTTACTGGTTAACTCAATTCCCCAACCTTTAATGCAAATGCAACATCTTCAAATTACTTTTGCATTTATCCTCTTGTAAATTCTCCTAAATCCCCTCCTTTTTAACAAGAAGAACACTATTTTATAATATTTATTAAATACTTCACTTCTTTCTTAAGCTAATTTAGCAAATAAATTTAGATTTTTTTCAACTTAGGCTCTTATTTCTCTGATTCCTTTCTCTTCATTAGCATTTGATCTTAATTATAAAATTATTCATCTATAGTCTAAAATTTAAAATCTATTACAAGATCCTGGATTAGAGTTAAATATTCTCTAATTGATGAATCTCTTTATAAAAGCTTAAAACCTATCCATTTAGATTTCATTGTATACTAGATGCCCTTTAAGTATTTTTAATTTTTTTCACATTGGCATGATTTACAAATTTTTAAATATTATCAAAACCTTATAATTTTTGAAAAGTCATCAGCTAAGTTTTTTTGACAACTCATTAATTTTCATTTTCACTCTTCAAAAGCCATTTTAAAGTTTTTCACAATTAGTTCTTCTTTCATTTCCACTCTTATAAAATTATGAATACATAAATTTGGAGCGACTTCAACATAACTTTGTGCAGATTCTCTAGAAAATTTATACAATAAAAAATAATATTCACCCTTTATAGGATTTCTTGCATTTTAAAGCTTATCTGTTATAGTTAACTTTTCAACCTTCTATTTGAAACATTCTCTTGGTGGATTTTCCCAATATGAACAGGTTGAGGTAATTGCTCTATGGACTTTCGGATTTAAATAAGATCTCTAGTGGCTTCTTGGTGTTGCAGATATATATTTTTGATCTACATATTTTAAAACCCAAAATTTACTTAAATTTTTTGGGCATTAATAAATGCCATAAAGTTTAAACCAAGAAGGGAATCCAAAATTTTTATAAAATGAACAAATTTCTAATTAATTATATGCAATGGTTATTGTTCTATTGAATTAAAGGAGGGATAAAAGACTTCGATTAACAATCTAAAGAAAAGATTACATAATTTTTTATCAATCAGTATGACCTAATTAAATTTCTCATCTTTAGTTCGAATCATAATTTTCTAGAAGAATTTTTTATATATATAGATGATAGAGATAATCCTGAAATTGTAAATAACTATTAAGTACAAAGAACTAAAGTAAAGTAAAGATGAAAATGCTTCAAGAATCAGAATGAATTCTATTAAGGGATAAAAAAGAAAGCTTGCTTCAGTAATAATAATTACTTGCTTCAAAAAGAAAGAAAATAATCTAACAATAAACCTGAAAAATAAAATATAATACACATCCCATCAAAAATAAAAAAATTTACATTTTCTAATAATTTTTTGGCTTCATAATGAAAAGGTTTTTTGAAATGCTAATTTAGTACTTATTTATGAAAATAGAATAAATGGCAAGTTTCTCATTTTTCTACATTCTTAATTTCCAATAGTTTTTCTGCTTCCAGAAATTATTCATTTTTTTTAATTTTATTAATTAACTATTGAGGTCGACGTGTTAAAAATCATTGATAAAAAATAGGAAGTTTTGTTACAACTANTTACAAGATCCTGGATTAGAGTTAAATATTCTCTAATTGATGAATCTCTTTATAAAAGCTTAAAACCTATCCATTTAGATTTCATTGTATACTAGATGCCCTTTAAGTATTTTTAATTTTTTTCACATTGGCATGATTTACAAATTTTTAAATATTATCAAAACCTTATAATTTTTGAAAAGTCATCAGCTAAGTTTTTTTGACAACTCATTAATTTTCATTTTCACTCTTCAAAAGCCATTTTAAAGTTTTTCACAATTAGTTCTTCTTTCATTTCCACTCTTATAAAATTATGAATACATAAATTTGGAGCGACTTCAACATAACTTTGTGCAGATTCTCTAGAAAATTTATACAATAAAAAATAATATTCACCCTTTATAGGATTTCTTGCATTTTAAAGCTTATCTGTTATAGTTAACTTTTCAACCTTCTATTTGAAACATTCTCTTGGTGGATTTTCCCAATATGAACAGGTTGAGGTAATTGCTCTATGGACTTTCGGATTTAAATAAGATCTCTAGTGGCTTCTTGGTGTTGCAGATATATATTTTTGATCTACATATTTTAAAACCCAAAATTTACTTAAATTTTTTGGGCATTAATAAATGCCATAAAGTTTAAACCAAGAAGGGAATCCAAAATTTTTATAAAATGAACAAATTTCTAATTAATTATATGCAATGGTTATTGTTCTATTGAATTAAAGGAGGGATAAAAGACTTCGATTAACAATCTAAAGAAAAGATTACATAATTTTTTATCAATCAGTATGACCTAATTAAATTTCTCATCTTTAGTTCGAATCATAATTTTCTAGAAGAATTTTTTATATATATAGATGATAGAGATAATCCTGAAATTGTAAATAACTATTAAGTACAAAGAACTAAAGTAAAGTAAAGATGAAAATGCTTCAAGAATCAGAATGAATTCTATTAAGGGATAAAAAAGAAAGCTTGCTTCAGTAATAATAATTACTTGCTTCAAAAAGAAAGAAAATAATCTAACAATAAACCTGAAAAATAAAATATAATACACATCCCATCAAAAATAAAAAAATTTACATTTTCTAATAATTTTTTGGCTTCATAATGAAAAGGTTTTTTGAAATGCTAATTTAGTACTTATTTATGAAAATAGAATAAATGGCAAGTTTCTCATTTTTCTACATTCTTAATTTCCAATAGTTTTTCTGCTTCCAGAAATTATTCATTTTTTTTAATTTTATTAATTAACTATTGAGGTCGACGTGTTAAAAATCATTGATAAAAAATAGGAAGTTTTGTTACAACTAATAGGAATAATAGGAAATTAATCAAATACTTGAAAAAGAATTTCTTCTTTTAAAAACCATTCAGATCCTTATCAGACTTTAATGGTTTTCTACCAATTATTAAAATAAATTTTTATAGTAATTGATATTTTAAGCTCACTTTCTGTTTTTTTGTTATTGGTAACATGATTAAATTAGAATTCTGCCCTTTTTCGGAATTTATTTCAAAAATAGGATGCTTTAAAAAGATATTGCAATCCCTCTTTTTATAGTTTAAAAGCAGAATTTTTATTTAATCAATTGCCTAAGGATCGATAACAAAAAAGCAGAATGTTAGCTTAAAATATCAATTACTCAAACAATTTATTTTAATAATTGGTAGAAAACCATTAAAGTCTGGTTATTATACCTAGTAATTTATTTATCTCTAACTCTGTCATATGGGTTTCTGGATTGAGTGGGTTTTAATAAGATATGTGATGCTCTTACAGATTTTGCTTGCATTTTAATTATATTTAATTATAATTTAAATTTCATTCCTTATTATAAGTAAAATGATCTTGAATTAAGATTGTTTCATTAATAACCTAATATTAGATTAATAAAATTGTCATATTTATTTATTATTTACACCACCCTTTTAATATGGATTTTGATTAGGATATGTCATTTATGTNAGGGAATCCAAAATTTTTATAAAATGAACAAATTTCTAATTAATTATATGCAATGGTTATTGTTCTATTGAATTAAAGGAGGGATAAAAGACTTCGATTAACAATCTAAAGAAAAGATTACATAATTTTTTATCAATCAGTATGACCTAATTAAATTTCTCATCTTTAGTTCGAATCATAATTTTCTAGAAGAATTTTTTATATATATAGATGATAGAGATAATCCTGAAATTGTAAATAACTATTAAGTACAAAGAACTAAAGTAAAGTAAAGATGAAAATGCTTCAAGAATCAGAATGAATTCTATTAAGGGATAAAAAAGAAAGCTTGCTTCAGTAATAATAATTACTTGCTTCAAAAAGAAAGAAAATAATCTAACAATAAACCTGAAAAATAAAATATAATACACATCCCATCAAAAATAAAAAAATTTACATTTTCTAATAATTTTTTGGCTTCATAATGAAAAGGTTTTTTGAAATGCTAATTTAGTACTTATTTATGAAAATAGAATAAATGGCAAGTTTCTCATTTTTCTACATTCTTAATTTCCAATAGTTTTTCTGCTTCCAGAAATTATTCATTTTTTTTAATTTTATTAATTAACTATTGAGGTCGACGTGTTAAAAATCATTGATAAAAAATAGGAAGTTTTGTTACAACTAATAGGAATAATAGGAAATTAATCAAATACTTGAAAAAGAATTTCTTCTTTTAAAAACCATTCAGATCCTTATCAGACTTTAATGGTTTTCTACCAATTATTAAAATAAATTTTTATAGTAATTGATATTTTAAGCTCACTTTCTGTTTTTTTGTTATTGGTAACATGATTAAATTAGAATTCTGCCCTTTTTCGGAATTTATTTCAAAAATAGGATGCTTTAAAAAGATATTGCAATCCCTCTTTTTATAGTTTAAAAGCAGAATTTTTATTTAATCAATTGCCTAAGGATCGATAACAAAAAAGCAGAATGTTAGCTTAAAATATCAATTACTCAAACAATTTATTTTAATAATTGGTAGAAAACCATTAAAGTCTGGTTATTATACCTAGTAATTTATTTATCTCTAACTCTGTCATATGGGTTTCTGGATTGAGTGGGTTTTAATAAGATATGTGATGCTCTTACAGATTTTGCTTGCATTTTAATTATATTTAATTATAATTTAAATTTCATTCCTTATTATAAGTAAAATGATCTTGAATTAAGATTGTTTCATTAATAACCTAATATTAGATTAATAAAATTGTCATATTTATTTATTATTTACACCACCCTTTTAATATGGATTTTGATTAGGATATGTCATTTATGTATTAAGTAGTCCAATCAGCAAACTAAAATAAAATCAAATTTTCTTATACTTATTTTCAGATTATTAATGTTTATTGATGTTTTATGGGGGAGCTTGAGGTGGGTGAGCTTTATTATTCTCCTCTGGTTATAATGATTGGATTATATCTATATATTGTATAATGTACATACCTTAGATAGGAACCTTTTTATTTGGAGCTCTTGCCCATTGAATTTTACATATAACATCCTTGATTATAATATTATTATATAATGCATTTACAGCTGTTTCTGCATCTTTTCTTTTTGCAAAGTTGACGAAACAACTTTGACCATGTTCCATTATTTTAATTGAATTGAGTTTTCCAAATTTTGAAAATAAATGTCTATTTAAAAAATTAATTTACTTTAAATCCGATTCCTTGATATCAGCTGTCATATGAGAAACATATAAACTACAAATTTTAGGGTCATCAGGTGGCAACAACCCTTTTGCTTCAAACTTCTCCTTATATAATAAATCAATGTCTTCAGGATTTTCCAAAGGCTCTCTATAAACTTAATTAGCGGGTTCTAATTTTCCATCGTTTAATTAATTATTCACATCTGCTAATCTTGGCTCTTTCATTATTTGGTCGAATAAAGGTAAAGGCTTATCATATGGTAAAATCAATCTTTCAATCTGACGATTTGCTTATTCAGCCCAATAATCCCTATTCGCTGTATGTTCAGGAATTTCTATTTTTTATTCTCCTAAGAATTTATCTCTAGTGCATAATCCCATGTTGAATTCTAAATCCTTAAAACAAGCTTAGCAAATATTTTTAATTTTTCCACAGGTTTAACAAACTTCTGTCTATTTTTGTCTGGAATTATTCCCAGGTTTCCATTTGAATGTAGTGAATGGTCTTGCACAGATTCGACATTCCTTTCCAAACCTATCCTTTAGCTAGAAATTTTATAGATTATTATTTTACCATTCTTATGTAAGGATTTTCACCTAAACAATTATTGCATACTATAGGAAAATCTGTTTCTTCCCAAGCTAATTTGCTTATATCTTATTTTAAAGCATGACCTCGTTCTGCCATTTAAATAATAAATTTTGTAATTATTTTAATGTGTATAAATCATTTTTTCTTTAAACTAGACTTTTATTTTTTGTGATTACTTTATAATATTGTTGAACTTGGTCTAATTTATTAGGTTTATTATTTATCCAAATATTGTATAACGTATTTCATAAACTATTAATTCTAACGTTGTTATTATTCTTGGGCTTCTTCTAGTTTATGAACCAATTTTTCAATTATCTAGAAATCTGAATTTGTTTTTGCAGAATCTCTTTGTTTTTCAACTCTCTATTTAATTTCGCTTATTTCTAATTACAATTTTTCGCTTCTCTTTTTCTCTTCTTAAACCTCAATTGTTAAAGAACTGACCTTTGGATTGTTAGGATTTTGTGCATTCATTAATTATTGTATTTCTCTTGTTAAATATGTATTTTCATCTCTCAAGGTCTAAACTAAAACTTTATTATTTTCATTTTCTTTATTTATTTAATCAACTTCTCTAAAGTTAATAAAATGCTTACTTTTATTTTAAGTCTAACTATTATGTTAATCCTGTAACACATTCTTTTAGTTCTTCAATCACCGATTTTAGTTGAACGATAGTATTTTTTAATTAATCAATTTCTATTTTGTACGATTGATCAATTTCTTATATTTCTTTCAATAGTGGAATTTAGCAATCTGAAGTTCTAGAACATTAAGTCAATTATTTTTATGGAGGAATATTTTCTAATTGACTGAAAATGTGGGAGTCTCCTTTTTCCTTTTTGGAATACATGGATATCTGTCTATTATTGAAGTCTAAATTTGAATTGTTTAATTGTAATGGTTGAATTTGTTTAGTAGATTGAGTCTTAAGAAAGTTTTTTACTCTCATTTCTATCTTGTCAATTAATTAATGTGTCTATTCAACTCCAGCGTCTCTCAACATAAATTTTAACAGATTATATTTTTAATATCATTATAATTAGTGTTTCTCTTCCAATAATCTTAATTCTTTTTCCAAACGATTTATTTCGATCTCTTATTCTGTAATCAAATTTGTGGCTTCCTCTTCAATTCTGTAACGTTCCTTCTTTTCTTCCTGTAGTTCTTTCAATAATTTTGTTAATATTTCTCTATCTAAATAATTTTAAAATATTACTATTACATCACGGCATCACAACTTGAATGATCATCCTTTCCTAAAATATCATTAATTTATTACTTTCAATATTTGCTTTAATTTAATTCAGCTTCTCTAAAATTTCACAACACCATTCTTCAATATTCGTCACTTAACTTTATTCTATGTTTTCATTAAATTCCATTAATTCTTTTAATAATTTCTATAGAGTTTCCATGATTTTTTCATCTTTCTCCTCAGGCTATTGTTTTAGCACTTTAATATTATTGCTGAATAATTTTGTAGCACTACTATATAAATATGTAAACTAACCTATAACTCTTTTGTAATTTAGGGGGTATTTTTGTTTCTTTACTCTCTTTTAATACAGGAGATTGAGATTCGTCAACTTTCACAGTTTTTTATTTATTCAATTTATTCAATTCTGATGGATTAGAAAATAACCCAGGCTTAATGTTTGGGCTCAATCCAGGAGATTTATAGATTGGACTCTTTCTTCTATTCATTTAATATATAAATTATATATTTTAATTCCTTTTTAAGAATTAAAGCTTTGTATTAACTATAAGGATTTACAATAAAATTTATTGATGAAACTGTTTGGACAAAATAATCTATAGACAAAATAATCTATAGATTATTACTTAAGTTTAGCTTTCGTTTAAATAATTATTTATCATTATTTATGAGATACTAAATTTAATGTAATTCTTTAAGATAAGAGTGTTCTAAGATGCATTCTAATTACCATAGTTGCAATTATTTTGGATCGATAATTTAATTAATATTAAAGGATTTACAAACGATAATACTAAAGATAATTATTTCATAATAAATTGATCAAATTTTAAATGAAAAACGAAGTAAAAGTTTTGAATAAGATATTTATATTATGGGGATCTAATTACAATAAATGGATTCATTTTTCATGTCAATAATTTTGATTTTAAGAATATTAATAATGAAAAATAATGATACAAATCATGATGAATAGATAAAAATTTTTGAAATTTAGAACTAATAAAATTCTCTTATTCTGTTATATGTAACTTCGAGTTTAACTTTCAACCAATATTAATGAAAAGCTTACAATAATACTTTAATTTAGATGTTATAGTTAATTTTCCTATTATAAGGATCTTAAAGTTAAAATAATTTTTAATTTTCTTATCATATTTATTTTTGCAAAACAAGATTTTTCTACCTTTGGCTAGAAATCAATAAATTCTTAGAGAAAATAATGAAAAATATTCTTTAAATCGTTTTACAGCAGATAAAGTTAATAAAAAATTTAATTGAGGGGATCATGGCTCAGAATAAAAAGAGCATCCTAGCGAATAAGACGATGTAGTAGGGACATACATATATATTGGGTTAGCCATAGAAACGAGAATCGAATGATAATGTACGAACGAATCATCAGACTCAACTGGTTAATAAAATTAGATGCTTGATTATAATTGATACCTTCTTGAAGAAAGAAGAATTCCACTCTACTCTGAACAGGATAGGTGGAGGGAATAACTCTATTCTATCAATTTTAGTATCATTTTAACTGAGATAGAAATTTCTAGAACTAAAAACACACGTCATATTATTATAAGAAGTGAATTAACAGATAAAGTAAGAGTTGATGGATTAGGTTACAGATGACATACAAAAGATAGGAATGGGAAACTACTTGCAGTGGCAGTAATTAAAAACCTAATTACAAAGAGGAGATAAGATTTAGAAATCAAAAACTCAATTTTAGTTTAAATTTTTTTTGGTGGAAGATTTTCTCTATTAGTTGAATCAAAACGATAAACAACAGAAAAAAAAGAATAAAGAACAGTATTGAATAAGATGCAAATGCATGCTTTCATATTAGGAGGAAACTTAAATGATACAATTGGAAAGAAAGAAACATTAAATTACGATGTAGTAAGTAAAAAAAGGATAGAAAAAAAAATAAGAAAAAAATTAGATTTCAATATAAATTAAAAATATTGATATTTTTATAATAATCAATCGAATTTGAACAGAAAAATTTGATTATAACCCTTCAGATCATAGACCCATTATGATAAATATAGAAATGCCGAAATCAACAGCGATGCATTTCCAATTTTAGAATGGGATTTAGTTTATTAGACAGAGATCGAACATACCAGATGCAAAAATACTAAAGAATACTTTAAAATAATTAAATATACTGCTAAAGTTGGAAGATAAGCCGCTGGATAAATAGAAAATGTTGTAGAAATAGATGGATAAATTGAAACAAACTACAAGAAGATTACCAGTGAAGCATTGAAGTAAACTGCTTCATCTAAAAATTATGGAAAATATTATTAACAAGACAAATGTGGAAGAGATATGATAAATTATACATCAGTAATATACAAGTTAGTAAGAGCGAATAAAGGAATAGGGGTTCAAAGATCTGGAATTGATTGAATAATATAATAAGTAAAATACCTTGTATTAGGAACCTGATATTAAGAAAAGAGGGCAAGTAATGCCTTACTAAAAGATTATAAAAGATGCTAAAGAATTTTGATAATAAGATGAGATAAAATGAATAAAATCACAAAGAGAGCTGTTATAGAAGAAGATGGAACATGAAAGAATAGATTCAAACAGAATTAGGAAAATACCAAATTATGGATATTTTGATTAATGGAGATATTCCAATATAAAATGTAAGGAACATAAAAACATATGGTTTATTTAGATAATATGTAATAGAATATCTGATAACATGGGCATCAAAAGGATAAAAATGGGCTAAAATTCTTGATAAGATAAATAATTGGGCACTGCCATTATCAAATTTGGTAAGAGGTGCAGCCAATATGAACTAGGATATGAGGTATGTGTCGAACAAGATCAGAGAAATGGTGAAGAGCGAGCTTAGATTATCCAAAATTATATAAATATTATCAAGGTAACAAAAATGTAACAACATTCGATTGCCATGCCAGTTCAAGAAAAGGCCATACAGCGTTAACCTTTATATTAAGAAAACTAACATTTTGATAAATTTAAAGGAATAGAACGATGGAAAAATAATACTTTATTAAAATGAAAACAAGTTTATTTTTAGAGAGATAAATTTATGATTGAGAATTGGAAGGTTTAAAGTTAAGATTATAAAATATTAAAAGTTAATTATTTTGATGATACTGAAAGAAGATTTAAATTAAGAAATTGAATAATAAAGATGAAGTTATTAAAGTTTAGAAGCTTAACTAAATACAAGAAGATTTGTTCAAGATAATCAAAATATTATAAATGAACAGATTGAGAGAATAATTTAATACTAATCAATTCAATCTTAAAGTTAAGATGATCAAAAATACTTAAATAAATCAAGGATCCATCAAAAATAAATATGTCAAAATTAAATAATTTATATTTTTATTTCATTTGCAAGTAGACTTTAGGCCATAAATATTGAACTTAATATAATCTTACAAATAAAATATATATTAATTTGTATAATACATATATAATTGGGCTTCTTAATGTGCAGTCATCTGTACCCTGGACTTGCCTAGTCTTTGATGGAAATTGCAATTTGTTCAAATGAAGATTGTGTTTACAAATTCCATCCATAATGCATGAAATGTGCTTTTAAATTTTGTTAAAATCATTTCAAAGAATGTAGCCTAGGTAACAGAATTTAAGAACTCTTGAATTAACTACTAAGATAAAATGAAAATTTGGAGAAGAAACTTTATTAGCTATAATCTAATACCAATAAAAAAATGACATAAGTATTATTCGAATGTAGATAATTTCTTAACAGAATATAATAATTTACTGAAAATTGTTTATTCTAAGATATTATCCCCATTAACTTAGACATTGATTTCATACAAGAGTTAGTGGATTAAATTTCATTAGAGATTCAAACCAAATTTTAGATCATAATGTCCTATTTTGAAGAATTAAAATACCCTTTTAACCTTCAAAATAGAAGCTAGTCTAAAATACATTAGAAGCGTTCAATAATTTTTGAATAAGAAGGTCATTTGACAGAATCCTTATCATCCATAAATTTAAGTTTAAATATGGATCCTTAATCTATCTTTTCTATTTTTTAAAAAGGTTTCTTTATGCATTTAATGATAGGAAATTTGCTTTTTAAATAACATTAATATGAAGAGTCCTTTAGTTATCTCTTCAAAGCCTTACTTTTAGCCAAAAAATCTAAAAAGAAGGAGCTACGACATTAAATTTTCCTAACTTTATGTAATGTATTTATATTATAATAGAAGAAAATTGTTTGTTTTAAATGAAAAAGTTTTCTGAAATTATTGAATTCTCTAATAAATATCAAAAAATATTTGATGTAGAAAATTTCTCCATGTTTAAATGTATCTAATTATTAAAAAATAGATTTTGCATAATTTAACAAAAGATAATATGACAAAGTTCTTGAAAATTTAAATCAAATTAATCTCGATGAATTAAATTATTAATAATCAAATTAATATCAAGGTATAATTATAAAAATTTTTTTAGAACTATTTAAAATGGCAGAAAGAAGTAAGAATTAAGAAAAATATATAAATGGTATTCTTCATTTTTGTATGTTTAGAATAAAATTAAACTGAAATTTTGAAAAATTCCTTAAAGCAGTAAAATTAGTCTTAAATAAAATAAACCACTCAAGAAGATTGTTCTAAAGATATCAATTCAATTATTTTCAGATTTAAAAAAGCAATGCAACAATTAGTGAACATCATTTATGAGAATGATGATGAAAAAGATGCCTTTCTTCAATAAAATCAATAATTTATTTTAACAATCGAGAAAAAGTAATTAGTATCTATATTTTAGTAAAATAAATCTTGTCAATTTGCCATCAAAAAGCTAAACAACCCCAATTAACCTGTAAGATTTGTTGAGCAAATTTAATTCAAGAGATAGGCTAGAGCTTTAAACTAATTTTATAGATAGCTGATACTAAAACAATACTACTTTAAAATTATTATAAATTAAATTCATATTAATAAATCTATTTTTCTATATAAAGGTTATTAGATTATTATTTAGAAGGTTGTTGGACATAATTAAGAAAAAATTATTTTAAATTTAAAATATTCAGAATTATTATACGCTTCCGAAAACAATATTCATTTTATTGTTTTAGAAGACAAGAACCAGATTAGATATGCTAAAAATTTCTTTTAAGGTTATTCATCTCCAAATTCATTTACTTCAATTATTAGATGATCTTTAAAACTTTCAAACCTGTAATCATTTTCATTGTTTATTTGAATAAAACAGATAAAATTTAAAGAATTAGATAAAATGTGTTCAAAATATATTTAATCTTATTTCCTTTGTATAAATATATCTAAAAATATTTTTATACACTAATTTTACCACACAATATTTTGCCTTTTATGTATTTTCTTTTTCTTTATACATTTTTCTAAAGAAGAAAGGTTTAATTTTAGCAAATACTTAAAATGAATAGTTATTTTATGATTATTATTTTAAAAGTTATTACTATTTATCTTCCATTAAAAATTTTTTAATAATTTCTAATTAAAATTTTCCAAAAAAATCATATGCCTTTTTCATGTATGTAATTAGCAGAACATAACTGCTTGGATTTTTCAATAAGTTCATAAATCATAAATGAATTCATGAATTTATCATTAATATTAAACATATATATTAATATAATAATACTTCATATTCATAATAATATTGATAGAATTATGTAAGATTTATGTAATAACGATAGAATTCGAAATATTAAATCTAATTTTGAAATATTTTAGTTAATGAATTTTTGAAAAATTATTTCTAGTTGGAAAATAGTACTAATTTTAAGAAAGGAGAGTAATTCTTAATCCCTTTAAATTAAATTACTAACTTATTCAGTTAAATACCTTTTTATTGTAATTATATTATTCTTGATTGCAACAATTATTTATTAATTGCAAACAGATAATAATTTATGCTGATAAAATTCCAAAACTTACAGATTCAAAAAGATATTTTTGCTTTGAGATTATATAAAGTAGATAGTGTAATTTTAAGGGTATAGATGAATAAGTATTCATATAATACATGGTGCGATGGTAATTGAGCATATTGATATTTCTTCTATAATTTCATTTGAAGAAAATAAGAAAAATAAAGAGTTTATTTTTTTTGCAATTAATTCATAAGAGAAATCTCCTAATTTTGTTGAATTACAAAAGTTAATCTAAAAAAAAATATCCATTCTTAATCTTTAACATTTGATAAATGCTAAAAATGAATTATTCGATAAAATTAGTAATTAAAAAAGTATGAATTAATTTTCTTTACCTACATCATAAGGATCACAAAGAAATTTTATTCGCCTATTTGTTAACACTGGCCAAAAGAAGTTTATAGCAACAGTAGATGCATCTAAATAAGTAATTTAGCTTTATATTTTTAGAATCTTTCAGAATAGATCACTACCTCATATGCTTGTACAATTAATTAATTTCAATAAGAATCATTTTCTAATTAATACTAAGTGACAAACATTAGATAAAATGGCTTTAGAGTGATCGTTCCTAAATAATAAAACATTGGTTAAGTTTTAAATGATTAATCTTATCTTACATGTGATATTCACAAATCTAAAATAAAAAATAAGAGAACTAATAACATTTAAAGGAATGAGAAGAGATTAAAAAAAAAAATCAAAGAATAATTGAAGACATAATTCAATGATCCTGCTATTTCTCCTCCTAAAATTTTGACTTCTAATAAATTTCATTAAGAGGCAAAAACTCAACAAAACCTAGAAAACTAAAAAAAAAATTATCTAGTTTAAAATTAGACATAACTAAAGAATGAAGGATTAGAAAACAAATAAATATAGAAAGATTAAATTATTGATAAACTTTAAAGTAGTAAATTTTAGCAAGATCCAATAGAAAATCTGAAAAGCTTGGCTAAATCAAACCAAAATATAAATTAAGTTGAAAAATAGTAGAGAGATGCCTTTTAAGAGGGTAAAAAATTTTTTTATTAACAAGCTCAAAACAATTCAAATACTAAATAATAGATATAAGAAAGCGCAAATTAGATTATCTAACAATATGATAAAAAGAAAGAATAGTTAAAAAATTATCTTAAATTAGAATAAAAATTAGAAGGATAAGTTGAAAATAATTAAAAATAACCTTTATAAACAAGTAAAATCATGGAAACTAATAATGATAGTAATCTCTTTTTAAAGTAAGGATTGGATTATATAGATGATTATTTAAATTATTCAAAAGAAATGCCGAAAGTTCCAAACACTTCCTTTTAAACAAATATTGAGCATACGATAGGAAAAAAAAATAAAAACTCTAATAAAAGATATTTCAATCAATAAAAATAAAATCATTAAAATTGGTTTGAAAAATAATAAAGATAAAGTAGCAATAAATATTCAAAGATTATAAATTAGAATTAGAATTAGAATTAAATTTAAAAAATTGCTTAAACAAATAAAAATTAAATTGTATAGTAGAAACACTAAAATAAATAACATTTGGAATGATCGCAAGTAAAAGAATGTACTGTAAATATATAGATTAGTGTGCTAATTTATAATTAAATTTTTAGCGTTATTCATTTCTTCTTAAGTTCAGATAATCTTTTATCTTCTTTTAGTTTTCTATCCATTTCTTCATATTTAAGAAGAGCTTAAGATTCAAATCTAATAGCTCTTTATTCAAGGATGTCTATTCTAAATTGAATATTAATATATTCATTATCATCAGGATCAGATTTCTTTTGTTGCATTTATTCTGCCTGATCTAATTTAGCTCTTTCTTCTTCAAGTTTTTTCTAAATGATTGCAGCTCTTGATAATAAGCTATAAATAGATTTGAAATTTGATACCGTTCTTTTAACTTAGTCATAACATCTTTTTGTATTTCCAAGGCCTCATTGTATGTGAGAACTTCTTTGCCTTAGAGTTTTCTCTTTTCTAAGTAAGGATACAAATAATCCTTATCTGCTTATTCTCTTTGTTTTTCCTCTTCAGATTTTTTTAAAGTTTCCTTATATCTTTCTCTGGCTTTATCATGAAGAGTTTTTTCCAATTTTAAATCTTAAGATCTAAGCTATTCTTCATCCTTTTTTACTTCATCCTCTTAATTTTTAATGTGTGTTAAACATTCTTTCTCTAAGAAGAGATATTATTGATAATTTACCTAAATTGGCAATACGTTAATTCTCTTGTGAAACCAAGGCATCTTCATTTTTTTTCTCTACGCCAGGTTCAGTTAATTTTCCTAATCCATGCATGTTCTCCCTTTTCAACTCTTTAAATTATGGGTTGATTTCTCCTTTGTTCATGTGATAATAGACTCTAAAATTAAAAAATATAATACCTAATAACATTTTTGACTAAATCAATTACAACTTTTTATAATTGTTCACTTGCTGGATAGAGTTCACTTAATTCATATTTTTAAGTCATTTTCGTAATTTTGACTATTCCCATATATCTATCATTATGGACTAGATCTTTAGGTTCAGGTTTTTTATCAGTACTAATAAATCTAACAGATCTATATATAACTCTATCGTCTCTATTTTCATATTCCTCAATAGTTTTTTCTCCAATTTTTTCAATTCTTTTGATTAATCCATCATGATTTCTAGTAGGATAATATAGAATAATCCTCAATTATCTATCAATCGTAGTAATAGTTTTCCTTTATGGTTTATTACCAGGTTCATACTCTTCAATAGTTTTAAATTCATAAGGGAATCTTCTTTTTAATACTAATTTGTCAGATCTGTGTTTATAAAAGTATCTAATTTCATGAACTTTTAATCTTTTATAATCTTAATAAATGGTAAATCTCTAAACAAGCCCATCTAATTCTTATGAATATGGAGCATAGGAGTCAATTTTACATTTCTTATAAAAAACTGTTGACTCTCCTAATGGAGTTCCTTTAAGAAAAGCCTCTTTATCAATAAACATTTTGGGAGGCCATGGAGGAGGCATATCTAAAATTTATGCAATATCTTATAATTATTATTATTGTGGGTCAATTTGTTTCTATTATTAATTATGATCTTCTCCATAATTATAATCTTCATCATCTTATTATGCTTATTCAACCATAGTATCAAGCATAACATATTCCCAATTCATAGAAGTATCCATTTCATCAAAATTTAGATCAGCTACCTTTGATTCAAGTTTCATATTAATCCAAAAGTTTTTATTATTAAAAACAGCATCTACAGCTAAAAAAGGACTGTCATTAATTTAATAGATTCTACCAGTTGAAGGTTCGATAAAGAGATTTCTTTCAACTCCTCTTTTTCCTGCTTTTAAGAGAATCCAACAATGAATTCTTTTTCCAGCATAAAAATCTTAACCCATTTGATCTGGTTCATCATCATCTATAGTTAAGGCTATTCTTCTTTATTCTTTTTCATATTCTTCTTTTTATTTTTGGATTTTTGTATCATATTTTGAAATTATTTCTTCTTTTGGGAGAATAGCAAATTCATTATCTTTAAGCTCATCATTATCTTTATCTATATTTTCATCATCCTCTTTAATTCCATTATTTATAAATATATAATCCAGATCTGATTCATTCTTACTTGTTATTGATCTTGGTGCTGTTCCATAAACGCAATATGCATCATAACCAACTCCTATTAAAACACTACAAAGTAATATTGATAAATCAAAACAATCTCCCTTTTACCATCTAGCTACATTAGTTGGACTAGGTATAACTTTTGGAAATTAATCAGGAGGATCCAATTATTCATAAGCTATAAAAAAACTCATATATCTTGCACACTATTCATAATTATATAGTTCTAAATATCCAATTTTTTAAGGACGTATCGTTGTACAGATAAATTTGTACAGATCGCACTCATTTTTTGGATACAAAAACAGATTTCTCTTTTCATCATAATGTAATTGAAACTGCTTTTGGAATTATTGAACATGCTCCAAAACTAACTCTTCCTTCGGGGAATTTTCTATACTTTCATCATTTAAAATTACCTTTGTAACAAAATGGAATTAAAATATCCTTACCCTCCTTAAAGTCTCTACATCTTTACAATTTTTCATTCACTACTGTTGCATTTCCTGATTTCAAAATTGCAAGGATATTATTTTATTACTATTGTGCCTATTTCTATATTTCCACGTCACTAACAGCAGAAGAAGCCATTATTTAATATTTTTTAATTTATTTATTTCAAATTATTTATGCTCTAGAATAGTGAATTTATTTATTTAATTTTCCACTTATATCATTTATTTTATTAATACCTTTCTTTTTAATTAATCTTGATACAATTATATAGAAAATAATAAAAAATTATCTTGACTCACATATGAAATAATATCATCATTATTTTTTAATTCAAAATAATTATCATTAAACAATCAAATATCAGTAGATCATTTATCCATCATTACTTTATCAATTTTGGTTTTTTATAATTATTTTTATATTATTAACAAGTATTGTGATTAATCGATTTTTATTCATTAATATTATAAATCAAAAGTAGTAATGATGAATGAAGATTATTTTAATTATAGAGTAAATTAGTTTGAATAATAAAGTGTTGCCTTCCATTACAATATACCATATATTTTAATGATATGAATATTTTGTTTAATTAATTTTCATTTTCCATATTGCATTGCCAAATTTTACTGTCCAGGTGGAAAGTATTTAACTAAATCTTCTTTGTTTAGATCATCAAAGAAAGGATGTTTCATAGCTTCCTTTACATAAATTCTTTTAGCAGGATCTAGCGCAATCATTTTAGTAACTAAATCTAATCCATTCTATTTTTATATTTTATAAAATGAATACTTTTTCAAAATTTTTGAAAAATTATTCTGGAGGAGTAGGTCTAAATCTAGGGAATGTAGGTTTAAAATCTGGAAGATCAGCAATGTTTGGCCAATCTTATACAGTAGGAGTTCCATGATATTGAAATATCTTAAAGATTTAATCGATTTCACTATCTCCACAAAATAATCCATGTTTTTCAACCATCTCTGTAAGAATACATCCAACAGACCAAATATCAACCCCTAATGAGTATTACTTTTATGATAATAATATTTCTGGAGCTCTATACCAGAGAGTTTCTACTTCGTGTGTAAGTGTTTTTATAGGCACACCAAAAGCTCTGGCTAATCCAAAATCTGCCAACTTTATTATTCCTGTTGATTTATCTATCAAAATATTTTATGGTTTGAGATCTCTGTGTATTATACGTCTTGAATGACAATAATTAAGACCATTTAATATTTGGAACGTAAAATGCTATAATTGATTTAATTAATACTTTGATTTGGCTTAATGTTAGGTTGTGTTTGTTTTAATCTAAGAATTTCTTGAAATCCATCTCAACAAATTCAAACACTAAATAAAGTTTCTTCTCATTAGGTTGATAGATGACTTCTTTGAGACCTACAATGTTTGGATGTGGTTAGAGTTCTTTTAATATAGAAATCTCTCTCATGGCAGTTGATGGGACTCCTTCATCTTCATTTTCCAATTTGATTTTCTTCAATGCTACTAATTCTTTGGTTACTGAATCACGTGCTTTATAAACAACTCCATAGGTCCCTAAGCACATTAAAATTTAATTATTACCTTCACCTATCTTCTCTAATTTCTCATATCTTTCTAATTATCTATTGTTACTGTTACTATTCATCTTATCTCCTCCTCTCAAATCATAATAATTTTATGCTTAAATAGACATGCATTCATACTTAACATTATGTAATATAAATTCAAAAATTAAAATATTAACTGTTATTTAAATCAATCCTAATAGAATGTAGGTCTCTGATCGTTTAAAAATAATTTTGCATAAAAATCATTTTCGGTTTAACTTGGCTCCTCTCTTAGTAATTTAAATTTCCCTTATACAATCTTTACTAATCCTTTATCATGCACTTATGGATAAACAAAAAACTCATTTTTTGCTTGGTCTTTCATTGGCCCTAAATCATCTAACAAATCCTCTAATAACCCATCATTATTCAATTTATCTTAAAATTTATTGAAAATTGGCAATAATATTTTTTTATCTTAAACAACGTCGAATAATGCATTAAGAGATGGAACAAAAGCAAATGTATTACATTAAATAAATTTTAAGATTAGACTTGAAAACATTTATCTATCCTTATTTAAATATCTATAAGCTGGTATGTTCTATTATTCTCTAAAGTATTAAAGATCAGGATTTAAATTTAAGATTTAATTTGGATCAATCCACAAAAGACTCCATAATAAAAAAGAATATTTTCTGATGATACTTACTATCCTTAATTAACGCTTTTCATCATTACTTAAATCATTTATTTCTAATTATTTATTTCGATCACTTGACCAAAAATACCATTCAAAATAATCCTTGAACTCAGGAATAGATGGAGCCTAATTTTAAAAAATGCATTCCAACTTACCATATAAATGAGCTATCATGCATTCAAAAATTAGTTATCCTGTTGTACTTTTCACTAATATAAATAATAAAGTTACTTCTCATAATTTTAATCATAATAGCTAAAATTAAAATCTTATAATCATGCCAAACTTATTGGGGAGGTATTAGTGATCCTGTAATGAAAGCATCAATATTATCTTCTATAAATAGCTTAATTAATCCAATGTTATCAATTTATTTATTCATAAATTCTGTATAAGATGTCTTGAACAAATTGATTAACAATTCAGTTGTAGAACATTATTTTCTTTAGATGCTATCTTTTTCAAAAATATCTAAATAAATATTTCGAAGTTGATTATTTTTCATAAATTCTCTATTCAACCTAATGTTGATTTTTTTAAAATATTCATCTAAATCAATCTAAATAGCAACACTTATAGTTGATGGTTAAGATGCTATTAATTGTGAAATGTTTTCTTCTTCCTATTCTATTTCCATAGGGTCATATTATAATTGAAATAATGGCTTCAAAATTTTGCATGATTTAGCTCTTTTGAGAGTGTGTTATTGAGGAAATGTTTAAAGTTCAGTCTGATTGTTAATTTCTTATATTCCATAATTATTTTATGGCTAAAATTAAGGAATACAATAAATCGGCGTCTCCGTAAAATTATCATCACAATATTGAACAGAATAAAAAGCTAAGCTTTAATTCATTTTTTTAAATAAATCACACATTTATAATCAATACTCTATTCCAAACTTTCCAATTAATTATTCATAACCACCTTATCCATGAAATAGCCATAAGAGAATCTTTGATCACCTTCCTCATTGTCAACATCAGGATACTTTAGATCAATTTTACCTATTAGACTAAATCTAATACCTCTATTTCTTATATAATACCAATAAACATTGCCATTCCTACTTTTTCTTTCCAAATTCAAAATTTAAGTTTCTGTGTAGAATTTATAAGCATAATCTATAGCACATAATAGAATTAATCTTGTTCTTATATATTTACTCCATTTATATCAATTTATGATTACTAATAAGATTTAAGCTTTATTTATTCTACATGGGTTTAAGTATAAGGTCTATTTAATAGATCATCGTAAATTTTATCTAAAGCCCTCTCATTTCTAAACTCTTTAATTTAGTTATTTCTAAATCCTAGATTGTGTCTAACTAAAACTTCCCTATCAACTATATGAATCAAATTCTAATCTCTAATTTGATTAAGTATCACTTCTATTCCAATCTATTTTCTAAGCTCTAAATTTTGTCTGATGGTTCATAATCGATTGGTTTAAAATCACTTATATTTTATTAATCTATGAATTTAAGTTTTATTTCACAAACTTTGCTTTCTTGAATATCTTAATTTATTTAGATTTTAATCTATTTTTTTAACAAATTTGATCTTATTTTGAATAGCTGAAATACTCATTTGAATACTATCTGTTAGATCTTTATTTTATTGATAATATAATTTTAGTTCTCTGCTCCATTTATTTTTATTAATTTATCTTAGAAAGATGAATCAATTTATATCAGAAAAATTACTCTCTTAAAGATAAACCAACGAGACTTTTTTGATTTTTGAAACTTTTGGTAAAGATTTAAATGTATAATCTTTTGATCTACTTCGTTATGTTCTGGAATTGAACAAAATACATTTGTTGCTTTTTTAGCAGATTCATAATTAAGTTTTAATTTAAGTAAATTTATTAAAGTTATTTAATAAAAGAAAATTTTTTTAAATGAAATTTATTGATTATATTTAAGAAAATGATTCTAAGTTATCAATTATAAAAAATTAGTCTGTGTTGTCGGAATATAATGTCTAATTCATTAGAATTAGATATTAAAAATAATTAATTATAAAAATAATTAAAATGAATTATAAACCGAACCTGAAGATGGATAGTACTTCTGGGTCGTTTAAAAAGTAAGAGTAGACCTCGTCTCTCGAAAGCACTCAAAAATCAGATTCTAATGGAATCAATATAAAACCAAACTTTGCTTGTAAGCCAGTCTTCAACATTCGCAATCGTTCTCCATAACCTTAAGAATAGGAACCTTAGTTAACAAATACTAATAATGATTTCTTTAAAACAGGCTCATTTTAAGAAAAAATTCCACTTAAAGATAGAATCTAACGATAAGATGAAAAGAAAAATACAGCTCCTGTTGCTAAAGGATTATACCTACCTGGTTAAGAAGAGCTTTTTAGAAAATAAATACAAGTAGAGAGGAAAGAGATACAATAACCTCAAGAAAAAAAAGAGGTTTAAACTGGAAAGCAAATTTAAGGAGAATAATATATGCCTTCTATTGGTTAATCAAATAAAAGAGAGGCTGCCTTATTAGGTTCTAAGAATCCAATAGAAAATAAATTAGCAGTGGCCAATTAGGAAAGAGTATTATAATAGCTTGGTATTTTATGTAATAATACAAATAGAGGAAGCAGAACCAATTGAAGAACTAGAATTAGTTCTTTGTCCAGAAGGATGTGGTAGATAATTTAAATAAGATGCTTTAGAAAAACATATGAAAGTTTGTAAACAAGTATTCCAATAAAAAAGACAAGAATTTAATTCAAAATAAGCAAGAGTTGTTACAAATGATCAATAAAAGTTATAACGTTAAGGATAAATAAAAGAGAAATAATTATAAAAAAAACAAGGAAAAGCTCCTTTAGATCCTAATTGGAAAAAACAATCAGAAGAATTACGTAATTTAGTAAAAGAATCCAAGTAATAACAATGAATATTTTATGATTAATGATAAAATCAAATCCCTTTTTTTATATTAAACACAATACTTTCATCTAATTAATCTCATAATATATCGGACTTTTAAAATATGTAAATCTAGTAATAATCATTATCTTATTTATTCTAATAAAATATTTATTGATTTTCAATCTATATTCCAGTTAAATATAACTTAATATCAGACATGAATAAAAATTCTGTTTGACTTTTATTTTAACTGACAGAATCCTGTAAAAGAAATTAGAAAATTAACAAAAATATCATAAACATTGTGATTATTTAATCTAATCATCAAACCAATTATTTAAATCAATACACTTAATCTTTCAAAATTTAATTTTTCTTTGAATTCTCTAAATTGATTTTTCATTTTAAAGCATTTTAACTAAAATCAATCTATCTTTCAAGTATCCTAATTAGGATTATTTTTTTAAATGAAATTTTCATATAATTTACATAAATATGTTATTTAGAATATATTTTGATAATAATAATAATTAATTAATTATCGTAAGAGTAAGATTTGTGCAATAAATTGTTAGTTTAGGTTTTTATAAAAATAAAAATAAAGATCAAATACAAAATACTAAATTGTTGTAATGAATAAAAATTTAGAAATTTTAAAGAGTAAAAAATAAAATAACAATTTTCTTTAAATAATATTAACCAAATATATAAATCTCATCTAAATAATGATACCATTAATAATAGATTTATATGATTATTAATAGAATATAATAATTTTTGAAGATTCTATAAATAGTTAAAAAGTATATTTGTTATAAATGTGTTAATAAAGATAGTGAGTTTCCTCAACAAAAATGTAAATATAAATAGTGTAAAAATATATCCTCATGTCATTTCTTTTTTGTGGCCATACTCATTAATTTTTCTTCCATATCCTTTTATCTTGATATTATTTTTTCTTCTAATTCTTATTTTGCCAAATCAAGTTTTCTTTATATTGCTTCCATTATAATTGGATCCAATAATTCTTCATCAGTTGGTTCTGGTGGAGCTTATTAATCTTCTTAATCAACAGTTTCAATTTATCCATCATCTTCAGCTTTTTGTTCATAAGGTCGATAAATTAATGCTTCATCTAATGGTAATGGTTACAAAGGCAAATCAATCTATAAATCCATATGAAGTTCCAATGTTCTTTAATCTGATTTTAAGGCTTGAATTATCAAATCTATATGATTTAAATAAATTTAGAAATGATCTTTAATTGGTAATATATGCATTGATCTAAAATATCCTATTTCTGCATGTGTTTTTAATAAATTATTAAATAATTCTGCATCTGTAATTTAATTCTTTTATTGTATTGTATTATTGTATCTCAATTCTTGACTAAACTTGGTGTTATTATTTGTAAATGATAAAAATAAAATATTTACCAATACTTATATACTTTCATCATTTAAACTTTTTAATGATTTTGCAAATATTAAATCATTTATTAATATATCAGCTGTTATTTAAAAATCAATATCTCGCAATTGATCTTTACAGTTACTAATTTCTGCTAACTTTTAATTTACAATCTTCATTTTACTTTATGCAAATATTCTATCGTTGCCTTATGTGGTTCTGGATGTGGATAAACATTTTCAATATAAAATTTAGTAATTGGAAGAGGCAAACTGATCTTAAACATATTGAATTACTTTGTATTATTGAGTTTACTAATTTTATATTTCTCCATTTCTTTTCTCTATTTTTCTTCTTCTTCTTCTCTTTATCTTTACTCTTCTGCTAATCTAGCTGCTTCTTCTTCTTTTTATTTTTGAGTCTTTGGAGGCATATTCAATAATTTAATAATATTTAGAAATATTCAATAAGAATTACATATTTTTAATGTTCAAAGAATTTCTTTATCAAATAATTGAATATTCAGTATAAAGATTTTAATATTGTGAAAAAACTGAAATAAAATAGTAATATTATGACAAAATTAAATCTTTAGAGACTTCATGAAAGTGTCTTTAATAATTTTCAATTAAGTATTAAATTAAATAATCCTCATGTGTGATGCAACATTTAAAAAGAAGAACTTTATTTTCTGATTCTTTTCAAGAATGGATTTTTTGAGAATAAAGTCTTATAATCTGTTTCTGTTTCCTTCAAAATATTACCACAAGAAGACAGGGTTTTTGAAGTTAGAACATCAATGATTTGATTGTTTGACCTTTCATATTTTAATTATTTAATCAGAGGGTTCGTTTTCATTTTAAGACCTAAGTTTTTCAAGTATCGAGTGATACTTTTCTCGATTTTGTGTGATTCATTTCCTTAATGTTCATTTAAAGTTATTTCAATAGAGTTATCAGAAAACTAATCATAATCATCCATTCTAATTATTAATGAATTTATTCATTGGAATCATTAACATTTAAGTATTAAATTTTGTTGTTTAAATTTCTTGATTAAACTCATCACTAATTTATCAAAATATGAATATATAACTTAATTGCTTTGTACAACATTTACAATAAAATTAATTTCTTGCTTAAATTTGTATTTTATAGTTTTTTGAATAAAAACAATAAATTAAGTAAGGAAGTAATTTTTTTGCTTGCCATTTTGAAAAATAAATTTATTTATAGATTAAATACTTATTATTAAATAAATTATGAGAACTCGAAAAGTTCAAGATGGTTCAGTGGGTTTTGAGATACGAGGATAGAGTTAACCAAAATTTAAAAGAAAAGGATAATTTGAGAATTCTGATGATATATTATTAGATATTCCAAATGGAGATTTGATTGAAGGAAAAACTTATTATAAAACTAATTGTGCATCCTGTCATCATTTAGGTTTATTTTATCAAAATTTTTAGATGTAAATACAAATTTAGGACCTTCATTAAGAACAGTCTACTTAAGAAGATTCAGAAAAAATTGGTCTATGGAATATGGAGGAGGAGACTTAAACTCTTGCTAAAAATTCATTTGGAATAGAAAAAAATTATGGGAATTTTTATAAAATCCAGAAAAAATGTTTGTAGATACTGCAATGTAATTAGATGGCATCAATGATCCATTTATACTTGCTAGTGTCATTGATTATCTTTAATATTTAAGAGTTTTTACTTCAGATAACAAAAAAATCGTAATCTGAAATCTATATATGCTAGCAATACTATTTAATATTAAAGTTATTTATTTCAAATTATACAATATATAATCATTCATTTTATAAATGTTTTATTATTCATTAATCACTAATCTTTATGCTTAATCAACGAATTGATATAAATAATTATTGATTAAATTATTATAGTAGTTTTGAAAATATGCTTTGATTTTAAATGGTATTAACATATAAATTATATATAATTGTGAATGAAATAAAGAATTGCGTATAGATAAATAAAATATAGTATATAATTAGAAATAGCAAAATTTCTTTTTTAAATCTAAGTTTCTCTTTGAAAGAATTTGAAAAAATAGAAGAAGGAAAGCAACAATAATCATATATTAATAAGATTTAATTAGATTGTAAGCAAAATCTTTTATTTTAGGAAAATTATAGAAGACTGTCTCATGAAGGCTAAAAAAAATTAATTTAAGTAATGAAATGAAAGATTTATATTCTTTAGAGGAATTTCAAATATAACCAATTTAAAAGAGGGTAATCTATGAAGTTTCAATAAGAATAAACAAAAAATAAATCTTTAGATAAGGATTGGAAACACGAAATATGAATATTTATCAATATGTTTTCTTATCCGCTTTTGTACCAATCAAATGATAAAGGATTATCATCACAACAATTCCAATTCCTAATGTATTGCACAACAGCATAATCTCATATTCCATGGCTTTAATTATATATATATAATATAATCAATCAGAAATAAAAAAGTTTACTTTTTCTGTAATTTTCTCTAGAAAATTAATATATCAAAGGAATATCTGAAAATGAATATTTGATAGAACTCATTTTATTGATAATGAATATTAAATGAAATTTTGTTTATCAATCGAAAAAGTCATATCTAACTATTTTTTAGATTAAAAATAAATTATTATTTTTCAGCAAATATTAGTCACAGGCCCATCTATAAAATATCTAATTAAAAATGCTCTTTTATCATTTGAATATAAAGCATAAGGAATTTTTCTACTCATAAGACCTACAATATTATCTGACTATAGCTCTATTTTTTACTCATCTACTTCAATAGTAACAGGATTTATAATGTAAAGAAAAGTGAATTTTTTGCCTGTATCAGTTTTTTTATCAAATGATGAATCATAATGTTTTTTATGTTTTTTTTCTTTTCCTCCAAAATAACTTATTTAATATGATTCACTTATTTAAACTAAAAGATCTTTGTTTTTAGAATTCAATTCATAAGGTAAGGCACTTAGAATATGAGAAATGAAATAAAGATTCTTAAAAGCATCCTTATCCATTTAACTTAAAGTTAACCAAAATGTCTTATCATCTCTTTATAATTCAGTTTAAACTTCTTCGAATCTACCATCTCTTTCTAGAAAATCTAATTCTTTATATAAGGCAGAACAGAAATCATTATTATTAATGAATTTATTCATAACACTCCATCCAGTTTTCATCATTTCATACATAAAATCAGCAGATAAAAAATTTAATTCAATTTTAGGATATTTATTAATCCATGTTTATGGTGTAGCAACTAACATTTATTATTTAGAATCTATATATTATTCTTTTTGCATTTCTAATCTAATTTCTTTTAAAAAATAAAAATGTAATCCTTCTCTTAATACTTCATTCAAAATATAAACTTCAGTTTCTACATCCCACTATAATTTATCTTTTTTTCCAGATTATTTAATACTATTAAATCTCTATTATAAATAATCTAATATTTATGGTAATTTAGATCGAATATTATTTTTTGATAATTATTCAAATACAATTTATTCTAATGCACTTCTTTCTTTTTCTGGAATGTAGACTTTAGCAAAAAAAGATCCACAACAATTTCTATCGTCATCTTTATGTTCATGATGACAATCTTTATGTTATTATGTATAATAATAAGTATTTTTTTCCTTGAATCTATCTGCTTATTTTTAATCTAATGAAAATATTAGTTTGTAAGCATTTAAAAAGTATTTTCTAAATATTTTAACTAATAATATTTCTTAGTCACTCATAATAATAATATTAATATTAATAATAATTATATATCAAGAATATGAATTAGTTAGTGTTTCCATTTTTCTTTCTTCTTTATCCAACATAATTAAACTTTAATTGAAACGAGGTTTATCTGTTTTAGTAAATCTTCCTTATTCTCTTTATCTATATTCAGCTAAATTTTTTCTAATAGGATATCTATAAGAAATAAATAATTATTTATTACCTAACTTATTTCCATTATCTATTGTGTTTCTTTTCTAAATAAGCAGCAACTTTTGCCGCTCTTTCTTCTTTACTTAATTTTTATCCTGGATTTAATAGTTTCTATTCGATGAGAAAGTCATCCATAGATCTTTTCTATCTCTCTTCTTCTACTTTTATTTCTGTTTTTAGAACTTATGAGGCTTCAGCCATTAATTTTTCATAATTAGCAGGCATTCCAAAAGGAATGAAATGTAATCTTTATTAAGTTTATACTATATTGTTTTGTATTTATTAAAGATCATTTAAGGGTTTGGTTAAGATATCTGAAACATCTAACTCTTCTCCCAATTTTAGATATTTTTAAATTCCCATCATCAATTATGGTTTAGCAATAGTTCTTTCTTATTATTAAACTTGAGTTATTGCTATCTTAACATACGGTTGAAATGAACTTGAAGGATTACCATTACTTAAAGTCAGTCTATTAAAGCTTTCATTTAATTTCTCTCCAGTTGATTCACTTCCCTCACTTCCAATACTTAACTTTCTTCTCTTATTTATTACTTCATTATTCGTATTAGTATTGTATAACTTGAAACCTAAACTCATTTAATTTAATTTATTTAAGGCTGTATTCGCTCTAATATTTTATTATTATCAAGATTATATAATCAAATTATTATATATCAAAATCATAACTTTTAAATACTTAAGCATCTATTTTACTCATTTTTATATACTTCAATCAAGATTTCCTCTATAATCTAAATAAATATATTAAATATATGAATATTAATTTCTATTCTAATATATTTCATCTTAAATTTTAATCTTAGAAGTATTCTATGTATAATGTCACTTTTATGTTTAAAAATATATTATTAGAAATTTAAAGATATTCTAATATATTTATAATTAATAAAATTTTTAATAAGCTCATCATTGTTTTACAAATTAATAATAATCACTAATTGATGATGTTATTGTACTGATTCAACTTACATTTTGTAAAGGAATCAGCATCACTTTTGTAGATTACAAAATCGTTATCTACAAAATATATCAAAAAGTGTTTTAATGAACTGGAAAATAGCAAATCGTTATAATCTTAATTGAGCTAAACAATCTCATTTGAATCTGTAAGTGATTTAATCTTATAAAGAGGTGTAACAACTGTTCCTTAAGAATTCTGATATGGAATAGCTACAGCATTTCCTTTCAAAGTAACATAACTTATTTATGTCCAATCCTTGTATCTATTTAATACAGCTTCAACAATGGTTTTATTTGCTTAATATAAAATTTAATAATTATCTTCAAAATCAGTAGTTATAATAAACTAAGATAAATTTTCACTAACTTTCCACAAAGCAGCACTTTTGAATTTGGTAGTTGATTTGAGAGAAATAATAGCTTATCTCAAAGGAATGTATCCTTAACTATAAGGAACCAAATTGTTAGTTCTTAAAATTGAATCAACCCATAGTACACCATCATTTTTTTCAGTCATTAACAATCGATAAACTAATTAAGAATCAATATAATATGATTTAACATCAAAATCTGTTAATTATAGACTATTTCTATTAAAGTAGATTTTATCAAAAATATAAGATGTTGTTCTCATATACCAAGCATTTGTTTATATGACTATTGTATAAAATAGAATTCTGTCATTTTGTAACATTATTAAAGTATTTCCAATTACAATAGCCTTATCAAATAATTAGACTCCTAAAGGTATATAAACCATGCCTCCAAAAGGATTACAATTTACTCCATAACATTAATAACCTTATAAGTAAGCTTCAGATCCATTTTATTGACAACCAACAAAAAAGATATTTTCTAATGGATATCCAATTACTCTGTTACAACTATAACCAGTAGTTTTAGGACCAAGTGTTGAGTTTAAAACATTTAGATCTTAATCTAACAATAAAAGTTTCTTAGTTGTTTGAATTACATCAATAGATCCATTTCCAAATTTTGCTTTATCAATGAGATCCTCATAAGTATCAATATCAAACACTTATTCAAATATGCAATTAACACTATCTAATTGGGCCAAAGCTGAAGGGAACAAAACATAAAAAATTAATGACATCATTATTAAAAATAATATGATTATATTTTATTTCTTTTTTCATATTATATATATTACATTTATAATATATATTATAACTATTATGTGAAACTTATGAAAAAGTATTTCTAATAAATAGTCTAAATTAGCTTTAAATAATTTATTGTCATTCAAATTATAAATGATCCAAAACTGTATTGTTATTTTATAGATTTTTAATTTTAAATTAAAGATTGCTATATTCTTTAAAAAGACTAAAATGATTTAATAAAACAAAGTCAAAAATAAAGTCAAGCGTTAATAATATATTATTCATAAATTTAACTGTTATAAATTTTATCTTTGTATATTATTCTTAAGTTAGATTCATCCCAATCATTATGAGTAATTTTAAACCTGTTTAAATCTACTGTTTTCAGAGATAAAGAAATATTCCTTGTATTCAAAGTTTCTCTAATTGATAATTTAACTTTTTAAATATAAGATATAGATATAAAATGATCTGTATTTGAGAATTAGATTAACATAAAAATATTAAATTATTTAATTTAAAAAGAGAATGATCTAATAAACTTAAATAATTCTTCTAATATTTAATTTAAATGAATTTATACAAATTATAAAATTGTTATTCTAGAGATTTTTAAGTGATTCTAATATATAATATAGAGATTTCTAAGTTTTAAATAGTTTATATATCTTTTTCTTAGAATATAAGTTAGATTAATAATTGAAGATTAAGAATTATAATATTTGATTTTTGAGAATTATATAATAATTGTTATATTAAATTACTTGAATTAGAAATATGAAATCATTATCTTTTATTAATCCATTCAACAATTTTGGGAATAATTTCAAGGATTTCTTATTCAGCTATACAATCATGCCACATATTTTCATAATAAATGAGTTCTTTATCATTTGAAGGACTTTATTTAATAAGTTCATGTCCAACATCAGGATCAATAATTTAATCCATACCTCCTGCTATAATCAAGAAAGGTTTTGAAAAATTTTTAAAAGAATTTGGAGCTTCTCTCATCATTTATAATAAAACTCTAGCTGTGCCTGGTAAAGTAGAATTTTAATTTATATAAGGATCATTGATATTATCTTCTATAATCTATGGATTTTTAGAAGCATTTTGGAATGAAGCAGGAAAGGGAGACCAAGTAGGAATGAATTTACCTAATAAGATAGCCATTTTTTTTAAATAAGGTCTATTATAATAATTATCCATTAGAGCAGGTGTGATTAAAATAGTTCCATGAACATGATCATTTATACCTAAAAGGTATGATGTTAAACCACCTAATGATTATCCTAATGCAAATAATTTTGTTCCTGGATATAATTGTTTAATTAATTAAATAAATCTTGTACAATCTTCCAAATGTTATTATTGTGATTCAAGCCACCCTCTTAACCCTTAACTTTTACCAAATCCTCTAAAATCAAAACCTACACATACACTGTTTGCTTCTTTACTCACTGCTTAAGCTATATGAGCATATAATCCAAGATGTTCATTTAATCCATGAAAAAAGATAGTGATAGATTTTGGAGTTTAATTTGGTTTAGTAAAACATCTATATGTATGTAGTTTTATTGTTGTATTTCTTTAAACACCACTAAATTCAATCATACCTTCTTCATCCCACTTAATATCTCCTAATGGACAAGGCATTCTATATTATTCTTATGAAGTAGCCTTTTAAATTCTTTCATTTCTGATATCTTTTTCTGATTTTTTAAACCAATGCATGACAATTTTTAATATTTAAATAGTGTTTAATAGAGAAATAATTAGATTTAAACTAAATAAATAACATTTATAGAACTCAAGGCTATCTTAAATTCTTTGTAATAAGATCCATTTATAGTGGATCAATCATTAGACTATTAGGAAGCAAAAATGGATTATTCATGAGTTCAAAAGGATATTTGGGTACCATTTTCAATATCATTTATTTTTAAGGTTGTATTTCAATTGGTTGAATATGTTGGGTTTAATTTTGTTGATCTTTATTTACTTAATGAATAAGATTAGCAAATTAGATCCCATTCAATTAAATATCATCAATTTAATCATCTATTTATTATTAACAAATTCTAAGCTCTTTTTATTTTAGTTTTAGTTATTTAATGAGACTAAGATAATTGAAAATAAATACTAAGAGAAGTTTTTCTTATGATCTATGACTCTCCTTACAATGGCATATAAATTTAAAAATACTTTATCATCACAAATCCCTGTAGAATCTCTAAGATTTTTCATATAATCAGTTAATTCTTCTTCATCATGCATAGTATCTAAGATTTATATAAAATACTACATGTTTTTGAGAAGTAGCTTTGTTGTCCAAATAACAAAGTGCCATAATTTCCATCTAAAAGTAGTCTTGCAATATTTTAAAAGCAATATCGTAAATATTACTTTCTTTTAGTACCTGTGGCATTGAACTTATATTTATATGATTCTGTAAGCAATTATTACAATTCATTAAATTCTTATTCTTTTAACTTGAGCTATTCAAACAATTAAGTTTGTTCAACAACTAAATCATATATGCTTGAATTTTGTTCTAAGACAGAGTGGATACTCTAAAAAGTTGATTCTGTTGATTTCCTTAATTGTTCGATTGCTTAATTTAAGTCTTCAACCTTCTTTTCTAAAAGGTTTATATATAACTTTTTTCGTTATCTTGAATTCCTTGCACTTTCCCTATTTCTTATCATCTTTTAATCTTCATTCTCTAGCTATTTACTGGATGAACTTGGCTCCTTTTATACTTTTTTTATAATCTTTTCATTTTCACCTTCTACACTAAGTAGAGAATGTATCTTTTTGATATAAGTGTTCTTAACATGACCTTTAATGTTCTATAATCCTAAAGCATCATCTTTTAATGAAGCTTAAGAATCAATCTAAACCAAAGATCTCTCCTCAAGTTTAACATCTTGTTTTGATAAACTATAAGGTAGAAATGATGGCATTAGAAATCTACCCCTTACTTAATCTTCATCAAACTGTTCAGGTAAATGGTATTCTTGATATTCATTTAACTTTTGCATCACTACTTATGATAATAATAATTGATGAATGACGTCTGAACAGACATATATAGTATAATTGTTATAAAAATAGCTACTTTCGACATAAGAACAATCTATATTATTTTTTATAAAATATTCCAATCAAATCTCATACTTTTTATCAACATTCAAATCTAAAATCGTTTTATTTCTGATATTAGTAAATTCTTAATTGAAAATAATATTAATTTCTCTGTATCAAAAAATCATATAAATTTAATATTATATATCAGTCCACATCCATTTATTCCCAATCTATTTCATCATAAGTAATATATTCTGAATACAAATCACTCACTGTTTATTCTGCTTCAGTGAACTCTAATTCATCTGCTCCTTCGACTGCATAATAATGAAAATAAGCCTTTCTTCTCCATTAATCCAAAAATTTTAAACATAACTATCTACAATAAATTCCAAAATAATTATGATGACCAATATATAATACAGTATCGCCTAAATCATAATGCTTAATCTTGCAATTTATATTACAAAAACTATTTTTAACCCAATTAGTTTAATTTTTTAATTTTGATGTAGACTCTTATATTTCATAATATAAACAATCTGTTCTACTTATTGTCGCCTACATTCGATAGTAATTCTTTGCATCTTCTTAGAATGTAAAATTTTAATTTTAGGGATATGTTAATCTCTAAATCTAATCAATTAATATTCTATCTGGATTCAAAACACTAAAAGCATTAGATAAAAAATGCATTCTTGGAAATGAAATTAAATTTACTGCTAATTTTCTTATATCACCATTCTAAAATCCTGGAAATCTCATTGAACAATTATTTTATAGTATTGTTTCTGCTATTATGTCATGACAATTCTATAAACTTGAATATTTATTTTATTCCTAAACTCTTTTAAATAAAGAATTGTAATCATAAATCATTGAATAATTACAAACAAATATCAATTAATTAAGAGAAAGAGTTGCATTATAAATTTCAATCCCAGAACATGATATTAAATTTGGAAATACTGATGTAGAACTACAAAATAATTAACTTTCTAAAGATAAGAATGACTACATAGATATTCCACAAAATTTATCAGAAAGTGAATGAATAAGATTACACCCAAACAAATAATCTGAATTCTCATAAATTGATCTCATCTTTTCTTCAAATTCTTATTAATACATTTAAGTAAAAATATTCTTTCCATGATGATAAGTGCCATGTAAATAAATATTTTTACCAATCATATAATTAGGATCTATAAAATCTTAATCTTACAAAGACATTATTTCATCCATAGCTGATTAATTTGAATTAATTAATACATTGTTATTCATCTAAAAATACACCTCTAAAGCTTAAATATTTCTCATGTTCTTCAAAACAAGTTGATATTCTATTTTAAATTTGTTTATTTTGTTATTAATCTTTCATCAAAGATTCTAATCCATGATCTTTAACTAATTTTTCTAAATATTTTAAGCATATTTCATTAGAATTCTAACCAGCATTTATTTAAATTAATTAGCTCATTAATATGCTTTACGAAAATTATTATATAAAATATTTTAAATAATATATAAATTGAATTAAGTTTATAAAATTATAAATTATTTTTAATACATTTCTTATAAGTTGCACAATCAAAGAGAAAGTTAAATCAATAGTTAGTAGTTAACATCAGCTTTGAAATTTTTTGTTCTTTTTATTTAAAGCATGTTTTTTTTATCAGGGTAGTTTTAATTTTTCATATGATTATAACAAGTATTTTGTATTATCCTTACAATAATTTAAATACTTAAATAGTCTAGGCTTTACTATGACGCATTAAAAACCGAAATATAAGATAATTTAGAATTTGCTATTTCATCTGATTGAGAATTAATAATGTAATATAATGGTGGTTTCAAATAAAAATAATCTTAATATGGTTGTAAAAGTTCTAAGAAATAATTTCCTCTTTTAATGACCTATTATATATTTTTACTTTCATTAAATTAGTAAAGCCTATTTGCATCCTTTAAGTAATTACTAAATCTCCAATATACTGATTAAAAGAAAATCTGATAACTAGCTATAAATTTTTATGACAAATAAAGCTAAATTTATTTTATCCTTCAGATTTTTCTACCATCTATCATCATCTTAGATTTTTATAAAACATTTACAAAATATGCTAGTTTATCTTAAATTTTTTTTTAAGAATTCACTTAATCTTTACTCTTAGAAAAAAGAATATCAAGAAATAAATGCATAAAGGAATTATATATAATAAATTTTAAGATAGAATCAATAATAATTCTAAGAATTTTCTTTAATTTTAAAGTTTTATATTGATTTATTTATTTATTCTTTCAACTATAAATTTATCAACATAATTAAATAATCAATTAAATTTTATCAACTTCATTAACACCATTTTTCAATATTTATAGAAATATTAATCAATAATTAAATATATTAAATGAAAGAATAGTATTTTATAATTATTTCTAATTTTATGGTGTAGTTAATTATTTTGTATTAAATTAAAAATGACTTTTTTTTCTCAAAAAGAATTCAAACTCTAAGAAATACAAAATTTTAAGATTTATTAATAAGATGCACATGGAATATATGCTTCATATTTTGATTAATGGGGGTAATATATATATTCATTAGCTGAGTATCATAAATTAAAAATATATGATTTGAGAAGAAGAAGTACTAAGCTCATAATTTTTTGTCGATGCGAATGTATCATAGCATTAAGAGTTTGTGAAGGAATTAGTACAATCATAACATGTTGGTAACCTGGGCTTCTTATTATACACAAAATTGAAACTAGAAATTGGAAGATATTAAAAAGATAATATCTTCAATCACCAATAAATTTTATTAATATAAGTAACATCAATTAATAAAAAAATCATTTTGCAAGTAATGATATATTAATTTAGTTTCTAAAAATGATGGATCAATGATAATTTATCATAACTTCAAAAATTTATTTTAACCATTTTAATAAATATATGCTTCAAATAAAGAAATAAGACTCAACATTATATTTCTTGAATCTACATTATTTTGTTCAAATTAAAATACTCGTTTGGTAGAGTATTTTAAATTAAATGAAAATGTTAATCGATACGAATTGTTAAATAAGTTAGTAAATAAATTTCCGATCTAATAAATATATGGTTCATTTAATAGAATTTTGATTCTTAGCTCTAATAATAAATATTATTAATATATTTACAATAAAAAAAAAGATAATTTTGAAAAAGGAGAGCTTTCCAAAGAAAAAGGTTCTATTTTATCTTAGATTGAATTTTTAGATGAAGGAAACTCCTTTTTAGAATTGAGTTACCAAGGTGACATCAAATTATGGAGATTTATTAATTAAGAGCTTTAAATTATAAAGGTTGTAAAGCTTTAGCAACACATTACTAGTGCCAGTGTTTCAAAAAATAAAAATACTTTAATTATTGGATTGGCAGATGGAACTATCAAGGTTTTAATTTGAATTATGTATTCTATTCATGTCATATCAAATAACCATTCAGCAATAATATATTTTATTAATATGAAAATATTTTGGAGAATTTAAATTTTTTTAGATCTGTTTCTTAAGTACAGATAATATCATTGTTGATAATATTTAATAGTGATACTAATTCATTATAATTTTTCTATTTTTAAACAATAAAATTGATATTAATTATATTGTGAAATATTTAACTCTACTATCAATGGGTGATGACTCAAATGATACAAAAATATNAATTAAAAATATATGATTTGAGAAGAAGAAGTACTAAGCTCATAATTTTTTGTCGATGCGAATGTATCATAGCATTAAGAGTTTGTGAAGGAATTAGTACAATCATAACATGTTGGTAACCTGGGCTTCTTATTATACACAAAATTGAAACTAGAAATTGGAAGATATTAAAAAGATAATATCTTCAATCACCAATAAATTTTATTAATATAAGTAACATCAATTAATAAAAAAATCATTTTGCAAGTAATGATATATTAATTTAGTTTCTAAAAATGATGGATCAATGATAATTTATCATAACTTCAAAAATTTATTTTAACCATTTTAATAAATATATGCTTCAAATAAAGAAATAAGACTCAACATTATATTTCTTGAATCTACATTATTTTGTTCAAATTAAAATACTCGTTTGGTAGAGTATTTTAAATTAAATGAAAATGTTAATCGATACGAATTGTTAAATAAGTTAGTAAATAAATTTCCGATCTAATAAATATATGGTTCATTTAATAGAATTTTGATTCTTAGCTCTAATAATAAATATTATTAATATATTTACAATAAAAAAAAAGATAATTTTGAAAAAGGAGAGCTTTCCAAAGAAAAAGGTTCTATTTTATCTTAGATTGAATTTTTAGATGAAGGAAACTCCTTTTTAGAATTGAGTTACCAAGGTGACATCAAATTATGGAGATTTATTAATTAAGAGCTTTAAATTATAAAGGTTGTAAAGCTTTAGCAACACATTACTAGTGCCAGTGTTTCAAAAAATAAAAATACTTTAATTATTGGATTGGCAGATGGAACTATCAAGGTTTTAATTTGAATTATGTATTCTATTCATGTCATATCAAATAACCATTCAGCAATAATATATTTTATTAATATGAAAATATTTTGGAGAATTTAAATTTTTTTAGATCTGTTTCTTAAGTACAGATAATATCATTGTTGATAATATTTAATAGTGATACTAATTCATTATAATTTTTCTATTTTTAAACAATAAAATTGATATTAATTATATTGTGAAATATTTAACTCTACTATCAATGGGTGATGACTCAAATGATACAAAAATATGGATAATCACATGCATTATAGTGTTTCTTTTAATTGCAATGATAGTATTCATAGTTTTACAAAGATTCCGAAAAAAAAATAAAAGTAAAAAGCTAGAAGAAGAAATCAATAAATTATAGTAGTATGTCAATTCTTGCGACAGAAAACTTGAAAGTCGGGGTGATAATATAAATACATAGCCATAATTATAAAATTAATCAAGCTCATTTACAAAAACAAACCCTATTTATTAATAAGATTAAGAAGGTTCAAGTAAAAAAAAATAAAAAATATTTTATGATCTTGAAATGGATAAGTTAGAGAGGGAAATCATAAATCAAGATTCTTATTCTCCGAATAGCAATGAAAAAGGAAATTCAGGAAATTAAAATGGATATAAATAAACTCTGGGAATTAAGAAGAAAAACTTATAAATTCAAATCCCTTAAGATTGATATTAAGCATCATACATTCTATTAATTTTCAAATAAGATTTATAATTGGATTTCAAGAGTGCATTTTATTATTCCTTTAGATTATGTATTTAATTTGTGAATTTATTTTAACATATTTGAGTCCAATTAACTGATATACAAAATTCTTTTATTATTATTTTTGTATTCCTTATTGGTAATATTTGGAGAAGTTTTTGTTCATTTACTATTGATTCTATTAAATTTTAATATAGATTTTCTCAATTTTAGAAAGACCAATGCTGGATAAAAATAATTTTTTCTATTTTTTATGTATACAATGATGAATTTTTTGCTTTTGTTGATAATGATTTTAATAGAATAATTTAAAAATTTTGAAATCCCTCTCATTTCTTACTTTTTAATAACCAAATGATTTCTTATTTTATTTATTCCATCTATTTTTTTACTTGTAAATGATTCTTTTTATTTAAAATCATTGATTTATCCAAAAACATCTTTTAGTTTAGTTTCAATTATTAGATTAAGAGATAAAATAATTATCTAAATTTTAAGTTTTAAAGAGTATAAAATATTGAAGTATTTAATTTTTGCTATTAGAATATAATTTTTTTACATTAAAGATTCAAGTATATTTATTTATTAATAATAATTTTATTCAATACTTTATCATATTAATGTTAGTATATCTCTCAAATTTGATATTGAGGATTTGATAAAATTAATAATTTTTTTAAATTATTATAAATTCTATTTCATTTCTTAAACAAATACAAATTAACAAAAATTTCCTTCATTCTCTTTTAAATTGAAATATAAATTAGATATTTTGTGATCATTTTTAAGTTATTTGCTTCAATTTATATTTTAAAAAAGGGATTGTATATATCATTTCTTAAATATACTCTTTGAGTTTAAAATAAATTATAAATAAAAATTTTTTTATGAAAAATCTTTAAATACTTAAAGTTAATTTATATAGTCAGTCTTTATTTATAGGAATTATAAAGATTATTTTGTGGGAATTTTGTCAGATTCATAAATATGTAATCTAAACACATGATTAAATTCAAAGTTAATTAATTAATTATTAAATTTGAAATTAACAGTCAATAATGTCTAAAAAGGTCAAACAATTAGCAGAAGTAATAGCTTTATAAGAAAAAACAATTGGAAAGCTATAAAAAATAATAGAAAACAAAAAATCTAAATAAATTGGAAGTAGAAAGAATCAAAGCATAAAATTAGATTAAAAATATTTAGTTGGGTATTTCACCTGAATTTATTGTCAGTACAAATGCAAAACCTCCAAGACTAGATTTTAATGAAACAAATAGATCCTATAGATGTCGACCTTCAATTTCTCAGACCCATAATTAATTGAGTTAAATTTCAACAGACTATATTCAAGATATTTAATCACTCAGAGGAAAAATTGAGGGACTTTAAAAAGATAAATAAGATAGATCATTATTCTTTCAGGATAAAGAAAATTGGAATAATAATAATAATTAATAAAAAATAGAGCATCTTGAAAAATAAATAAAAGATAGAGAAACTACAATAAATGTTTTATAAGAGCAGCTCGTTTAGGAAAAATAAATAAGATAATAAGTATATAATTAATTGTAAATTCTCTCTAGACCTAATAAGATTTAAAATAATAGAGAACAATATGGAATAGAATGTATTCAGAATTATCAAATGAAATAAAAACTTTAAAAACAGAGCTTAGAGCTTTTTCATCTTAACCTAAAAAAAGATCAAATTAATTATTTTTTTCATGATGAATTTAATAAAATATAATCATAAGTATTTATCGATAATATTCGCTGCTAATTAATTAATTTTTGAATTTTAATTGTAGCATAGTTCTTAAAGAAGTTTTTTTCGATTTATTAATTAATTTAAAAGAACATGATTCATTTTTGAGTCCAAAAAATAATTTATTAATACTAAAACTTCTCCTAAATACTATTAAGAATCTAAGAGCTCAATGTAATAATTAATAAGAAATATTTCTTCTAATATATCAGTGTTTTATGAATTTTAATGGATTAGTATTAAAATTTCTAATATTTTTTATTAAGGGATTAGCATTACTAAATCTTAAATCAAATTTTTGTTTGAGATTAAAGAGCAAAGTTTTTCTGAATAGGCCATATCATAAATAAGATCAATTACCAATTAAGAGGATCTTAAATCATATAATTTTGCTCTAAAAAAATCCAAAATGTAAGGATTGTTAGTAAAAATTTAGAGAATGAATTATTCATCAGCCAAAATATTACATATAAGGCCAAGTGTATTAAATTAGCTACCCATAAGATCTATTATGAAATCTTCACATTATAATTCATTAACACTATGATAAATATAATTTTTACAAATTTTATGAACGTATGGTTGATTTGTGACTGAGTTTAGTAGCTAACATCATAGCCTCCTCATCTTATAAAGATAATTACTTCAATAATTATGCTGTTATTTTTATATATTTTACCTGATTTTTAAGTAAAATTTTACTTCTATATTAAGGGAAACTTGATGCAAAAAATATAATGTTAATTTTTGTGCTTAATTTGATTGATACAATTTATCATATTCTAATAGCCACTTCAATATTTATTGTGATTCAAAAATATTTTGACTTCTATTTTAAATGAATTCTCCAAGATTGAAGATAACATCATCTTTATTTCTTGTAGTTAAATAATTCATTAATTCAGCATTATCGTATTAGATAATCTTTCGACTTTTAGAAAAGATCTCTTCATTTTTTTATCTTCTTATTGAAACTCTAAGATGTTCTCTTTTCAAAGAAATACAATTTTATGTCTCAAACATTTTAATTTTCCTTTTTTTAATTTATTTTATCCTAAAACTTCAAATTATATATTGCTTAGTATCATTATTAAAACATTTTAATTGAAGTTCTTACATTTTCAGTCTATGCATAATCTACTAAATTTTATAAATTAAATGATGAATAATTTTCAAACACTCTTACTTTTAAAAAGATATCATTATTTTTTCTATTTAGATAATAAAATTAAATGTTTTCAGATATATTTATTATAAAAATTTATAAAATAATGGACATAATAAAGGATATTTCTTTATAGAAATTGATTTATTTAGAAGTTTAAATATTGCTACCTTTTATTGTAACAAGTCTACTTTTTTGAAATAAGGGAATCTAAAATAACAATACTAATGATTATATTATACTGCTTATTATACCAGGATTGTTGTTATAGTAATTTATTTAATTTAAGATTTAGTTTTTGGTTAAGATTCTCCTCATGAAACATATCAAAATTTGTCAAAATAATTATTGAAAAAAGTATTTAAATAAAAAAGGAAAAAAATTTATTTACTGCTCATTTAATAATATCATATTTAGTATTTTTTATTTCTCTTAATTATATTCCTCTCTTGTCATTTCACAAAATCAATCTCCTTTATATGCAAATACTTAAATTAAAGTAGTAGTAAAGAATACACAGATGGTTAGATATTAGTTTTAATTTTTTAGTTACATCCATTATAAGAAGAAGAGTGTTAATCAAGAGTGGTTTAGGATAAATATTGATTAGACCATCCTATAGAATGTATAGTTAAGATTAATTCCTACTATGATTTACATTGAGTATTTAAGATTTTTGTCATGAGAAAGTAGTGTCAATTAATAATTAAATAGTAAATTCATTTATGCAATATTATGTACGACACGATTAGTAATTATCAGTAGAATGTTTTTATTTATTCATGAATCTCATTTTTTAACAGTTATTTTAAGACATTCTGGATTGAATCTTGGATATATAATTATATTATATCTATGGTGTTAGAATGAATAGGAAGTTAAGGGATGGAAATCATTTGAATTTGATAAATAATAAAAGCTCATATTAAAGGATTTTCAAATTCTAATAAAATATTGATTTTTGACAATTTCTATTAGATGGTTTCTTCTTCCTCCTCTTCTGATTCATAATTCACTTGGCTATCATTTATCCATGGATTAGTAGGACTAAATTACTATTTAAGAATGTTAAATGTATTTAAAAGTTAAGCATCATATTTATTCCATTCGTAAAATTGATCTATATTTATATTTAAATCTGTGGCTATACTTAGAAAAACTTTTGTAATATATTCATAATTGGGATTTTGATGATAAGGTAATTTTCTAATGTACCTAAAAATATTAATATCGCATTACAAATATATTTAATTAAATTATTATGGCAATCCTTTAAATAATTAAGAATCTGTTATTTACTATTTGAGTTTTCCAGTCGCTTCTACATTCTGATATTCTTCCCATGGTAATTGTCCATTAAATAATTCCACTAATACATATAATAATGATTCAATATCATCTTTTGGTGATTATTCATATCCTAAATGTGAAGCCAAAGATGCATATTTGATTGTGCCAACAAAGTATTTATCTTTTCGAAATGGAATTAACTATCCTTTGTTCATATAAAATTTACTGATTCCATAATCAATAATATAAATCTGTCCTTTTTATTGTCCACCTACCATAATATTTTCTGGTTTTAAATCTCTATGAATAATCTTCCTAGCATGAATTTACGAAAGAATCCCTATTGATTGTAGGGCTATTTATAAAACTGTTTTTAAAGTGAATTTACCGTGAGCTCGCTTCAGCACTGCTAAATCACTTTCTAGATTTTCTAGGATAATAATATTAGCTCCATCAAGCACACCATAAAAATACAATTAAGGTACTCCAATAATTCCTTATAACGTTTTAAGCATTTTTTTCTCCTATTTCAGTGTTTTCCTATTACCGATTTCTCTTTTAATCACAACTTTTGTTTTTTTTAAGATATGAATGCCTTCAAACACCTAACCAAATGTTCCGCATGAAATCATTTTTCCTACTTAATATTCCGAGTTTATGTTCCTCATTATTAAAATGAAATAAAATGATCTAAGATTTGCACTTGCATCCTAAGGTGCCACTATTTGTGTTCAATTTCTTCATCCTTTAGATATAATCAAAACAAGAATGCAAAGTATGTCATTTTTTTCATTTCTTAAAAAAGGTCATGACGGTCAAACACACAAAAATCTAGTACCTAAATATGGAAGTATATCAAATGCAATTAAATAAATATATAAAGAAGAGGGATTTAAAGGATTTACAAAAGGAATATTGTGGTCATTATGTGCAAATAGCATAGCAAGAGTTCTTTTTTTTGTTTTGTATTATACATTTTTAAGTATAGTTATGAAAGCAAAAAAGAAGAATGTAATTCTTATTTCGGACATGGTTCCAAAAAGTCTATTCTAATTGCATCTATATACGCTTCACTTCTTGGTTAAATTATTACATAACCTTTATGGGTTACTTTAACAAGATTGCAATTGAATGTAGGAAAGATGAATGTATTTATATAATTCTTATTTTAAGGGATTTGAAAATGTCAAATTTACAATTAAACAAATACACAGTTAACATGGATATTTAGGTTTTTATCGTGGTTTAAAAATGTCTTTATTTGCCTCTTGTCATGGAATGATTCAAATCAATATTTATGAATGGACTCTTTCTTTTTTAACTCAACTTGAATAATATAGAGATTTGAATTCTTTTATTGCTGGAGGATTTTCGAAAGGATTTGCAATCTTTAGCACTTATCCAATGACCACAATTAAAACAAGAATTATATAAAATTAATATATAGAATCTGAAAATCCAAAATATAAATCTAATTTTGATATTGCCAATAAAATACTATAACATGAAGGAATTAAAGGATTTTATAAAGGAATAACCGCATCCTTGCTTAAAGGGATGCCATCGAAAGCAATTTATTTTTTCTTTTATGAACATTTTAAAGTAATGCTTAATGTAGGAAGACCATAAAATAATTATTGAATGTTTGTTTTATATTTATATTTAATATATGTTCAATTAGATATTTAATAAAAATTTATTAACAATTAATTTGAATTATAATTAAAATATAATAATAAATCATTTAATTGATCTTTATGTTATCCATTAAACAATTTCGGGTATAATTTCTAAGATTTCTTCTTCTTAAACACAATCATGCCACATATTCTCTTTATGTATCAATTATTTATCTTAAGAAGGACTTTATTTCATAAGTTCATGTCCTACATCAGGATCAACAATTTAATCCATTCCTGCTGAAATAATTAGAAAAGGTGTTTTATATTAAGTGAAAGTTTATGGAAGAGATCTCATTGTTGATACAAGAACTCTACCTGTACCTGGTAAAACTGCTACTTAAGTACAATAAGGATCTTTTAAATTTTCTTCTAATATTTATGGATTTCTTGATCCTGATACATGAACTGGTGGAAATGGATTCCAAGTTGGAAAACATGCTCCAAAACATAATCCTAATCTTTTCATAAATGGTTAATTATAATAATTATCCAATATTGCAGGTGTTATCAATATAGTTCCTTCACATAAATTATTTATTCCCATTAGATAAGATGCCATTCCACCCATTGATTAACCTAATGCAAATAAAGGTAATCTAGGATATATAGTTCTCATTTATAATATAAATCTTGAACAATCATTTTCTAATTACTCTCTAGATTCTAACCATCCTCTTTATCCTTAACTTTTCCCAAATCCTCTAAAATCAAATCCAACTACAACACTATTGGCTTTTTTACTAACAGCTTAAGCAATATGAGCATATAACCCAAGATGCTCATTCAGACCATGAAAAAAAACTGTTACAGATTTTGGCTCATTAATTGTTGTTTTACATCTATATGTATGAAGTTTTATTTATTCTCCTTTTTAAACTCCATTAAATTATATAAAATCTTCTTCATCCCATTTATTATCTCCTATTGGACTTGGCTTTCTAAACTTTTCTTCTGGCACTGCTTATTATATTGCCTCATTTTTTCTATCTTTTTCAGATTTTCTAAACATTTTTTTTAATTAAATTTCTTCATCTAATTTACTCATCAATAATCTAAAGATTACATTTGAGTCAGATATGATCAGAATCAATTTATTATCATTATTTGTTTAAAAAAATATATAAATATGATTAATTCATTCTATTGAACTTTTCCTTCATCTCAATTTAAAATGAAATTTTATGTTATCAAATTAATTAATAAATTTTTATTCAAAAAATTCATTTCCAATTCAGAATTATTTTGATTGCTTTAAATATATTTTATTTAAATTTATATATGCTCATCTGTAAATAGTGATTTCTCTATTAAGTTAATATATCTAGGATATTCCATACAGATGACCTATATTTATTACTTTTCAATCCAATAAAGTATTATTAGAGTCAAGAGTTTTGATTTTCCAGCCATTTGGGATTAATGATTATAATTTACTATTAGTATTAGGTATAGGTAAACCATTGAAAAGGTTTTAGTAAAATTTAAAACCTTTTTCTGATTTTTAAAATTATATTATTCAAATTTATTAATGATCTAAAACATAACTTAACTATAAATCTGTTAAGAAAATTATTCCATCATTTAAAATAATAAAATACTTCATCAAAAATTAAATTATTTTAGATATAATTCTGCTATAAGATGATAATATTTAATAAAATTTGTTAATAATATCATTTTGCACATATTTATTTATAGAAAAAATGAATGTTTAATTAAAAATTAGTATATAATCAATTTTATAGAGGTAGAAAGTTTTTTGGATAGTTAATATTTGGATGAGAGGATTTTGGTTAAATTTCTTTCGAGAATATGGAACATATTTATAAAATGTGAGTATACGTTGTTTGAATATTGTTTGTATAGATATTTTTTTGATTTAGAAAATCTTAATAAATAAAAAAATGCTTTGTGGAATAATCTCATTGATTTTGCTTATTGAATCATCTTATTAATGGTGTGGTATGTAATATATGAAATGTAGAAACTATATAGGAGAACATTACGTATTATACATCAAAAGGTGAACAGATTAGATGGAGAGCAGACTCATTAATAGCAGGAAATGGACTTAACTTTACTTTAATTCCAAACTCAACTATAATGAGATATCATCCTGCCTTTGATTAAATATCAACAGAAGAGTAACATATTGGAAGTATGATTATCAATAAGAATAATAGCCTTAATAAAGACAGGAGCAATAAGAGCTTATGACATAGCAAGTTCAGGAGCATGGACAAATTAATTTGCATTTTTAGAATTAGACAAAAAAAACAATTACGACTTATATTATGCAGTAGAGTAATAAATAATAAAAAATCTATATAGAAATGCTTTGTAAATGGATAAGACTCCATAATTCAATTATAAAGTATAATTGACAGAGAACAACACATTAATTGATTGCTTTGATATTGAATATATAAATCCAGACTTATGGATAGTGGATTGTGGAGAGAAAGATAATCTTGTACCAACAAAGCCGATGAAAAATTATTTATATTAAGTAGATAAAAAAGATTCACCTTCAACATTAGTAGGTAAGAGATAAGAAGTAGCTAATAATAAATAATACAAGTAAGTGAAAGGAAGGAAAATTTAATATCATGTTTATTATAAAAAAGGTTCAGGAGAAGAGATCGGATTAGATCGTCCATAACCACCTAATCCAATCAGAATGTTACTCAGAGGATAATAAGCATTTAATTCTGAGACAGGAAATAGTACAGTTTTAGACCATGATTGTTCAATCGACTTATTAATTAGATTAGATAATGGAACTATGAAAGACACGAGTGTTTTAGATAAAACTAAAATTAGTGCAGACACAAAATAAGATGTTAATTTTACATTAATAGATTTCAAAATATAACCAAATGGTGATGTTTATATTTTGGATGCTGATTAAGGAATATACTTATATCGAGTAACAGAAGATGGATAATGGGTATATGTTAAAACTATACAAACTTTAAATTAAAAAGCATATGGTTTTGATGTAGTTGAAATGTTAAATTAAGATGGATATTCTGAATTAGCCATAGCTATTTTATATGAATCTAATTTGATAATATCTGTAGCATCAGTTTAAAAGAATGGATATCATTTACCATTTAAAGCTTCTTTTCCAGTTACAGTTTCATTTAGTGATTAATATGTAGTTTTGATACATTCACAAAGATTGTACCTTTACAATATTATCCTACCATTTTTACTCCATTCAGAAATTTTAATTTCCGAAACTGTTTTAATAAATCCATTTGCTCCTGATGTTATTGTAGTTTCTGAAAGTTTAACTAGAAGATATGAATTAAGTGATGGATATCTAGCATCAGAAAATTCTGTATCTATTGAAAAATCTACAATTACATTATATGGAACTGACGGTACTAAAACATGCAGTTCTAAGATTAATTACTAAGTATTACCGATTGAAGATGCAAATGTTTATGATCTGGGTCATGATCCTTTTCCAACTATGATCACTTATCCATCTTAACCATTCATTCTTTAAGATTTAGCATCAGGACCAAATCTTTAATATATCACTCCTGATATTCATTAAGATCATGTCTAAGTTCTTGTGCATTTTCTCTGGGAATTAGAACTTTATCATGCTCATATATTTGATCCTCAAGATGTCTCATATGCAGATATTTTAGTAGATCCTCATCATCATAATGATAATAAATATTATCTATTTCTATAACATAAAAATAAAACTGTTATTATTTTGGATTGCTAATCACTTAATTATAAAGATAATCATAGTACTTGCGAAATTTAAGATTAATTTAATCTACCTGTTTAATTGAGTAGAACTAATTCATAATTTGATTGGAAAACTTTTGAATAAGAAGTGGTTACTTTCTAATTTTAAGTTAATGATTATGAAATTGAATTTTATAGTTCATATAATGGTGATCACTAAAAAATTGGAAACATTACTTATGAAGCTTCACCTGAATACAAAATCACTTCATTCACAGCATTAAAAAGAAATATTTATGTTGTTTAACAATAATTAAAAGAAGTGGATGTTATTTTTGGTGTTAGTCCAACTCTAATTAAATTTCCAATTGATGCATATCTTATTGATGAATATCAAACAGGTTGTTCGTGGACACCAAAAAGAGTTTATGGTAATTCATTTACAAATAGTGAATTCATTTTTATTTTAACTGATGATTGTGTAATGATGGGTGAACTTAGAACTCATTTTATATTAATTAAGGCCATACCCATAGAAACTAATGCTGAAATTGAAGTTGCAGTTGGTTAAAAAACCTTCTATATCATTTCCAAAGGATAAAAAGATATCATTAGAGAATTTAACTATGAAAATTTGAATGATATTTACCCAATGAAATCAATGCCTCTATATGGAAGATTTGCATTACAATCTCCATTAACTATAGACTTTGTTTTTGAGACTGGATTCTTATTTGTGAGAGCTTTAGATACTGTAGAAAAAGAGACAGTATTTTTAATTTATGAATCTAATATACTTTATAGAAATTCATTACATAAAGTATTAAGAACACATGAATTAATTCCTGATGGTTAATTATTATAAACAGCAGCTTCAGGATAAAATTAAATGTTTGTTTATTTTAATGATATGAAATAATAAAGAATTGTAGTCTTTTTAAGAGATTCCGAAATGGAATTAATACCTATAGAACTTAGTGATGCATATACAACATAATTAAAACCAACTGTTAGTATCTCTAATACCTTATCAGATAAAAATGTAAAAGTCTCATATCCAGTTAAATTTATTAATACATAATCAATTGTTAGAGTTAATGCTAGTCTCTTAGAGAAAATAACTTTCCATTTTGAATCTATTAAAACAACCTAATATTTAAATTTTACAAATAATGGATTGTTTTTTGGACATGTTACTAATTTTAATATATTTTGCAAATAATGTGATGGTAAACTTGTTAGCATTCTTAATCCACTTACTCCAAGTAGTGAAGGAACTTAATTTGCAAATTATGAAATTATTGCAGGGGCATAATTTAAAGATACTGTTGTTTATTTGGCAGATCCTAAATCATTAATTTTCTAAAATAGTGATGATGATACTGTTAAATTTGTTCACAAAATAGAACCTGGAACTCATTGCACTCAATTAACAACTTAAAATGAATATATTTTAGTAACTTGTATTAATAATGCTGATACATTATTATACGTTGTCAATTGTGATTTTTCTAAATAAACATGTACTCCTATTCAATCTGACAATCCTAATGTTAGAAAGTTTACTATGGTTTCAAAAATTATTTACCTTAATTCATATTTGTACATTTTAGACGCAGATCCCAATCATCCTCTTTATGATAAAGCAACTCTATATCTTTACTAATTAACTATTGATTCAAAGTGGAGTATTAAAAATGAAAAAGTACTTAATGAAACATATTTCAATCTTCCATTATAAAATGATTACTATATCACAGATTTTGATGTGGTATAATTCTAATAAGGAAACACTTTTTATTAAAAAATTATGATTTAAACTACTAAAGGCTAGGTTTATTTCGTTTAAATGTACAGTGATAATGGCTTAATAAAAGATAATCATAAATAAGTTTATAATTTAGCTTAATTTTTGAATTAAGATTATGCAGTTAAAGATGATACTCTTTTCTATTAAATTAAAACATATAAAGCTGTTACTAATACTAATATATTTGATGCAACTGTAATAGTTACGACAAATAATGTTGCATAATATGCAATAACATTTTCATTTGATATTAGTGATCCTCTTAATAAAGGTTCTCCAATTAAAGAAACAAAAGTTCCATTTTTATTAAATCATTATGGAACCTTACAAACATTAAATAAATTTACTTTAGGAAATGAACATGCTGCTGTGCCTTATTATAATTAAACACATTTAATGATTAGCATCTATTAATTACCTGGATTAACTACTTTAGATGCTAATGAAACAACAGCTAAAATGATAACAATCTCTGGAGCAGTAACTGTAAAACATATTGCTTCAAACACATAATTTGCTTTAGTCATATCTAAACCAACAAATTAAGCAGAAGTAATTAATAATTATTATATATTAGCTTTCTTGTTATACAAATATTGAAGAAGATAATAAAACATATAATTATGTTGTCAAAAAATATACCATTCATGATGTTCCTAAATTGAAAATTGAGGATGGTTCTTAGGTAGAATCTTAATGGGTAGAATTATAAATTCAAAATGATTACAGTTATGCATTAGGACTGTTTGAAATAATTAATAACAATAGTCCTCCTCCTCCACCACCCGATGATGATGATAGTGGAAGGTTTTTTATTTATTTCTATCATTTAGTTCACTTCTTTGGCTTTGGATACTCTTAGGAATCCTTGGTGCCATCATTATTTTAGGAGGAGCCTATTTTATATATACCAAGTTCTTTAAGAAGAATCCACAAGTGCCTTCAAGTGCAAAAGTATCATTAATGAACTAGTGAAAAAAATTATTTCACTTAATTATTAAGTTAAATTTTAATCAATTTATTTAATTTGTTTGTTTTCATCTGACTTTTTCATAATTCTTCTTATAAATCTTCATTTTTATTCTCATTATTTTTGGATAAAAATAATTGTTATCTTTAATTATTTCTAAATTCACTTTTAGCCATTTTGTAGATTATATATTATAAGGTTCTTAATAATTAGCATGAAATTGATAGTCTTAATTAATGAGAATAAAACAATTTCGAATCTATATCAATCCTCAATTTCTAAATATTACTTTTTTTGAATAAATGCAAAAAGCATTAACAAGTTGGACTTTTATGTATTTCTCCAAACAATAATCCTGCTTATTTTAAATATGCATACCGCATATTGGTTATCGACACTATTGTAACATCAATAAAATAATTTAAATTGGGTATTTGCTTTTGAAATACTAACGGTTGAGGAAGGATGTTCATTTATGAATACAATGAAAGCTATTCTAAAGATAAAATTCTTTTTATTATTCTTAAGGAAAATTTAAAAAAATTTAAATTTATAAATTTCTTATTCTATGATTTCCTTATTTAAATTATTAATTAAGGAATATTTGATTTAATAATTCTATTAAAAATTATGAAAAATTTTTTATTATTGCTCTGTGCTTTTTTTTTCCAATCTTTAGGATAATATTGTGGTAGATTATTGAGAATTATTTGTTAGATACTATTTAATAGCAATATAATGTCTATGCAACTGTAAATGAGATTTAAGAATGGGATATGAGAAAGTACTTTTTTACAGGAGAAAATTTAAAATATCAAATAAGTGAAGATTGTCCATACTTTGAGACAATTGATCCATTTGCAGAGATTGGAGATGCAACCAGTCATAAAGATCGTAATTAATAAAAAATAAAAATATAGCTTCAATTGGACTAATAAGAAGTCTTAAGGCTTCTAGATCATTAGAAAATGGAGTATGGTTAAATGATTTTATATTCTTAGAGTAAAATAATACTGATGTTGATGTATTCTATTCTTTAGGGTATATTGTATAAATTTATTCATTATAGAGATCCATAATAAATGGATGTAGTTCCTTCATTTAATCGATAGATAAATGTGAGAAATAATACAAAGAACTTAGTGTGTTTTGATTTAGATTTCTTGACAAATAGTAAGATAATTGTGGATTGTTATCAAAGAGATTTTGATGATGAGACAAAAGGCTATATGAATGGGTTTATTGTAGTAGACATAGCTGATCCAGATTAATATGCTCTATATCCTAATGAGCATCCTGAAGGTGATATATATAACCATACAGAACATAGAAAAATAGTATTTCACAATTACACTAATAAAAATGGAGATAGAGAATCTCTATTATTTAGAGGTGAGCCTACTTGGGCTACAGAAAATGCAGATATTGTAATTAATAAATTGGATGATGATTGTGAATTAGAAGTTTACAAATTTGATGATAAATTTCAATTAATTAATCCGTCACCAATTACTATTTTGACTAAAAAAGTATTAGCAACCTTATTAGGAACTCCTGAATCTTAATAAAAGTTTTATTTAGTTGATTTCTAAATAGAACCTGATGGAAGTATTTATGTTTTAGATGCTTTTAATGGAGTTTATGTTTTATACTTCGAATCTATTCATTTATAATGGTAACTCAAAAGTCACATTAATCCTCCTTACATTACACAATGTTATGGATTTGATGTTAATTATCTAATTAATGATAATGGAAATGTTACTTAATAATTGGTTTTAGTATTTTAAAATTCAGCAAATTTTTATGAAAATGATCAACAAAAATTTACAATCAAAACTCCAATTCTAACTAGTTATAAAGAATTTTAAGTCTAAATGAGTTAATAATATTTGGTGTTGAAAATTAATTCATATATTTACTTTTATAATTCAGGTACAGGTGAAAAACTGTATACATATACTCAAGATATATTTGATTAGGTGATTATAAATCCTTATGAACCAGATTTATTGGGAATAAATGAAAATTCTGCTTATAAATTCTTAATTAGTAATGGTTTACTTCGTTTAAAGTAGATGGATATTCCTAATGATGGAATAAAGTCTTACACATTAAGAGCAATATCCTTAGATGACCCATCAAAGGAATGTTAAGTTTCTATTAATGTATAGGTGCTTAAATAGAATGATATTTTAATTAGAGAATAAAGTTATCATCCTTTTCCAGCAAGTTTAACAGCACCATCTGGTCCGATTTCAATAGACTTAATTGCATCAGGACCAAACTTAAAATATAATTCATTAGACTCACTTCAAAACTTAAGGGGTAATAATAAAGTTATTTTATAAATTAAAACTTTATGGGATTTATAATTAAATGGTATAATCTTACCAGAACCTAAAGATGTAGTATATTCTGATGTTTAAGTTAATGGAGATTTAGGTATATTTTATTTGTTATTTTAAATCCCATCAAAAGTTGTATTTATATATAGATGTTCTCATTCATTGATAGATCAAAAATAAGCTAATTGTAAAGATTATGATAAACTTTAATTGGATCAATTAATTAATAAAACTAAGCATTCTTTCCAATGGTCGGTTGAGGCTCTTTAGATCACATTAATACATTAGGATACTGATTATTCTATTTAAATTTATAAAGCTGCTGGAGGATATTTTTAGAATGTTGGCACTATTAAAGTTAATAAAGATTCTATTGATAATAAAATAAATTCAGTAACTTTTCTAGAAAATGAAATTTATGTGGTTTAATCTAAATTAAAGAAGGTTTAAATATATTCAAAATATATGCCTTTTGAATTGATCTATGAAATTACTGATAGTAAGTTAAATTAATTTAATGTGAAAGGAGATTTTATACCTTAAAGAGTATTTGCAAATAAGAAAGCCAAATCCTCTTTAATTTTTATTTAAACAATAACTGAATTGTTTATTGGAATATTCTCTAATAATAAAATATCAACTTTTGTTTTGTAAAAGGAAATTACTATAATTCCTGAAGCGCAAATTGAAGTGGCTATAGGAATTGAGAACTTTTTTATTATTTAGAAATTAGATGATAAAGATCTTATTGAAGAATATAATTATAAACATATGAATAGAATATATAAAACAAAAGATTTACCATTATTTGATTATAAATTATAAAAGCCTTTAACTGTAGATTATTCCTCTTAAACAGGATGGTTATTTTTAAGGGCAAAAGATGATAAATAAACAGTAATTTTAGTCTATGAACCAGGAGTAGTATCACATAATTGTCTTCAAACAGTATTAGAATGCAAATCTTTCATTTAAGATGAATAAAAATTTGACATGGCTCTAGATGGTAGTAATCAAATGTTTTTATATTTTAATAATAATACTGATCATAGATTCTTAAGTATATTAGCTAAATCTGAACTATATGCCATTCCTTATTTAGATTCATAAGATTATGTTATAGATGTTTTTACGGGAATTTAAATCACAAATTTCCCTAAAAACAATCCATTGATAGTTTAAAATCGTATAAAGATTCTTAATTCCCAAAGCATTGTTACAATTAAATAATAATTATTTGATAGTAAATAAAAGGTCTTTAAATTTGAAAAACAAGAAGGCGAATAAATTATTGATATGGATACTAATTGGTATAATGGATAAGTTACCAGTTTTTCTGTCCATTGTTAAACATGTGGTTCAAATTTATCTATAAGACCTAATATTTAAAGAGTGGCAGATGGATAAGATATGATATATGGTATTATTGATGGTGCTATTTATGGAGAATATGGTTAAGTATATCAAACTAGAAATTCTATAATTTTCTAAGATTAGAAAGGTTAATTTGTGTCAAAGTTTGATATTAAATTAACAACACAAAACTGTGAATTAATTACTGTATCAGATGATTTAAATTATATATTCTCTAGTTGGCATAACACCAAAAATGAAGTTGGCATTTATGTTAGTATATGCTCATAATAAGAACAATAAAAATATTGCTAATAATATAGATAAGGATTTTCAACTATAGCTGGAATTTAAAAGATATCTAAAATTTAAATGGCAGATAAAAAGAATTTAATTATTTTGAATACTAATCCTGAAAATTTTGATTCTATTGATAATATGATTGTTGTAGCCACATTTAATTATGATGAAATTAGTTTTTCCGTTCAAAAGAAATATCTTATAAATGACTAATATGTTGGAAGTAAATTTTTATAAATTGGTGATTTTGACATTGCAAAATATTCAATTAATAATATGAGCTTTACCACCATTATTTTTACAGATATCAATGAAGGTCTTTATTTTGCTCATTTTTACTATGATGCCTCAGGAACTATCTCTAAAAGCATTTCAGAATTGTTTAAAATTTAATCAATTTAAGATAATTAACTTCATCTAGAAGAAAACACTAAATTTTATTAAGTTAGAGTAATCTTTAACAAAGTTGTTGGAACTATTCTTTAACTTAACATTTTAGTAACAACTAATAATGTTGCACATTATGTAATTGCTTTTGATTTAGATATATCATAACCTACCTAAATTATTTCAATCATTAAGAAAAATACAAAATTATTATACGTCCTAACTCCATATAGTACATGGCCTACTATTGATAAAATTGCTTATGTGAATGGATATGTTGCTATTCCATATACAGATTCAACTTCACTTCTTATTGGAATTTATGATCTCCCTAATAATAGGCCAGTAAATGTGATTACCATACCTTTTACTCACTCTATTAGTGCAAATTACGAAAATCCATTACCTATTGATTTTGCCCTACTATTAACTAAAGACTTAGAATCTAAATTTGTAATTTATATTTTTATTCTAGCCTAATCTTTATTTAAATATCAATTATGATTCTAAATCAGATGAATATTTAATAGAAAAATATTAATTAAGAGCAGATCCCTAATTAATCTTAAGAAATTCAATGAGTCTAGATGATGAAGTACCTATAACACTATAACTCTCAAATGACTTTACATAATCCATTGGACAAGCTTATTTGAAAATTAATGATTCTCCTCCACCTGATGATGATAAATCAAAGTAAAATTTTCTATTTATTTAAAGTTCCAATTTGTGGTGGATTATTTTAATTGGAGTTGTTGGACTAATTTTGCTTGTGGTTATTGGCTTTTACATATACAAAAAAATATTTAAAAAAAAAACAGTATATAGAAGTAAAATACCATTAGATGAATGAAAACTTTCTTATTAAAAATTTTTAAATATGTTTTATAATTCTTCTCTTAGAACAAGAAAAAAAAATGGTGTAAAATCAAGCAATTATACTCAATATTAATTATTTATTTTTTTGAGATAAGAAAATAAATTTAAACTAAAAGAGTCAACATAAATATTTTCATTTCTTGTCGGATAATTTTTTTTATCCAGTAAATATCTTTTCTAAATCTCCAGAAACTTTGGTTTTAATCTCATTTTTTAATGAGGATATGATTTCTATATGTGTTTCTTTAGATTATTCTCTAGTTTTTTAATCCTATTATTTTGTGTCATGAAGCTTTTGCTCTAAACTCTCTACTTATCTTTATAGATCTGAACATTCTTATTCTAATTGTTTTATCCTTTATCTATATTCAGCCTATAAAATTTAATGTATATTTTATACTTTTTTTTCTTCTTCAGACAAAAACTTTCTCATTCCAAAAGCAATACTTGATGCATATAAAGTTTAATATGTTTATATAACCATTCGAAATTCATTACGAACAGTCACAAGCAACATACCTCTTTCAGCACAATTTATTGTAATTTATCGTATCAATTCATCAAAACATTATGAATACAACTCCTCTCTTATTGGACATAATCCAGTTTCTCTAGAAAGCCTTTATTATAACCATTTATCTAATTTGTCTTATAATTCCAGCACATCTTATTTAGTTGAGGGTGCAGGAGAAACACATTAAATTTGTAATTAATTTTTCTAATGATTAAATTCTCTAGGCAATAGAATAGCATTCAAAATATCTTCTGTATTACTTGGAGGTAATGATTTGATTTATTTTTTTTAACTGTTTGATATTAGAATTGGATTACTATATTTAACTAAGCTTGGAGATGGTAATATGTCATTCATTAATTATGATAATATTCACAGATATTTAATTACTAATAGGAATTAATTAAAAATATTGATATTATCAAATAGATTACCCTTTATTTCTCTTTCTCTAGTTCTAAGTTAATAGATTCTAAAGAAAGAATTAAACAACTTATATATAGTTCTAAAATATAAGAATTTTATTTTTATTATTTCAGATTGTTAGATATTTATAAGATAAATCGGTTTATCTAGACAAAATTTTTAAGTTAATTCAGAACAATTTTAATTTATTTGAATAAAAATATATTTAAACAAAGAAATTTAAGATAATGAATCATTTTATATTTACTTTCTTGGAATATAAATATATATTATTGATAATTATTTGATATCTATTAGAGAATAATGATATTTACCAAAAAATAATATATTTGGTAATTCTATTTATAAATATAAATATAAAATGAACATCAAGAATAATGATAGAAACTGAGATTGTTTAAAATCCATTATATTTTTGTCGTTATTAATTAGATTAATTGTTAATCTCGTTCATTAAGTTTTAAAATGTAAGACATAAAATTAAAATTCTACTGGATGAGCTAGTTATGTTCTAATGTTATTATGAATTGATCTTTTAAAGTGATTTTTATGGGTAAATTTAATTAAGCGCCAATAAAGTGAATTTTATGGTATAAAACTTTCATTGGAATACTTTATGATAATGAGATTGGATAATTTATTAGTTTTTAATGGCTTTTTTAATGTTGTGTATAGATTTATTGAAGATGAGACATCTGAATTGAAAAGAATATGAATGAAATAAGCCCCTTTGAAATGGGTTAATATCTTTTGTAAATCTAATTATCAAATCTGTGTTTTATTCTTAGAGATATATTTAAATATCACAAAAATGAGTTTTCCTAACTAAGATTATCTAGCAATGCTTAAAGCAAAGCCTCAAGTATACCCTCAATTACAGCAGACTCCATAGACATAAATGATTTACCAAAATCCCTAATTTATGTATGTAACAACATCATTTCATTATCTACTTATCCTTATTATACGATATTGTCTACGCTATTATGAATATTTAGGTAACCTTATATGAACTATGTACCCTAATACTTTATGATGCAACAAATATAACAAATGCAGTAAATGCAATAAATTCCATCCATGTCTGGTTTGGGTCCTTTTAGAATGCCATTAGTACCTCCTTAACCACAAACATAACCACTTCCATAAATGGTAATGCCTATTCCAAATTAAACTCAAATTCCAGCTTAACCTAAAACTGATTAGAACTTACCTGTCTAAGTTAAGGGTACCAAAGTGAAGCTAAACCTCAAAATGATTAAAGACATACCATAGGAAGAAGACAGTGTACTGGATTATGATGAAATCAAAAAGCAAAGTGGAGATCGCCAATTTATCAATTTAAAGAGAAAACGCAGACTTCTTGATTAATAAGATGCACCCTTAATGTAAACACGTAGACGTAGTGAATAATCACAATGTATATATATATCTAATCATTGTAGATTTAGAAATTAGAGAAATGTTGAATGTTGATGACAAAGACATGGCACTTATTTTAGAAGCTTATCCTGATACTAAATCACTGCTCTAAGAATTAAAGAATGGCAATTTAAAGTAAGAGATAGAGGATCTCTTACTCAAAGCAATTTGACTATAATTTTGTTCATTTCTAAACTTAAATCAAGTTACTCTATTTTTTATTTTTATCTCATTATTAACTCTTCCTTTTTTCTATACACTGTCTAAACATCTAATCTTTTACTCACTCATACTTTTCATTACTTCTTTCATTCCCTCCATTAATATTTTTGAAGTCACATCTACAAATTACAAAAACAATTCAATACAACTTTATTAAACTCATTATACACTACCATTATCAATCTTAATTAAACTAATTAACTAAAATATTTTTATATTTAGAACTATCTTCCATTGCAAGACAGAATTTAAGCACTCTTTAAAATAAATTATTATTGATTATTACTCAGATATTTTATAAAAAATTAATCTTTGTAATCTTATTTTCTTTAATTTCTTTAAGGAATACTACAATTTTACTTTTAATTTTAATTCCTCTATCTAAATTATATCTCTAATTTTATATTTCATTACAATCTCTATCACAATAACCAAATTTAAATCTATTAATTATCTTTTCAGTTACTAATATATTCTAAGAAGCATTCTTTAGAAGAAACTAATTAAAATTACAAGAAAAATATTAATAACTATTTGAAAAATAATTCGATTAATAAAAAAAATTCAATTTAAAAAAACTTTTAATTCTTTATCACATTTAATTCATAATCATATTTGTATAGATTAGAAAATACTTAAAAGGATTTAAAGGATATTGAAATAAATAAATTAACATAAAACAAAGCCATTATTAGATAAAAAAAAACCTTTCACTTTTTTTTTAAAAGATGCTTAAATTAAAAATAAAAAGAAAATTTATACAAAAAAATTCCAACTTAATTTATAAAAGATTAGATCAGTCTCAGTTTAATTGAAATAATCAAGATTTATAAATTTAAGTTATTTTAAAAAATGGAACATCCTACCTCTTTCCACTGTATTGAATTTTAAGTATATTATCACAATACTTTTTGAAAAGGATATAAACATAAATTAAAAATTATTCTTTATTTTCTTTTTCTTTATCTTTTAAAGATCATTTAAAGTTGTTATCTGATATTTTTTAGTAAATTAACTTCTCTTGTATATTGAAAGAGAACTATTTTATTAATAAATTTAGCATAAATAAATTATGAAATAATCATCTCTTCATCCAGATCCTAGAAAGAAATAAATCTTATTAGATATGATTAATAAAGGCGGTATTTCTGAGATAAAACCTGAGAAAGCACTTTAAGCCTAAATAGAGGCATTGTAATCAGAATTACAAGAAAAAGAACAGGCTTTAATTTAAAAAGGTAAATCAATCTTCTATTCTAGATGAATAAGTTGATAAATTATGTAATATGGTGTTTTCATATTAAGAAGAAATAGCTTAAAAAAATAGAGAAATAGAGGACTTTTAATTAAACAAGGCATAATTAGAGATGGAGGTTCAAAGTTATATTGAAATGAAAGAACATTGTGATCAAGCATTGAAATAATTGCATCATGTTGAAATGCAAATGAGTGAATTGTAAGAGTAAAATTCATAACTAAAAAATTAAGGTAATACATTATTTCTATTAATTTAGAACAGTAACTTTTAAGCTAAATTTAAGCCTTATAAAAAAATTCAGATGTACTATTAAGAGATGCATTTGAAAGAGAGAAGAAACAATTACATAAAAAATTACTTGAGAAGACTAAGATAATTTAAGACTTAAATTATTAAATTTAGAAACAAAATGAGACATAGTCTACAATACATTAATCGATGATGAAAATGAAAGAAGACTAAAAGAAACAAGAATAAACTATTTAATTATTGAGAGAAGAAATAGAAAATTTGAAAGGAGATGGGGCAATATTTGCAAGCCCTTTAAATCAAATGAACAGCCCTCTAAATTAATTAACAAGTCCATAAGGATAAAGGTAAGCAAGCTTTAACACACATAAAGATTTTGATACTCCTATGAGATAATCATCATATACATAACAGAAACCATAATCATCTAATAGTCTCTGTAGTAATTTTACTAGTTAAGAAAGTAAGAAAAAAATGATGGGCAATTTTAAGAGATTAACTACTATGGCTGTAGGTATGTATAGCAATCTCCTTGATTATTAATCATTATAGAATGGCAGTAAATTAGTAATTTATAATATTATTAAAGGCATCTGAATTGAGTTAAGCTAGAATTGACTTAACTTAATAAGTTTCTAGATCTTCCCTGTTGCATTAAGAGTATAATGACAATAATTGATACTATATTTCAAATAAAATCTAAAAAAATCTTAAATTTCTAATAGTTTCCTATATTTTTATGCTTAATAATATATAGAAAGCTAAAATATCCTAAAATTGTTAAATTACTGACATTAAGATTAGCTTTCAAATAATAATGATTGAGATTAAATTACATTTAAAAAAAACTATAATAATTTTCAATATAATCAAATTAATTAATAGCAATACTAATTATAAGTATGCTCTGCATCTATAATTTATTAATTTAAGTGATATAATTATGTATTTGGCATAGGAGCACTATTTCTTTAAATTCTAATTCGTTATGGCGACTCATCTACATTAAAAGTAACTTTTGGTTCATAATATTGAACATCTGTAAATAATTGTTCTCTTTCTCTTATCATTCTTTCTATTTCATAGCTAAGTTCACAGGGAGCGTTTTCAATGTTAGTTTGATTTGGAGTTGGCGTTTTAGTTTCTACAGATGCTTAAAAATTCATTCTTTTTTAATGTCTGACACTGCTAGGGAAAGAGAACCCAGAGAAGTGAGATTCTCTATATTAATAAATTTTGGATAAATTTAATTCTTCTTCCTTGAATTGAGGAGACTCTTCTACTCTAAAGCTCATATTTTATTTAACAAATAAATTTTATTAGTACTTTAATCTGAAATATATATAAATAAAAAATGTTCACTATTATAAATTATAATCTGATGATAATTCTTATTTAGATTTATCATTTTCTGAATCAAATTGCTCAGTTCCATATTTATCTACAGATATATATTAATTCTAGACATCGAATTATTATTGGTCATTAAAATTATCATTATTAATATTAGGTTATTCTTATTATTCAATTTCTGAAACCTTTTCTGGACATTCCATTATGACAGACATTTAATCTTTCTATTTATTTTAATTAGAAATCTCTGTCAATAAAAATGAAAGTTATTAATCTTCTATTTAAATAGGTTCATATTTCAACATTTGATCATAATTTAAAGATTCAACACTTCTGCTTTCAAGAATACCTTAAGTAATTAAATAATCTATCTCAAATTAATTTAATTCAATATTAAGTGATACCAGAGCATCATAAAATTAACTCTTACTAACTCTAATGCAGTCTTTTCCATATAATTACTTAATATTATTAATAATAAATGGTTTAAATTTAGTTAGGACATCTTTTAATTTATCTGAATGTTCAAATTGATTTTTTACAATTTCCAATTTATAATTAAGTAATACTTTCCTAAATACTGAACGAATATATGGACATGGATTTGAAGCAATATCTTCTAATTCATAAACATCACTATCTCCTTCCATTATATACCTTGCTAATAAATAAGCTTCATCTTTGGCTAAATTAAAAGGATATAAACGAAGCTTATCTTTTAACTCTTTTATTGTCATTAAATCTCCTTCATATAAATAATCATCTATTTATTATATTCCTATGTCCATTGCCATTAATCTATACTTAAGAGTTTCTCCAATAATTTTAATATCATCAAATTTAACAGGAATAATCCTTTTTCTTGGAGGTTATTTTATTAATGGAGGTTTATCTTAAATAATGATTGATTTTTTAATTGGTAAAGCTATTTCTTGCATTATTTCAGTTGCAAAAACAGGAGATTATATTTTTATTTGCTTTGATTTTGATGTTGCATCTAATTATTGAGATTAATTCTATGCTTCTTAGGCTTCTTAATTTTAAGAAAGAGAAATTTCTTTCAATTATACTTCTAGATCAAAAATGATTTAATTAAGTCTCTCTATTTCAATATCCTTTGCTTTTATCTCTTATTTTGCAAACATTAAATCAGTTAAAACTTGTAATTCATCAGCCTTTGTTAAGTTTTATTTAGTCTCTTTATTATTTTCTTTTTAATTATTCGAGGTTTCTTCTTTTAATTGAGTAATGAGCTTCTTTATTTCTCTTCTGCTTCGATATTCTTAATCGATTTATTATGACTTTTTATTAATATATATATATACTCTATATTTAAGACATTCTTTTTTTAATCTATCAATCACCTTTTCTAATTCTCTTTATTATATTAAACTTTATTAGATATGTGCTACTAAAGCAAATAATCTTTCTTAAATTATTTATTCTACATTATTCTATTGTAAAGTATACAAACTAGCTTTAAATAACGAATCTATTTATTATCTTAATCTAACTGTTTCTTCTTAAAAGGCTGTTCTTTCAATTTATAATTCAGTAATTTAAGCAAATCTTTATGTTTTCTTAATACTTTAAAGTTCTTTGTCCTTTTTTTGTAATTCTAGTCTAATATTATTTATTTCTTTTTTTAAAGCTGTTTAAGCAGATGAAAAATTTAATGCTTAAAGCAAAGGAGCTTTGACTGGACCTATTCGATCTAATTCTGATATAATTTTCTCTTATTTAAGTTAGTTATCTATATTTCAATTTAATTGAGAATACCTTCCATCTAATGAATTTTAGTTTTTAATCTTAAATTCTCATTTTCTAATGAATGCATGTTATTTTTTAAATATTTAATTTCTTGTTCATATCTTTCTTTATCTGGAAATCTAAAAGAACATGAATATTCATTAAAAGAATTATTAGCTTCATCTTATCTTCTTTTTCTTTAGAAACTAGATCTAGGAAGTTATTCTGAAGTATCAAGAATTTATTTGTTTCTAGTTGTGCCTGATTTAGCTGACTCAGCCCTTATTTTTGTTAACTACTAAAATAAAGTTCCTCTCATTTTAATTATTAATAATGTCAGATATTGAAGAAACAATCAATAGAATCAAGACTCATAAGTCTGTTTAAGGAATAGTGATTTGCAATAACGATGGTCAAATAATAAGGAGTACCTATGGAACAGAAAGCAAAGAGGGAGAAAACATTGCTAGAACTATTCCAACTTTAGCTGCCAAGGCCAAGTATTAATCATTCTAATGGATTCAAAAGATCGACAGTTCGTGATTTAGATTCTAATAATGAGTTAACTTTCTTGCGCATAAAGTCTAAGAATAATGAGATTATGGTAGCACCAGATAAAGAGTTCTTATTGATAGTAGTTTAAGGACCAAAAGAAGAAAAAAAGGAGGATGAATGAACATACATTTATAATATATAAAAATATACATGTAGCAAATCAATTAGATCGCTGATCATTTGTATTTAATACAATAAGGCAACAACTCTTACATACATAGGCAAGTGGGAGCATCAGATGTACTCTTAAATTATTAGTTCACTAGACTGTGGTTATCAAATCTGTGTTCCATGCTTAACTATTTATGGAAGATGATAGTGTATGTCACACTGTTCATTAAAGAGAATGCCAAGATCTCTAGAATGAATGGAAAATACTAAGTTAGCTGAATCATCCAAACATAATCAAAGCTTAATAATTTATTCCAAATCATTAGCTTGGTCCAGCAGGAGGGAACCTCTAATGTTGTAGCTTATTCCTTGAAAATGCTACTTGTGATCTTCATACACTTTGCAAATCAAATGAAACATCCCTCAAAATTATAATCAAGTACTTTACTTAAATTTCAATTGCTGTCGAATATTTGCATTCTTAATATATAGCACATAATGACATCAAATTAGAGAACATGCTTGTAATGAACAGGAATATTATCAAATTAGCAGATTTTGGATTCAGCTACAGACCTTCATTTGAAGACTTACTTTCTAAATGGTTACCAAGAACTCTTACATCATATTCTAGTCCTGAAATTGTTAATTTTAGATTGAATGTTGTTGATGGAGAATATGATGAATTCTGTTTATTTGCTTCTGATGTTTATGCCTTAACAACTGCATTATTTTTGGCTATTTACAAAAGACCACCTATTATGGGATAATTTACAATGATAGATGATTAGTATTATCAATTATTGATTAATCAACCTGATTTATTCTGGCAATTAGATTTCATCTAGAAAGTTGACTCTTAATTAATGAGAGAAAACATACCTAAATAATTACTTGAAAACTTAAAAGATTTAATTGAAGGAGGCTTAGCTGAAGAATACAATAGAATTACTATTTAAGAATTTGTAAATCATGATTTTTTCAAATATGCTAAATAAATTGAAGGAGAATAATTTTGACATTATCAATTAATATTAAATACTCGATCTATTTAATTATGACTATTCTTAATCGTAATAAACTATTCCCATAAGTTTTAAAAATATAATTAAACATTAGATTAATGTTTATTTTTTAAACCACTATTTTCAAATTAAGAATTATAAAATTTATAATCATAATTATTTTTATATAGTTTTGAACATTCATTTCTATTTTATATTTAAGTAACTTATGATTGTTTTATAAGATGATTAAATGTTTATAAAAATAAATCTAAATTAAGAATGAGGATTTATTTTTCATCTATTTTCAATTTATTAGACAAATAATTAAATTTCAAAAATTGTAATTCCATATAATGATTCTAATTTTACTACTTTGGTGTTTAAATTAACAAGCATATCAATAATTGATTCTCCACTCTAGTTCATTTGAGACAAATAATTTTATAGATTCTAATGGTATTTTGATATATTTAATACTTTAAAGAGTGGTAAATAATCAATGGCTTATCAAGTAATATTTATTCTGAATGTGGAACTAATCGAATATATGGAGGAATTTCAAATTTTGGTAAAATGACCTTAATATCGAAATTCTTTATTCTTCCTCCTCATTCAAAAATATAGGTGAAATTGGATTTTTGGAAGTACAATTATTCAATAATATAATAGGATTTCGAATTGGGCAAATAATGAAACAATTTATATATATTTGGATAGTCATAAAGCTATTGAATAACAAGTAGGTTTACTACCAACAGGATTAAATATTTGTGGAGGAAACGATTATATTTTATCTATAGATGAATCATTTTCTCATAATTTTGAAAACTTATAAATAATAATTGCAGCAAATATTGCAATATAGGGAACAATATAGGTATATATTGTAATAAATGAAGGGTTTTTGGGGAATTAAGAATTTCAGACTTTTCATACAAACCTGTCCTGCTGGCTGTTTAATATGTTAAGAAGGTGATTAAAGATTTGATTGTCTAAAATGGACATTATATACATCTTCTTTGACAGAAACTAATATTGAACTATTTAATTATGAAGGTTGGATCGTTTAAAATGGACAGTAATAAAAAACATCAAATTGTTAAAGTAAATAAAAATATCATATTCTAATATTAGTGCTTCCTATGCTTTGTGGACCAACTCTTTGTGGAATGAATACTATTATTAAATATGATTATATTCTTCCTCCTCATTTTAAATTAAGAATTAGATTTCGTTAATACTTTATTGATAGTTGGGACTTAGAGCATGCTTATGTAATAGTTAATGATTAAATAATCATTGATAAATCATTCTAATTCTAATCAAGTTTAAGAAATTACAGTCTTTGTGGATAAAGCAGATTTAATGATCTTTCTGATACCTTAGACTTTGAAGTGAGTCATACATAGGAATTAATTACATTTCAATTAACTAATAGTTTAGATTAACTTTTTGATGATGAATCTTTTGGAATTAGAGATTTTAGAATTTATTTATGTAAATTACTTAAAAATAATTTAGATTGTCAATTTGGTTAATTTCCAAGTTAATAATGTTCTTAGTTTTGTGGAGACAATATTGTGTAAGAAACTGAAGAATGTGATGATGGTAACTCAATACCTTTTGATGGTTGTCATAATTGTTAATATAATTGTGTATAAGGTTGTTCTAATTGTATTAAGGGAATATGTTTAAACTGTTATGAAGAATGGGATTATGAATTAATATCATAATAATGCAAATGGATAGGTGTACAATCATAATAAAATTAAAACTATTCATGCTACAATAATGGAAATTGTATAAATTAATAAGAAGAATAACAACAATTATATTATTAAGTATGTTCCTTAAATTGTAAATTATGTTATTAAGATATTTGTTTGGAGTGTTAAGTAGGTTATAATTTATTGGGTGGATAATGTTAAGAAATATGTGGTTTATCAGCAATTTCTATGTTTATATATCCAAATTGTTAATGCGATTAAAATTGTTTATTATGTAATTTTGGAATGTGTCAATAATGTATAGATACATATACATTGTTTGATGATAAATGTTTAGTAATATGTGGAGATGGATTAGTTACAAATGGAATAGAGGAATGTGATGATAAAAATGAAATTCCTTATGATGGATGTTTTTAGTGTATTTACTAATGTTCTGAATAGTGTAGTATTTGTGAATAAGGAGTTTGTAAAGATATTTGTAAAAATGGTATGCCTAAAATTGATGGTTAATGCTAATCATTTTGTGGTAATTAGATTATTGAAGAAAATGAATAATGTGATGATAACAATTCTATTCAATATGATGGTTGTTATTTATGTTAATTTTCATGTCCTTTGTATTGTTCTAATTGTGATGAAGGAAAATGTTATGAATGTAATTAAAATTATCATTATGATTAATCCTCATTATCTTGTTATTCTATATGCGGTGATGGCATTTTAACATCTGAAACTGAATAATGTGATGATAATAATATTTTCTCAGGGGATGGATGCTCAAGTACATGCTAAGTAGAATAAGATTGGATATGCATTTATCATGAAGATTGTATTTACTAAAAATATCCAGAATTACAGATTAATTATTTATTCTAAAAAAATTAATACCAATATGTATAAATTGAATTTACTTAATAACTCAAAAGAGCTTCTGATATTGTAGTTGATTATTCAAGCTTTATTAAAGCTACTATCCTATAAATGGACGAAACTAAATATAAAATTTAAATCATACCTGTGTCTAATGCATCTCAAACACTTTCATGGGTAATCTATGCATTCGAAATTTATATTGATTAAGATTTAAGTGAACCACCTTATCTTAATATCTAATTATTAGAAACTTTATTTAATCAATATGATATCAAATTGAAAAATCTAAATTCTTTTATTTAAATTAAAATACCTAATTATTTAAGTTAAGAGGATATTCAAATTTCTTAAAATTTATTAGAATATAGTGAAAAAACTGTTTATTCTTTAGGAGCTCTTTCTGGAATTATGCTTTTGTGTGGTAATGGATTGGCTTTTTGGGTAGCTTTGGAGATTCTCTAAGAATAATCTTATTTCAAATATCTTAATATAATCTATCCACAAAATTTAATGATATATTTTGAATAATCAGGAATAATTTCATTAAGACCTTTATATTAGTACTTTGATTACGAACAGTTACCATCTATTTATAAATTTAGATATTTTGAATCATAAGAAAAATTTTAATTTTATCAAGTCAATGCTAATATAGTAGATAATATTAGAAGTGTTGTTTTTAGTATTTTCATCTTGATACTATTATATCATATGTCAGATTAGGTGTAAAAATGCTTCACAATACTTGAAAAGACAAGATATTGTGACAATAATATATTTATTTTAAAATTGTTCAAGAATTTAAAATTTAGAGCATTCAAAAATAAATATTTTATCAGAAGATTTGGGTTAAATAAATTTTTTGTTGTAAATAGTTGGGATATCTTTTTTATGGTATTTTTATAATTAAGTGTTTAATAATTCCATAAATTTATGATCAATTATATTATTGCCTTTATAACGCTGTTCGTTAGCTTACTTTATATTACTTCATTTTTCACTGCAAAATTTCCATTTTAAAGTTCTGAATAATATTTGAAATAAAGACTATAACTATTCTTATTTTTTAAAAAACTTTTCTTTATGTATTCCTTAGTGATGTTTTAAAGCAATTATATCTAACAGTTCATTTTGATATGTTTAGTAAATTCATTTTACTTAGTATCATGGATTTATTTAAAAAGTTTAATCAATATTTATGAATATTATTAAACTTTAATATTAGAAGGAACCCTTTTAATTTTTATTCTGACAACACCAATTTACTGGGAATTAGATATATACAAACTTTCCTATAACACAAAATTAATTTTTGGATGGTTCCATATTGTAATTTTTTCATTTGTTATTGTATTTTTCTTAATAGTAGATTCCATACTTACCTTTTAAAAAATACTTACTTTAATAAATAAATTTTTATAGGCATAAAATAATTAAGAGATGGAAAAAATAGAGAAGTAAAATTCTTAAATGTAAAATAGACCAATCAAATTTATTGTTTGTACTCAAACTTAAATAAAATGAGTTATAGTATTATATTTAAAAAAATAAAGTTTGTGCTTTTTATGTTTTAAAATTGAGATATATAAATTAAAATAGAAGTAATATTCTGTAGATTTTTAGGATATTATTTTTTAGATATTTTTTTTTACATTCTATGAAATAGATTCATTGAAGTATTTAAGTAAACTTCTTTTCTTAGCTTATGTATAAGATAAGTATAAGTGTATGAATAATTTAAGTTAATTTACAAAAAATAGTAAGGTAATTAAAAAAGCATTTGAATAATTTATTCTTTTATGTGATATTGATGATTCAGAAAAAATGAAAATAAATTAATACAATGAGTGATCCAACTGAATCATAGTAGAAATAAAATAATGATGTAATATATTGCAAACATCACCCTGAAGAATAAGTAACAAGAGTATGCAATAATCCAGAATGTAATAAAGATGGGTTCATTTGTTCTAAGTGTGTACATGAAGGGGCACATGAAGGTCATCCATCATTTGGATATGCTAAATTGAAGGCAGCTCTAATTAAATTTGTTAGTACGAATATTATTTTGAATATTAGATTCATCAAGAACTTAATAAGATTTAACTAAAGAAGGATAATTGAGTTATGCTAGAATGTAGAACTATTTAGAAGAGACTTCCTAAAGTATATACAAATAAGCCTAGAAATTAAATAAACTCAGTTAATTTATGGAGAACCTTAATGAAACGTTATTAAGTTTATAAGAGATAGGTGAAGAAGTAGATATTGCTTATACAATACTTTATAATATGGATAAGAAAGAAACAGGAGTAGATGTTACTACTCTTAATGATTACTTAAATTAATTCAGATTATTGATGGATATCAATTTAGATTCATAAAATCATGAAGTTTCTATTAAACCTTCAAGCATATCTTAATTAAGAATTAAGAATATATTAGATAAGAAAGCTGATTTCACATCTTTATTAAGAAAAACAGTAGAAGAACATGAATAGCATTTCTAAAAGTTCTTAAAAGAAATGGGAGATTTACTTAAAGAAAATAAGTAGTTCTTGGTACCAAAAGCTAATGAAACAGAAGAGAATAGAAATGCTGAATTTGGAAAAAGAGCTCTTTATAATTCTTATTATAAATAAGATACTGAAAAAACAGAGAAAAATAAAAAGAAAATTAAAGGATAAGTAAAAGGTAAAGTGAAACACGAAGATGATGAAGAAATGAGTATAGGTAGAGAATATTAAATAGGAGCTGTGGAAAAATGTGGTATTCCAAAATTAGATCAAGGATAACCACCTTAAGGAATCAAAAAGTAAATGTTTAAATTGTGTAATTATTTAATCTTTTATAATACTTTGATGTGTGATTCAATATTACCAGAACCTATTTTAAGAGGAGTACCTTTGAAGAAAATGTAATAAGGAGAATTGAAATTTCCTATTAGATGTGCTTTCTGTAGATTATTAAAAATTAGATCTTTTGTATAATTCTATTTCAGATTTGATTTAGTATCTAGATTTGGAAAGCTTTGTTTATTTAAAGATAAAGAAGGTCGAGAAATATGTTCTCATGAAATGTGTCTACTATGGTCTAATAGAGTTTAAGTTGATTACAATACTATGTTAGTTGATATTGCTACATTAATTTAAGCAGTCTAATTTGCATAAGCTTAAATGTGTAGATATTGTGGATCTATTGGAGCATCATTAAAATGTAATAAAGCAGAATGTCATGTTCATTATCATTTTAATTGTCTTAAATAAGTTAGATTGATGGGTTTACAATTAGATCATGAATAAAAATTCAGATTCTTTTGTGAAGATCATGTTAGACACAATTACTAAGGATAATCTGATTGGTTTATCACCAGAATTAGAATGAAACATATTATTTAATAAGGAGGATAACCTGCATTTACCAAGAAGAACCCATAAATAGATTGGTCTACCAGAGATTCAGGACTTAACGGTGATAGCGATATGGAAGAATAATAATTTAATAAAAAACATAGATATTGAAAATTATATATGCATATTATATAAATAAAATATATTATTCTTATTCTATTTAATCTTAAAATTGGGATTCATTTAATCCTTATAAAAATATTTAAATTATATTCTCATTATTTTGTTTAATCTTAGCATTTAAACCAAATTATTAATCAAATATTAATACTATAAAGTTGAAAATTCATAAAATAATCTAAATATTATTATTAATTGAACAATATAATGAATTTATTTATTAGATTTAGTAATTTTCAAGATGGAACAGAACTAAGTTTCGAAAAAAATTTAATTATTTTTTTTAATTTTATTTTTCTATAATCGCCATATAAAATGTATATCATGATCAAGTTAATTCTAAACAATATATATTTTATTAATAAATTTATCAATTCAAACGATATCCTAAATAAATTATTTATTAATAGTTGAACCTATAATAAAGATATAAAATTTAATCACTTTTTTTCGCTAATTTATATTAAAAGACAATTTTTAATCTCTTACATTATTTATTGATTTTGCTTTATTCATTCAGATCTATAATAAAAATTAGGTTTAAGTTAATTTTTTGAATGAAACAATCAATTTAATTATGAAGGAATTTTAGAATGAAAAAATATGATAATAGAATTAGAATATTTCCTTTTTTCATTTGAATAAGACCATTAAGAAGAAATTCTAAACTTCTTTTACTTAAGATTAGTTTTTAAATAGATTAATTTTTTTATTAAAAATAAATTATTTTTCAAATATACCATAAATAAAGTAAATTTAGAAACTTTTAAATGTAGTAGATGATAAATAATAAGAAAATTAGAGTTAAAACCCCATATAGAGATTCTTAATTTAATATTGATCTTATTATTAATATCTCAATTAAATTTGCACTTTGAAAAATCCATTTCTGGGTGAGCCTTCATAAATTCTGCCATTTTATTCTTCTTTTCTAATTCTTCACTTGTAGGTAAACCCATTTATTTTTGTCTCATATCAAACATCATTTTTTCAACAGTTCCTCTGGTGTCTCCATCCAAATCTGATAATTAAGATGGTTCTGGACTAATCTTTTATGTATTGATTTCAAGATCACCTAATTTTAGAATTAAAAAATACCTTTAATAACACATGACCACCAATTCAATTAACCTGAATATTTTGTAATAGAAATATGAATATATTTTCCTTTATAATCTTATATTTCTCCATCAGTTAATAACCAAGTTGATTCATCTGACTGAATCTTTTCAAACAATTATCCATTTATTATATGAGGTTATCCTATAGAATTATTAAAATAAATAATATACCTTTAATTCCAACTTATAAAGAACTGGCTTCAATTTTAACATTTAATTATTTGCTTGTCAGAGTAGAAGGTATAGGAATATATACTTAAACTTCTTCTAATGTTTAGGTCCAAATATATCTTTCTGTTCTACCTCCATTTCCAACAGGTGGTTTCTCATTATCATCTTTTTTGTCTCCTTCTTTTTTTTCTCCATCTTTTGCATCTCCTTCCCCTTCTTTCTTTTCAGGTTCCTTTGGTTTTTATTCAGGTACTTTCAAAACTGGTTAGTATATAGGTACTGATGGATCTAATTTTTCTTATTATTATTATTATTATTATTATTATTATTGTTATTATTATTATTATTATTATTGTTCTTATCTTTATTATTCTAATTTTTCTTGTTATTATTTTAACAATTATTGTTGTTATAGTTGTTCTGCTTCTTTCTTAGCCTTTTCAGCAGCTTCTTTTTCTTTTTTTCTTTACTCTTCTCTTTATTTTCTTTACTCTTCTTTCTTATCCTTATCTAGTTTTTCAGATTAAAATTTAACGAAGTTTTTAGCACAGGATTCTGTAATTACTTTTTCTGCTGCTTTTTAATCTTAAAAGAAATCTGTGTGACGTCTTTTATCATTAGAATATTAATTACCTTAAAAATCCAAATGCAGCATCAAAGAATACATTAATATCTTTTGTTTACTACATTATTGTCATAAATAGACCATCATACTTATTTTCATCAGTCATTTTGGAAATGGATTATTTTTATTGAAAATATTTTAAAAAATAAAAGGTAAGTCTAAAAAGTTCTAGAACTCTCTATTAATTATTTTTACAATAATAATTGATTCTTTAAGAAATTTTATTCTTTAGATTAAAAATTTATTGAGAATGATACAAGATGATATTTTAATACCATTATAATTTAAGATTTAGATTCTCAATCCAATATATTTTAAGCCCTCCTTGAATTTTATTAAAAATTTTTATAACTCCTTAGATTAAAATAAACAAATTATATATAATTGATGAAAATACTCATAATAATTTTCCTCTATCTAAAAAGGATTTTCCTTTAATACAGATTTTTTAATATTCAGAAGATTTACCAGTAAATAATCTTGACATTAAAACTATATTTAATATTCGTACAAACATATTTCCCATTATGATAATTTTATAAGATTTGTAGGGATCAACTAATTTAGAAATAAATAGAAAAAAAGGAAAAGCAAGAAAAAATAACATTCCATAAATTTTCAATTGACAATAAAAGTTTTCAATAGAATCTCCTTTCTTTTTTCTCTAATTAGTTGAATAATAAAAGTAGAAAGCTAGAGATAAATAGATTAAACTAATAGTGTAACCTACCCATCCTTCATAAATATGATAATCTGTTTAACTACTCACCAATCTCCCCAATCCAACAATTAATGCTTAAGCAAAAGCTATAAAAAATGCTAATGGTCCATAAATATCCCAATCTTCCATATCTAAAAATTCTATTGACCAACCCCATGCTAACAATATTAATAAAATCATTAGTAAATAATTATCAATAACTTATATAATTTCTGAAATAGTTGAAAATGCCCCTATTCCCTTACCATTTAGATTATAAACTATTAAATGTATAAAATTTAGTAAATTTTGTATTGCTTCTAAACCAATTACAACTAGAACAAATAAATAAGCATAATCCCATTCTCCATATTTTTTTAATTCTGATTTAAATATACTGTAATTATATATAAATCCTATTATTGTAAATATTGTTAAGACAAATACTACACTTAAAAGTCCTTCCTCTTCCAAAGAGAATTCTTGTCCTCCTTCATCATAAAACCAAACTGTGATTTCTAATTTTGTGTTTTTATTATTGAGCTTTATAATTTTATCGATAGTATGTTAACAATTATTTAAAACAGCAAGCCAAACATTATGATATCTTCCAAAACCCACTGATCCTTCTAGAGATGAAATTTTTTCATCTTAACTTGCTTCTATCTATTGATGCACAATAAGATTCGCTTCATCTGATCTACTGCATTCATCTTTTTATAATGCCTACTACCAACGGTCTTATTGAAAAAAATCTATTTCAATATTAAATTATTTGTTTTCGTAATCTTTTGGGGGTTTTATGATGCGAGATCTAGAATAAAAGAATTAAATTTACAATATTTTATAATTAACTATTCTTCTGCTGCCAAATTTATTTAATGGTATATATTATTGTTTTTAAAGCTATCTCATGGTAAAAGTTTAGGTTATCGATTTAGCTTCTGTTAGTCCAAGAATAATAATTAAAAATATAAACATTTTTAATTAAATTAATTCTCTCCAAAATAATAAATAATTAAATCGAAATATTAAAGCTCAATTTTTTTTGGAATTTGATTTAAAATATTTATTATTTATATCTTAATTCATTCTACATTTGCCTATACAACTTTTAAATCAACAGTTTAAAATACAAAGATATAATTAAGTCACTATCATATGTTATTTTCATTGTATTCGATCTCTTTTATCATCTAATATAATTAATTTATTTTTTTTTCTCTTTTAATTATCGACAAGTTTTATTTTATTTAAGTTTAAACCTTATAATTTAAATAATTATTATGAAATTTTAATAAGCAACCATTAAGTATTTAGATGAGGAAAAATAAATTAATTTACCTGAAGAAATCTCAGAATTAATACTGATTATTGAGAAAGAATTTCAAGTTTAGAATTTTGAAATTGAGTAGACATTATTAATATTTTAAGTAAGAATACCACTGGATGATTTATCGACCATTTTTTTTTTAATGAATGAATCCCATAAAAATGAATATGAATTTTTGCTTAAAACAAAAAAAATCATTACTAAAAAATTGAATATTATTAAAATTCAACCAGAGAGTAGACAAACAATATATTATGATACATTTATAAAAGAAAAATCAATTGAATGTTGTAATTAATTAAATTGTTCATTGTGTAATGGATAAGGTTATATATCTCTAAGAGATGAGGATAAGTACAAGATTGATAAAATTATCAAAAATAACCTTGAGAAAAAATTTGAGATATTGAAAAAAAAGTAATTAAAGAAATATTTTTAGATTTCAATAGAATAATATATAAAATTTGGAATCAATATTTGATTTTCTTAAATACCATTAAATGGTTTATTAAAACTCAAATAAAAATTTATTGGATTAAAAAGTGTTAAACTACCAGAAATAAACTTCTATTTCAACTAAATTTAATTTATAAATTAAAAAAGAGTTTCAAATGAAGCTTCTTTCTGACTAAAGAGTTTCACAAAAACTAGATCAAGATAATAATATCATTATACATTATTAAAATAATGGAAAATATGATTGGCCTGATTAAGTTTACTTTTTTGCCTTAGACGGACCTATTTATATAAAATAAAAAGTAAAATCCTTAAAATAGAAGGAAGTAGTATATCAAAAAATAAGTATTCCAGCTACTTCTCTTAATTAAGGATAATATGTAATAAATTGTATTCTTGGATATCATGTATCTCGAGATATGAGTTATTTTGGAGAAATAATATCGATAAATTTAAATGTTATTTCTTAAAATGAATCAATTTAAGTGGTCATATCTGGATTTAATGAAGAATTAAATTAAGAAAGTTAAGATGAATAAAGTTTTGAGTGATTTCTTATTACACTTTTTGATTTTACATTATTATTATTTTGTTTAAATTAAATTAAAAGTTTATATTCATAAATGTCTCCATATCCGATTAAACTTTATCATAGATGGGGAAATTTTCTTTTATGGGGAATATTAGTTGATATAGGAATAATTTATGCTTCATGCAATAAATGTTAAAGAAGAACAAATATACATGGTAATATAATGACATTTGTAGTCATAAATAGTTTCTTAGCTTCATTGGCTTATTGTTATTTGAAGCCATATAATTATTAATATGATAATTATTCTAAATTGAATGAATATAAATAATTTCATCTAGTTATCGGAACTGCTATGATGTTGATGATGGTGGCATTAGCATTATTTGGATATTTTGTTAAATATTAATTAGGAAATTCAGAAGGAAATAAAAATATAATTTATTATAAAAAAATACATTCTACTCTTGGATAAATAACGTATTTGATTGGAAAAGTAGAATCATTTATTGGAATGTTTATGTCATATAGAACCCAAGAATGGTTTATTTTTATTTGGGTTACATATATTGCTGTAATAATTTGTAGAGTGACTTTAGAATGGATAATTCCAAGTTTTAAATCACCAAAAATTGAAACCATTAAGGAAGATGAATAAAAATTAATCACTTATGATATATTGTCTGAAAATTTAGTAAATAAATAATGGTTTATATTTAAAAACTAAGTTTATTGCTTTGATCAAAATTATATTCATCCAGGAGGATAAATCATATGGAAACATATTAAATATATAGAAATAGGATAATATTTTTATGGAATTAGTTAAATTCCAGGAACAAATATTCTACATTAACATTCAAAATACGCTTAAGAATAATTTATAGGGAATTATTACGGAACTCTATGCAATTAAGTTGGTTTTCCAATGAAAGACAATTCAAGATGGGCATTAATAAATTAAATCAAAATAACAGAAACAGTTAGTAGCTTTCAATTCTAACATCCTGAAATAGAATTTGAAATCAATCTAAATAAAATAACCCCAAATCATTTTGTTTTTAAAAGTATAACTAACAAAAAGATTCCAATTCGTCTTTACACTTATGTATAATGTATGTAAAAACCAGCACTTGAATACATGTAAAGTTTGAGTGATTTATAAGAGAAAAAGGAAAATGTTAGATTTACAAATAATTTTAAATCTACTTCCCTTTCATTTTTTATAAAATACTATGAAACCCCAAATGGATTCAGCAAATATATCACCAAATAAAATCCTGAAATAATAGATCTATAGGGCCCTTATCAAACAGTTTTTAAAGATTATTTAAAAGAAGGTCAAATTATTTTGATCTGTGGTGGAACAGGTATATTGCCTTTTTTGGATTTACTTAATTATCATCTATTAATGTGCTATAATGAATTATTTGAGCATCCGAATCTATTGAAAGTTCCTAGTCTGAATAGGTATATCACTTTATTCTATTCAGTTACTGCTGAAGAAGAATTGCTTGGAGATTCCATATTCTTAAAATTAAGAGAATTGTAAAATCATTTAAAGAAATAAAATTTTTCTTTGATTCTAAGATGTAGAAAATAAATTGAAAGATGTGAAACCACTAAGAAGAGGTTCACTCGAGATTTCATTGAAAATTATTTCAAATTCGAAATTAAGTAAATATTCGTTTGTGGTCCTTAAGTTTTAAGGAATAGCATAAATAAAGAGTTTAGAGATATGGAGAATGAAATTATTTATATATGAAAATCATGAATCATAAAAAAATCTATCTATCAAATACACTTTTATTATATCAGATCTTTGTACTTTTTTAGTCCTGGTTAATTTTCATCCATAATCAATCTAAATAGATTGCTTTCACTTAATTTTATTCCTTAATCAAGTTTATCAACATAAGCTGAATTGATCTCATCAATTGTTTTATTTGTTAATAATTAATTGAGAGGTCTTTTCTCTTTGTTCATTTTATTGGCTAATCTAGCGATAATTTTTTAAAATCTTAAATATTTGCTTCTTAGATATGCATTTTATATTTCAATCATATCTTGAGTCATTTTGGCATGTTACTTTTCCCTAGCTAAAGTTGTCTTTAATGTTTATGGATTGTAGTTCATTTCCATAATATAAATTTATAAATCATCGGTTAGTATAAAATCAGCAGCAAAAAATTCAGCTAATCTACTATCTCTATTGAAATTTGATTATGCTGATCTGATTGCATGAATAATCATTCTATCAATAGTTGGATATAAAAAATTTTAAAGCCATTTTGTATCTTTGATTTTTCCTAATTTTATTAGAAGATCTTAAAGATAGTCTAATTTCCAATCTATATATAATTCAGATTCATCAGAATTGTCATCATTCATAAATAAATCTGATCCTTTCTATTGTAAAGTACTTTAAACAATTGCAGTATTACACACATGTGCTTCTTTATCCAAAGAGAATTTATTAAAAGGAGCAATGCATCTTCTAATTAAAGTTTTATCATATGCATAAGCAATAATTGGATTGGTTGATGCAAGAACCCAATAAACTCTAAATTCTATCTTGTGATCATTAAATAACAGAGGATTTCCTATATATTTTTAAGCAACAAGCAAAGATTTATCTATTCCACATCTTTTACCACGTTTATAAGTATTTTATAAAATTGAAGTTTCATCTGGAAATAGAACCTTTATTCCTCTTCCTCTATGAACTTCTAAACCAACTTTTGTTATAAATTAAGGGCCATCTCTCTTAATCAAGTTCTTATATTCCTTTGAATTTAGATAAGTAAAAAATTCTTAACAATCTTACTTATTAAAAAGTCTGTAAGTTTTAGGAATAAATGTTGCGTTATTTATACAATCTTAATCTAATCCTCTCTTTCTGATATCATCTAAATATTAATATTAATTATTCATTAGATTATTTTTATGAGAAAGCACATGTCTAGAAGTTAAGTGATTGTATTTTTAGAATAAACATAATGATTCTATTGAATTATTTGATTTGTTTACCTGAACCTACTTAAAATTTATGAACCAATTAATCATAATAAGTGAAAGGTAAAGTTAATTGTACAGGTAACACATGTCTTGGAAAAAATATCAAATTTGATATTATGCTATCATTTTAAGTATTTATTTATTTGTATATCATTTATGGAATGCAATCATAATAAGAAGATCTTAATGTCTCTTTTATAACTCCTCTTGTTTCTCTAAAAGTATATGTATCTTTCATCACAATATCAGGATGATAAAATTTGTATAAATCTGATCTTTAGCAATAATCTGCTTCTGGTTTAACCAAAATAGAATTATACTATTAAATATAATCAATTTTAGATTTTTACTTATGATTTGATTATTGTTGGACCAAAATATGTTTAAGTTAAGTATTTGTTCAAATAATTTAAGATTTGATCAACCTCTTACTTATTTTTATACACAAGTGATGTCCTGATGAAGTTGTATGTAAGTAATAAAATTAATATGGAAACAATGAAGACGATCACTTTTCCAAACATTTTAATAATAATTATATTCAAATTCAGAGAAGTTAAATAAAAATTTCAAATTTTGACTCCATTACCATTATGTCTTATAAAAAAAGGTTTCTTTTTTATTTTGAGGCATTTAAGTTCGAATTATATTTATTAACTATCCAAATTCTTATTATTTCATCATATGAACCTGCTGCAGCTAAAAAATTTCCATTAAAGCTAAATGATAGTGTTTTATCAGAATCTAAACAGTTTTCAAACTACTGCTTTAGTTATCCATCCATCCATCAATAAACAAATTCTCCCAATTTTATCAAGAAATGCTTTTGTTAGAAATTCTTATAATTTAAATAATATAGAACAAATAATACTCTTTGTATGTTTAAATTACAAATCAAAATCATTTAAATCTTTTCAATAAATCTTTTAGTAATTTGATCTTGTTATATGTTGACAAAGTTTTTACTTATCTTAATTTTCTCCAATAATTGTTTCCTAAGAATTGATTTCAAGGTTGAATATCAATTGATATCATTTATATTTATTTAATAAGTTTTCATTTATATTTTTCTTCTATCAATGCTTTAATAATTCATATTATAAATCATCTAATTTTTTAAAAATTTGATCATGTTTTACATAATGCATACAATCATAAATTAATTTAATTAATATTATTATGAATATTTTTTCATTATTGAGGTTATTCCACTATATAATCATCATCAATTTCATCAGCTGGATTTTCTGGTATTTCTGGCATAGGATGTTCACTATCAAAATTAGCATCCCATTCTTCTTGATTAAATTCTTCTAATTCTTCAGGAGATAACTTAATTAAATAGATAATCTACTTATTCTTTATGTTCTTTTAAAGCAGTTTCTTTAAGCTCATTCAATTTAGTAACTTCTTCCTTTAATTATTCAATTTATTTTCTTTTATTAGCAATAATATCTTTTCTTATTTCAATATCTAATTTTCTTAATTTACAAGTCAATTATAAAAATTTAAGCATTCTTCCCAAAATTAAATTGTAAGCATCTACTTATTCTTATTCAATTTTTTCAATTCTCTTCTATACTCTATCAACATAACACCATTTATATTATGGTTCTGGTTTAGGTCCTCTATGATTGTAAGACACAATCTATTAAATAAGATTTTCATCAAGAACTAATTTTCTGATATTTAATCTATTATTATCTGGTTAATTAATATCAGCTTTGTTTGCTCCTATCAAATAAAGTCCTGATTAAATAATAGAATTGAATTTTATTATTCTACAATTATTGAGATTCAAAAGTGGTTAAATAAATTCTCTGTCACTTAACTTTTCTCTTAATCTTTCTAACTTCAAACAATCAACTTCATATTAAAATAGTTTTTCATTTTCTTTGAATTCTGCTAACTTTTCTTAATGACTTTCAACATATTATTCTTCCTCTAATGTCCAATTTTCCAATATTTCTTTATATGGAGCACCTAATTAGGTTTAATAATGTAATTGTAATTCAACATCAGCTTTCATTGATTATATTTCTTATAATTCCCATTATTTAATTAGCATATTAACTAAATCAAAAATCTCTTATCTATGATTTTCTGGAATTTCTCTATCCTATCCCAATGTGTCAATACAAAAAACATACTCTTTTTTTTATTAAGCAAAAGATGGTTCCAAAAGAGGTTCTAAACCTGCCAAATATGCTTATTTTTCCTATTCTATTACAGCAGGATCTTCAGATTCAAGTCTCTCTTCAAATTCTGCTTCTTTTGCTGATCTTTCTTTATCTTAGTTTTCTTTTAATATTAAATATTGAGATCTTTATTCAATTCCTTAATCAAATGATTATTCATATAAACAACTTTAATAAACTAAAGGTATAGCATAATATGCTCCTAATTTCGGCCATTTATGATATACAATTCTAGGTTCTTTAACAACATTTGATATATAAATTCCATTAGTTTAAATTACTTCTCCATTTTCATCTGGTTATGGTTCTTTTAATGCATCATATGTAACTCCCGTTTCTGGAAGTAAATTTTAACCAATTAAGAATTTTGAATTTTAATCAGTGTATATGTAAGTCAAAAGCTTTGTTCCCTCTTAATTAATATGAGCATTTTCATCATCCTCTAAATTTAAATCAATCTCTTTTCTTGGAAAATCAAGTTCACATACATATGAGTTTACTCTCTTTCATTACATACTATAATTACAAATCTCTTTGCAACATAATCACAAAATACATCCCCTAAGAATTCATCATGATATTTTGCCTATTTAATTTATTCTAAAAATTATTCATGTTTCTCCTTTTACAAATTCTCAAGTCTTTCGCTCTCCTCATTTAGAAATGCTAATTATTAAGTTAAAACTTTGAATTCCTTTATCTTTGTTTCTTTAACTTATTACTAATTATTATCAAATTTTATTCAATACTCTTTCTTCTCTTGTCTTTTATTTTTCAAGCAATTATGAATATGTTAGAAGCCATTTAGCAAGATAATCTATAGGAAATTATGGCTTTTCTAAATACAGAACTGCTAAACCTTTGGCAACAATACCACCTACTTCATCTTATGTTAGATAATCCATATCAGTTATATAAAAACAAATAATTAGTTTTAACAAATTAATCTCTTTATATTTTATCTTAAGACGAAAACATTTCTAATGTTTTCTCCTCTAGGTCATGGATACTCTAGCATTCTAATTGATCTACGATTTCTGAAGCAAAACGAAATAATAACTAAGAATTTTCTTTTCTTTAATCTTTAGGACAAAGAAATTTTGGAAATGGATATGGCTTTTATTTCTCTTATTTTAAACTTCTTCTAACAACCTCTGTTCTTATTTACAATTTTTCTATTAATCTACTCTATTTTACATGCCATGATCTTTCTCTATTGAAAATAGCATCTTCAATTTTTAGTTATTCAAGCAAACCTTTTCTCTTAATTTCTGTGATATTTGATGATTTTTTAGAATTAGCTTTTTCTAAGCTTTCCTCCAATTTTCTTAATCTTTCCTTATCTTATAATTTTCTATCCTCAACACTTTTCTAATATCGAGCTAATGTTTCATTTAATCTTGTTTTTCTTGGAACAATTTATTAAGCTTATTTAAAAAGTTCCAACCTTTATAATTTAGCATCATAACTCATTTTGCGTTTTTCATATTTATCATGCATCATTTTAGATAACTAAGCTCTATTTCTTTAATTTTATTCCATTCGAGATGTTTCTAGTAATTCTTTTTGATATGCTCTAAATTCTCTTTCACTACTTTTCTTTTATCTACGGGACTCAATTAACTATTCTTTTTAAGAATATAATAACAACTATTGTTCCCTTTGTTCTTATTGTATCTTTTTCACTTTAAGCAATCTGTCATTTATTTTCAAACTCTGTCCATCATCTATTTTTTCATCTTAGACAAAGGTTTTAGGAGCTTGAGAGCTTTCAACTTATTTCAAGTTTAATAATTCATTGTATTCGATTAATAATCTTTATCTTCTTTTTTCATGTTACTTTGTTATTGACTCTATGTAAAATTAAGCATCATTCTCATATTCGACAGGAACTTTGATTTTATTAAGGGGTTGCAAATCGAATTCGGTGATCCCCATTTTTTTTAATATTTGTTAATTCATTAAAAATATTGGGGATATTTTAATGTCAATTACAAAATCAGAAAAAAGAATATTTACTCTATTTAAATGTTGTTCTAATTTGATAAATTATAGTAAAAGGAAAAGAAAACATAATTTCACATATAAAATAAAATATGAATATTATGTATTTAATATCAAAATAATCTCTATTTTGCTTCATCCCCATCTCCAACAAGCCCTTTTTCTTGAGCAAATTTATAATGTAAATCTACAACATCTATTCCATCATGAACTTTAGTCCATCCATTTTAATGAATGTGATAAACTATATAACTTTAGAATAAATACCTCTAACTACACCTCCAGATGCTGTATCTCTATGAGTAGCATGATATATGGCTCTAATCGCTAATTCAACAGCTTCATTTACTGATAAATCAAATCTATAATGATTATCCAATACACCATAGGCATATGTACTACCACTTCCTACAGAAAAGATATCTCCCTTTAATCTCATTCCATCATTATCAATGTAATATAAATGTTATCCACTTAAATCAGTTCCTGCAATCATACATCCCATTGAGAGACCTGAATTCCTATAACCAATCAAAATTCCTTATAAAAATTTAGATGCTGCAGCAACACTTAATTTACTACCATTTTTCAATTCATATGTTCTACAATGATTAGCTAAATAAGCTAGCCAATATTGACAATCAGCTGCACCACCAGCCATAGTACCTTAAAGAATCTCAAAAATAAATACCCAATAGATATTCATTAATTTCAATGACCTTTCTAACTTATTCACTGCTCAAAAAACTTCCCATACTGGCTCTTGAATCTACAGCCAACAGAATTCCCTCTTTAAATACAAATCCTAAAGTAGTTGTTCCATGTTTGAAATTATTTAATTTATTTCCACCATTTATTTAAGTTGGACCATTCAAAGTTCTATATATCACTTAAGGTGCAGAAGGTAAAGCTAAAGTATTTATTTCATCTTTGTCTTCTTTTTAATAAGTATGAGCTAAGCCAAATGTAGATGGATCGAAATCAATCATATAATATTTAATTTAATCACATTCCTTATCTAAATATTTATTATATAATTATATTTTTCAGTAATTTTATGTTTTAAGAAGTTAGAACTAAACCTATTAAAGGTTCAACTAATACACGATTCACTAAATGTATTTCCATTTATAAATTGACAGATTTAATTTTAAATTATTTATACTAAATAATATGAAAAGCAACCATCATAGAAGAACAAAATCAAGTGGCAACTACTTTCCCATATAAACTGAATTTCTAGTTTAAGATGATGATAATGATACAAATGAAACAAAAGAAATAATAAAAAAGATATAACAAGAACCAATTCTACATCATTAGATAGTTGAAAAACTAGATGATTAAAATTATGGGTTATTCAATGCTATGTTTAATTTTGGTTAGATGAAATTTAAACCAAAATAATCACTAGATCTTAGTACTATTACAGAATGCAGCTGTATTACTTGAATTTATACTGTTAGCTACACCTTCCACTAAAGATGCTAAACCCAAACACAGAAAATGTGGTAGTCAATAATAATAAGCAAATAAACAACCAATTAGGCATACACATAGTCAGAGTCTCTAAATATAGAGACTTGAGAAAGAATTAGAATAAATGAAAGTATAACAGGCAGAGATTAAAAATGTAAACATGATGTTAATTATTGAAATTCACAAATCCCGATAAGAGCTACAGATTTCTTAATAAGTATTATTTAATAATCAATATCTTAGAAAAATGAACTCATTCTTTAAAGAATCAAAAAATTAGAAAAAATGCTTAGAGATGACTAAAAATTATCATCCACCACCAATGATAGTCTAGAATTTTCCTGAAAATATACTTATTAATTACAATAATCATTTTTATCGTATTTTGATTCATTAAAAAACAATTATTTCTACTTTAATTTAGATTTAATAACATTATCAGTTTATTAAATGTCACTTAAATGTCACTTTATTTCACAGATTAGATAATTTACTAAATCATATAAACACAGAAAATTATCAAATTTCATCATCAGCTATTAATACACTTATAGATTGAAATCATCATAAATTAGAATAATAAAAAAAATTAAGGGTTTAGCTAATTTTTTATAATAAATAAATAATGCCAAATGTTATCAAAAAATATCAGGTTCTATTAAAACTGTTCAGTTTTGGATTGTTTACTCAAAAAGTACAAAAATTGATTTTGATTATAATATGATTTTTCTTATTATATAAAATATAAAAATAATAATTATGAAAAAATAAGTCTTTAAGTTTTATAAATCGATCCATTTGTAATAAAGAATCATTATTTTGAATTTAGAAGTTTTAAAAGAGTTTAGCAATTAGACAATAACTCAAAAGAGTCTTGCAATCCTGAAGATTAATGGTATTTGTTAAATAGATTTATCTTAATAACTATTTGAAGCTAGAAAAATATTGATTGAAAATGACAAAGAATTACAATTTAAAGGTATGATTACTGAAGAATGAGTTCTTTAAAGTATATTTAGAAACATAGAAAGAAAGCTTAAATGAATTTGGAATTAGAATTTCATTAATTTTGAAATATTTTATTAATACTTCATTATTATTCAGCAGCTCTTCTTTCAGCTAATCTTTCTAATTCTTAGACCAAAACTAATTCTTATCTTCTTCCTGCAGTGACTGCTTCATATTCAACATCGAAACTGTGGCATAAATCAGCGGCATCATCCCATAAGGTTTAGTTTCTTTATTTCTTGTTTGTGGCAGCTTAAGCAACGGCAGTTTAGACTGAGATAACTCCTTATAAGTTTTCAGCTTTGGTTGTTAATCTTCCTTTTGAGGCATCAAGTCTGGATTATGAAGCAAGATATAAATCTTTTTATTAAGTGAAAAGAGCCAAAGCATTGGTATTTTCAGCTGTGTATGAGGACCATGCTTCTTCAACGACGGTTCTCAAGGTTTATAATAATTGAGCAAGTCTTTCAGCAGCACCTGCAGCATCATCTTCTTATGTGATTTAAGCTAAAGCAGCTAATGGGGTCATGAAAGCTTTGTTCATNAAAAACAATTATTTCTACTTTAATTTAGATTTAATAACATTATCAGTTTATTAAATGTCACTTAAATGTCACTTTATTTCACAGATTAGATAATTTACTAAATCATATAAACACAGAAAATTATCAAATTTCATCATCAGCTATTAATACACTTATAGATTGAAATCATCATAAATTAGAATAATAAAAAAAATTAAGGGTTTAGCTAATTTTTTATAATAAATAAATAATGCCAAATGTTATCAAAAAATATCAGGTTCTATTAAAACTGTTCAGTTTTGGATTGTTTACTCAAAAAGTACAAAAATTGATTTTGATTATAATATGATTTTTCTTATTATATAAAATATAAAAATAATAATTATGAAAAAATAAGTCTTTAAGTTTTATAAATCGATCCATTTGTAATAAAGAATCATTATTTTGAATTTAGAAGTTTTAAAAGAGTTTAGCAATTAGACAATAACTCAAAAGAGTCTTGCAATCCTGAAGATTAATGGTATTTGTTAAATAGATTTATCTTAATAACTATTTGAAGCTAGAAAAATATTGATTGAAAATGACAAAGAATTACAATTTAAAGGTATGATTACTGAAGAATGAGTTCTTTAAAGTATATTTAGAAACATAGAAAGAAAGCTTAAATGAATTTGGAATTAGAATTTCATTAATTTTGAAATATTTTATTAATACTTCATTATTATTCAGCAGCTCTTCTTTCAGCTAATCTTTCTAATTCTTAGACCAAAACTAATTCTTATCTTCTTCCTGCAGTGACTGCTTCATATTCAACATCGAAACTGTGGCATAAATCAGCGGCATCATCCCATAAGGTTTAGTTTCTTTATTTCTTGTTTGTGGCAGCTTAAGCAACGGCAGTTTAGACTGAGATAACTCCTTATAAGTTTTCAGCTTTGGTTGTTAATCTTCCTTTTGAGGCATCAAGTCTGGATTATGAAGCAAGATATAAATCTTTTTATTAAGTGAAAAGAGCCAAAGCATTGGTATTTTCAGCTGTGTATGAGGACCATGCTTCTTCAACGACGGTTCTCAAGGTTTATAATAATTGAGCAAGTCTTTCAGCAGCACCTGCAGCATCATCTTCTTATGTGATTTAAGCTAAAGCAGCTAATGGGGTCATGAAAGCTTTGTTCATCTTTGTGGCAACTGAAGCCTTCATCAATTTGGTTGTCATTTCAGCGACTTAGATCAAACTGGCTTTTCCTTTAGCTAAAGCAGCAGCCAAATCGAGGGAATCATCAATGGCGTTAATGGCATCATTGAATGTAACGGCACCTCTGTTGTAAGATTAAGTGTCTTCCTTTCTGGCGTCATTAATGAGTCCAATATGTAATGAAACAGTATTTAAGATGTTTTCTGTTTCTCCAATGGTGGCTTAAGTTTTCTTCAATAAGACGGTGGAAGTCTTGAGAATTCCATTGGCAATTCTGAGTGTGGTTGTGGCATCTTCAACTTCTGCTCTTCTGTAAGCTATTTCACTTTAGCATTCAGCTTATTAAGCTCCATAGACTTCATCGTGTGTTCCTTATTCTTAAGCAACAGCTGATTTGAAGTTATCAAGAACTCCTCTGATTGTATCAAGTGGTGAATGAGCTTTAATTTTGTTTTCAACTTCAACCATGATGTTCATGATGCTTCTTTTTCCTCCATATGTGATTGGGAACTTTTAAACCATACCAGCATTAGCAAGAGCTAAGACAACTAATAATGTTATTGTGACTTTCATTAATAATATTTATTGTTTACAAACTCTAATCTGCCATTTATAGGCCCAATTAGAGTATCTAAAGAAAAAAACGGGTTTGTAAATTTTTATAATAAGTATTTATATTATCAATTATTAATATGAGATGATGAGTTATTAATAAATTTCTGGAAAATTTATGAATCTCAAAATTTTTCATTTTCTAACCCTAACCTAGAAGTATTTGAAATTATCTAATCTTAATCAAAAGCTTACTCAAAAATTTTAAAAAGCAGAATTATTTATATTCAATTACAAATGTCACATTCTCATTCAATTAATTACTTCTTCTTCAAAGTCAAAAAAAAATAATTTAAGGAAGATATATGCCTAAATCTCAAAATACTTTAACTACCAAAATTTTTTTAGAAAAATGTAAAAAAATTTATCAATTCATAAATTTTTTTGAATCACTTTTTAAATATATAATTTGTGTCAAATTTTTGCTGTTATGAATTTTACGACTTTTGTATTTTTTTAAAATAACTTCCCAACAAGAAGAAAATAACTGAATGTAATTTGATTGATATAAAAAAAAATATTTAATTTAAGTTCAAATAATTGAAAGAATTTTGTTCAAATCAAAAAGAATCTTAAAGAATTTATTAAATCTATCTACTCTAAATTACTTAAAAATCTTTTAATCTTTGGTTTTAGAAATAATTTATTTTTTTTATAATTCTTGATTTTTTAAATTATATAAAATAATATTTATGAAATAAAAATATTTAAATTTGATATAAATAAAAAGAGCTAAGATTCATAGATAATATTCTTTATTAATATTATAAATAATAAATATCGTATTTAAGAGTCTTTGATGCATTAAGTCCAGTTGTTTTTCATTTCTAAAATAGATTTCCAGATGAATAGATGAATGGCAAGGTTTAGATACTGATTAATTAACACAAAGAGAATATGCTGCGTTTGCTTGAAAAACTGAAAAAAACAATAAATTACATTGTAATATCGGTGTACTCTATCAAATAGACATAGAATGCAAGCACAATTATTATTGGAGTGATGACATAGCTAATTGTTGATACTAATAAGAAAAATGTTTAACTTACTCATGTCTCAATAGTTTAAGGTGAAACTTTAGAATTAATGGAAGTTAAGATCTTAGTGATAATGAAATATCTTACAAATTAAAAAATTTATGATCATAATACTCTCTTCATCAAAAAAAACTAAATTTAATAATTTATTATGTGAAGAAGGTTAGTATTTATAATTAAATATCATAAAATTCCTTTGCAAGAATTTATACTAGATTTAATTGTAAATTTAAACTAAATTTTCTTAATAAAGATTTACATAACATATTTAATAAAGAATTATAAAACAATCAATTAAATGTCAACAACGAGATTAAAAAGAAAATACCTTAAAATAGTTTAATAATGGGCATGTAATTGTATTTTTAAATATGAGATATCTTAAGTTCTTATTTTATAGAACAATATTATAAATGGAAAATTTATGATGGAATTAGTAATTGAGTTTGCTTAAATTAACAAAGTTTTTTTTAAAGACAAATCTTAGTTTTATTAATTTGATTTTAACAGAGTAAGATCCATTTTAAGGAGAGCGTAAAGAGAAGTACATTTATTTTGATGATATAGATTATAATAATTGAAGAATCGTCATCAGGTACACATAAATTAAATAAATTTGAATAGGAAGAATAATATAATATATTTTAAATATATCATAATATGATTAATTAATCTCACTAAATGAATATCATTGGGAAGTGACGGTATATAATAGTTCGCAGTTGTTTATAATAAAATCATAATTATTAATATTAAAAATTAAAATGACATCATCAGGAATATTGCTTCTAGTCCTTTTAGCTACAGCCTCAGCCTTCACTTACAATGAAGCATTGGCTAAAGAGTATGCTGCAATGTCTTTTGCTGCCTATTGTCCAAATACAGCAATCCATAATTGGTCTGTTGGTTATGTAAGCAGCATGTATCCAGATTTGACTAACATTGAAGTTTTTGAGAATCTTGTTAGTGTAAGATTTTAAGTTTAATTTTAGGGAACAAAAGGGTATATTGCATACAATAAAAAATTATCAGCTATTGTAGTTATATTTAGAGGCTCATCTAATATTTAAAATTGGATTGAAAACATTACTTTTGGAAAAACTGCTTACAATACAGCCTGCAAATGCAAAGTACACACTGGATTTCATGATGCTTTCATGTCTCTTAAACCAAAACTTGACACTTTATTCCCAGGATATACAACCAAATATCCATATGCTGCTATTCATGTTGGTGGACATAGTTTAGGTGGTGCCATGGCTACATTATATGCCTTATAATTAGCTGAATCAGGAAAAACAGTTCAATTGTTCAGTTATGGTTCACCAAGAGTAGGAGATCCAGATTTCTATGATTGGTTCACCAAATATACAAAAATTACTCATTTCAGAGTTGTACACCAAAATGACACTGTTCCTCATGTATAAAATATATTTATATAATATAGCTTCCATTTTATCCTTAAGGATTCTATCATGTGGATAGAGAGATCTGGTATCATGATGGAACTCACACTGTTTGCGCTGCAATTAGAGGAGAAGATAAAGATTGTTCATGGAAGGTTTCAAATAAATCTAACGCGGACCATAACACTTATATAGGATTAACTTATGTTGATTGTTGATTTTTAATTAACATAAAGAAAATTATTAAATTATTAATAGTATCTTATTTTTTTTATAGAATAATAGTTTCTAATAATTATAAATAATGATGACTCGATCAAATGAGTATCAATAAATTGATATAGTTTATTCCTCAAATAACAATCATTTATTAAATCCTTTATAATCCATTTATGATCCAAAAATATTTAAATTTCGATATCACTACCATTATATTTCGATCTTATATATAATTTTACTTAAAACATTTTATATGTTATTTACATCCGGTAAAGTGTTTTTATATTAATGATCAATTTCATAATTGCAATAAAAAATCCTACCTATTTATAATTAAGTAAGATCTCATCATCCTAAATCATCTTTTATTAAAAATACCATTATTTTAATAGGATTTTAAAAATAATCTAATCAAGCCTTTATATCATCTATATATAAAGGAATATCCACTAATATAAATATTAAATATAATTACTCTAAGCTTCATAGAAAAAATAGCTTTTTTTATTTTCCTAAAATTGGGAAGAGCCATAATAATAATTAATGAAGCAACTTTCTAAATTTAATATCTAACAATTCTATTTCTTTTGATGGTTCAGAATAATAGTATAAAATTTATATCATATTCATCAAATCTTTTCATTTAATATAATAAAATATTTATTTATTCCATCAAAAAAGTTTCTATTTATAATGTTAATTTTTAAACTTTATAATCCTGTACGAATTTATTATTAAGGATATGCCTTTTTCTCTTTCAATTAATTATAATTTTATATTAAGTAAAAATTATTTTCCATCGATTGATTTACACTTTACCAGATCAATTTAATCTATAAATCCAATACTTATTTATTTAATTAAATTTTTATCTTATAATTATATCAACCATTCTTTAGCCATTTATAATTTTCTCCAAAATGGATTGTTAAAATTCCATTACAAAATTATATTTCATAAAATGTTTATAAATCATTTTATTACATTGTACAATATGAATTTATTTGCAAAATTCATTTTCTCTAAGTTGTTTAATTCTTGGTATCAAAAGTTTAAGATCTGAATATCCAATTTCAATTTAATAATTATGATTATTCAGTCCAACATATTATATATTAATTAAATATTAAATTAGATTGTATTTTCTGTTTTAAGGGTTTTATTTAAATATTGAAATATATATAAAAAAGATTGGTTATCTAAATTTATTTTATAGGTCATTATTATTCAGCAGCTCTTCTTTCAGCTAATCTTTCTAATTCTTAGACCAAAACTAATTCTTATCTTCTTCCTGCAGTGACTGTTTCATATTCAACATCGAAACTGTGGCATAAATCAGCGGCATCATCCCATAAGGTTTAGTTTCTTTGTCTTTTGTTTGTGGCAGCTTAAGCAATTGCAGATTAGACTGAGATAACTCCTTATAAGTTTTCAGCTTTGGTTGTTAATCTTCCTTTTGAGGCATCAAGTCTGGATTAAGTAGCAAGATATAAATCTTTTTATTAAGAGAAAAGAGCCAAAGCATTGGTATTTTCAGCTGTGTATGAGGCCCATGCTTCTTCAACATTGCTTCTCAAGGTTTATAATAATTAAACAAGTCTTTCAGCAGCACCTGCAGCATCATCTTCTTATTTGATTTAAGCTAAAGCAGCTAATGGAGCCATAAAAGCTTTGTTCATCTTTGTGGCAACTGAAGCTAACATCAATTTGGTTGTCATTTCAGCGACTTAGATTAAGCTAGCTTCACCTTTGACTAAGGCAACACCAAGATCAATTGCATCATCGATAGAATTAATAGCATCGTTGAATGTAACTGCTCCTCTATTATATGATTAGGTATCCTCTTTCCTAACATCATTAATGAGTCCAATGTGTTATGAAACAGAATTTAAAATATTTTCAGTCTCACCTAAGGTAGCTGAAGTTTTCTTCAATAAGATGGTGGAAGTCTTGAGAATTCCATTGGCAATTTAGAGTGTGCTTGAAGCATCATCAACTTCTGCTCTTCTGTAAGCTATTTCACTTTAGCATTCAGCTTATTAAGCTCCATAGACTTCATCATGTGTTCCTTATTCTTAAGCAACAGCTGATTTGAAGTTATCAAGAACTCCTCTGATTGTATCAAGTGGTGAATGAGCTTTAATTTTGTTTTCAACTTCAACCATGATGTTCATGATGCTTCTTTTTCCTCCATATGTGATTGGGAACTTTTAAACCATACCAGCATTAGCAAGAGCTAAGACAACTAATAATGTTATTGTGACTTTCATTTTAATTAATAAGTACCTTCCAAAAACAGGTTAGCAACTTTTATAGTGAAATTTTGCTTGGTAAAAAACGAAATTTTATTTAAAAACGGATTTCCTACAATTAAATAATTTTTCAATATTGCTAATAACTTATAGGTGATATTTAGTATTATCATATAATCGTTGAATCATAAATAAGTCTTCCTTATTCATTTCATTAAAAATTGAAGAGAAAATCTATAATTTGTTAGCTAGCCAAGCTTATTTGGTATTTTAAATTATTCATTGTTGATGATAAAAGTTTGTGATACTATAAATGATTTTATGCTTTTATAGAATATTAACATTTTCTTAGTTATAGATTTTTTTCAAATAAATACAAACTTATCATTAAATCTAAAATATCTTAGAATAATTTGAGTTCATCAACAATTAATGAGTATTCTTTTAGATGAACCTCTCGATATTGCAAAGTTTATTATAAATACCAAAATGACTTTAGTAATATAGAAAATTATTTTACTTTTGTTTTAATTTTATAAATATATAAAAATAGTATTCTTGCTTGTCCTGAAAACAAGAATAAAAATTAGTTTTTTGTATTTTGATAAAAAGGACATTATAAAATAGTTTTTTTGTATTCTATTTCCATAAATCTTATGATATATATATCACTTTAAAAATATAAACAATATTTAATAATAATACATTATTATTATTATAGATAATGTCACATATAGGAAAAGACATGAATATGAATGATTTTAGCAGCCCACATCTTTAAATAAGCAAGAAAGATTAATTTTTAGAAGAAATAAAAAATCACATTTTGTAAAAATCAAGAAATGATGTCTGGAGATTAAAAGGCTAACCAAATTTTGTTACCCGCCCTTATGTTGAATGGAGAAGAGGAGATACTTGCTGTGCCATAATGTGAATTAAATATAATCACTTTAACTTTTAGAAATAGTCTCTAATTGATTTTTGTTTAAATTTATTATTATTAACTTTTTCTTAAGTTTCTGGAACTTCTAATTTATTATTTTCTTAATCTTCTACAGATTCTGTTTTGCTTGGCGTTTTAACATGATCATCAGTCTTTTTATTTTTTTCGTTCCCATCTAGTTACATTTCAATTTGAATTTGTTCTTAGTCAAAAGTCTAATTATTTGGTTTAATTTAATTTTCTTTAAAAATGTTAAATTCTTCCTAAATACATTACTTCTCTTAAATATTTTATTGTTCTTCTATCAAAATATTCTCTTCTTGTTAAATTTAAGGATTATCTATACTAATATTTTGTTCTTCTTTTAATTTATTTTCTTGCATATCCTTAATTCTTAATTTTCTTAGTTCATCTAGTTTGCATTTTTCTGCTAATTCTCTTTGCAATTTAAAAGAGGAATCTTTAAACATTTTTGATTAAATATTATTAATAGCTGCCCTTTCATTTTTAGGTAAATCATCAATACATAAGAAACATTTATACTCTATCTAAGAAGCTTCTTCATAAGGGATTGTAATTTCTAAACAATCAAAGTGAAACCATTCATCACATACTTCACAACATATCATAGGATCACCATCTTTAAATTTACCTCTACATACACAATATAAATTATCATCTCTTTAAAAATATTCATCTCCTACTTATTCTATTATGATTTCCTTTTTTTATTCAGCTTTATTATTTTTTTTATATTTTTTTAACATTAAAATATCTATAAGTTTGGCTTATTTTTTTTAAGGATTTAATTCTTACATATATTTACTTGCTCTTCTTCTTAATTTCTCATACATCTTATATGTAATATCTTTTTCATAATCTCGATACTTAAAATGTTTCCACAATTCATCTGTCGCAGTAATTGTACTTTTGTAAAATTATGTAACTAATAAACCATTTGCGTCAACTTTATTTTAATAAACCTCTGGCAAACTAGTAAGCTTATACTATTTTTATGGTTTAAGAACAGGTCCTGAGATTGAATCAAGAATATATTATCCTTACTCCAACTTTAAATTAACAATTAGTTATTAGTCAGTAATTTAATTTATGAATTCTTTTAATTTATTTGCAAAATCTATTAAATCGAATTCATTCTCTGATTATTCCTAATTTTCTTATTTTAACTTTTGATCTTTTAAAGATTTTATTTTTCTAGGTTTTTAAACAGATTTTTTATGCATCTACTTACATTTTTCATAAGCTCTAAAAAAATCTATTATTTCTCTTTCATATAATCTCTATTTAGACTCTAAAATTCTTTTGACTTTAAGAGGAACATGTTTTTAGCAAAAGATCTAATAATCAGGTTTATTATTGATAATAGTTTGAGTTAAAAATATTCCAGATCTTCTAGCACATTCTACATGAAAAGAAGTAGAACAACTACCTCTAGCACATTAAATACACATTCCAGCTTTCTTAATATTACAAATTGTGCAATTAAGAGAAAATCTTTTTGCATTAATATTATCCACACCTCTAAGAATATCTTATTTTTCATCTAAAAAACATTCTGGAGACCAATAAAAACAAGATAAATGAATCCAAACTTTTTATGGTTAAGGTTCTTTGATTTCTTTATTATTTTCTAAATCCCGAATATCTCTATTAGGTAATTTACCAAAATCATAATATAGTTCTTAATCATCATCAATTTATTAAACTTCATTTATTAAAATTTTTACATAATTTAGATACAATATCATTCTTCATCATAGTTTCTCCTTAAGATTCAAAATAAGTTTAATTTAAATGTTAAAAATATTATGAATCTATTTAAGTAGCTTTCATAGCTCCTCCTAATTTAGGACACAATGCACAACGTAAATATTGTCCATTAGGTCCAAAAGTTTAACATACATCACATATCCAATCTTCATTTGGTATTATTTCAATTAAATAACATTTTTAGTGGACTGATATATTGCATTTAGAACAAAATACAATCAAATTATCATCAGTATAATCTCCATCATTACATACTTAACATAATGCATCATCTAAATTTGGTTATAAATGTATTCCTCCTCCTTATGTTTTCTTACCAGTCTCTTATACTGTCACATTTTAATCATCTGCTTAGATTTTCATTTCTGTTTTTTCTATATATTATTTTTCTGCTTCTGTCAATCCTGCAATATCTCTCAATAGATTGTTTTACTAATCTGTTTTTAAATGCTATCTAATTGTTGGCACTAAACTATCAAAATATTATATAGTTTCTTCATTTTTTTTTGTTAGACACTCTAATTCAATTCTAATGATATTTATACATTGTACTCTTAGTTTAAGATCAAATTATCTAAATCTTTAGAACCTTAGTTTCTCATTTCTAAAATGAACATATCATCATTTACATCATACCCTTTTTTATTTTTCTATTTTTTACAATCACTAATTAAATCAAGATATGTACTCTTAAATTTAAGTCCCAAATATTGTTTCATTTTTCTTCAATATTTTCTCAATTTCGTGCAGACATTATTAGAGATACTCTTGATCACAGTTAAAATAAAGTGCTGAAATCATAAATTAGAGTGTTGATGCTTGCAAAAATTGAACTTGATATTAGAAATTGCATACTTGGATAAATAACTTTAGTATTATTTGTATTTTCTATATCAGTCCAATCAAAATCTCCCATTTTTCTTAGAGTATGTAAATAATTTTGATATTTTTTTGTGACTTTCTATTATACCTCAATTAAGGAATTTTCTTCACTTTCATCCTGTAAATTTGATTTAACTAATTGTTTACGAACTCTTGTTTATTTTCTTCTTTTCATACCAGGATCGATGTTGTACATTTTCCTAACAAACTTATCAACCATTTATTATACCTCTAGAAAGCGCCAAAAACTTCTTTAAAATAAAATAATAATAAGCTTTGAGCAGTTGTCAAGAATCAAATGTTTATCCAAATATTAAAAAGCTAAAATAACATGAACATACAAAAATTATCTACAATAATTAGGTATTTTGAAATTAAGATATTTCTAATAATGGGTCTTTTTAATATGAATTACTCTCTTATTAATTATATTTTACCTATTTATCACTAAAAACAAATTTATTTTACCTTCAGATTATTTATAATTAAAAACTCAAAAGAAAACTTTATAAAACATTGATAGATAATCATAATGATACTTCAAGTTCCTAGTTCTTTAAGCTTTATTAATGTATATATATTTATTCTTGTAAAGATATATCATGGAACAAATTAAATAAATTTTATTGTTTATATTATAATATAATTGATTGAAATTTTTACAAACAACATATTAATTCTCATTCTATAACCATATTTTATTCTGTGATTTCTTAATTTTGATTCTCAGACGAAAATTTCGGTAGATAGAACATGAGGATAAATTTCCCAATTTAAATAGATGATCGATGTTTCAGAATAACAGGATTATCTTTTGAAGTTATAGTTACAGAATCAACATCTATTGGCTTTTTGGTGCTTAAACATTTTATTTCAAAACTAAATGCAATGGTTAATATATTACTATTCTTTTTCTATATTATAAGAAATGACAGCATGCTATTTAGAAATCTTTTATCCTAAATCTAAAGCTAGATCTACTTCCCAAAAATATTTGCTATTTTTCGTTTGATTAGCTCTGCCTATTATTATAGCTAGTTTTTTTATATAGTAAGTTATGTGTTTTCCTTTTAATAATGCATACGCTGCTGTTGGAAAGTTTACTAAAGGCATTTTTATTTCATTATCCTGTACTTAAAATTCTACTAAATCTCTAAATAAATTAGAAATATAAGTGGATTCCTTTTCGAAATTCAACTTAACTTTACTTTATAATTATTCTTTTAACTTATTAGTTGCTATTTAATACTTGAAGTGAATATGGATTTAATTGTTCAATCATTAACTAATGTAGAATATCTGGTCCAATCCAAAGATATGTTTCATAAGAATCAGCTGGACTTCTCCTAAATATGGTAATATTTATTCATACTTATCTAAAAGATTTAAACTTGTCATTATACTAGCCATTTCATTAATAATTAAAGCACTACTTTACTCTTTAGCAGTTAATTGTAATTATTCAACTAATTTTTCAATTGTATCTCTAGCAATCATTCGGCCTAATTTATAAATAATATTAAACCTTGATTGCTAAAAATTTAGGTAATGATTTCTTAATAAAATAATCCAAAGTAGACACTTTATCTTATTGAATATTTTTTATTTTCAATTATATAATCCTCTGAAAAAAGCCAATGTTCTCTATCATATAAAGTTCTAGTTAATGCAAATTCTACTCCTTCTAAAATTCTAGCTGTCATTCCTTTCAAACCTGAATATATAAAACGCTTTTTAGATATCCTTGTAATAAATCCTAAACCTTCAAAAATAAATAGAAGTTCAATTAATTTTTTAATGTCAGGCAGCACTAAATCTCTACATGTAAGGATCACCTGATTATTATATCAACATACTTTATAACCATCTATAATCTAACCTTTGAAATCTGAGAGTATTTTTAGCATTTTTTTTGCTTAGGCTCCTAATTTTTCTCTTGTTTGCATATTTGATAAAATATAAAATTAATTAATAATATAATTATTAATAATTCCTACTTTTAATTTACCAAATATTTTTATACCAAAATATTTATAATAAAAATTGATTGTATTATATGATGTACATCTAATTTATGTTTATAGAAATTCATTCTACTGAATCAAAAGATTGGATTTACAATTTTGAATTTGGATTTTATTATTATGCTAAAATAAATCTTGATAATAATTTCTTAATTTCTTCAATTTATTATGCTTTTATCCCGTAATAGGGTGCTAAATCTGATATAAAAGTGTTTATTATTGAAACAGGTATTTTTGCTTAACCCATTTGTTAAACAGTATTTTAAAATTGTTAGAAAATAATTAATTATCTATCAGATTCTGTAACTCCTTCACATGTTTAATTTATTTACCAAAAGATTAACCATTCCCAATAATCAGTTTTTTTTGAAAAAATTGGATTTTAGCATAGCATCTAAAATAATGAAACTACTTCTTCTTATTAATAATAAATAAATGTTGTTAATTTTTAAAGCTTTTATATGGTTATTCCATCTTTTGAAATATATTCCAATAATTTATTAAACATTGGCAGAATCATAGACTAATTACGCTTTCCAATCATAATTGGAGCTCTAAATCATAAAATTATTTACTTGATTCGTTAATATAAATATTCTAATATCACTAAAGCATTATTTTGTTTAAGGTTTGATTCAATCAGATTTATTAATTTTTCAGATAAATCGGCTTTATTGAATAAAGAAGTTGAAAATTCATCTAGCTATTGTTTTTATTCTTGTGAAAGAGTTTCTTATTATAACTATTGTTGTTATTCTTATTCTTCTAAAGATTTCTCATCTGAATTAACAATGTTATTTTTATGAAGATAACTTTCAACAGTTTTTGAAGAGTAAGTTTAAAATTACTCAACTTTTGCAGGTACAAAAACTTCTTCAGAAAACTTAAAAACATTACTTATTTTTGTGAAGTCTACTTTTTCCAAATATTTTATCACCTAATCTAGATCATATTGCCTGAATATTATTCTTTATAATACCTGTTTCTTAATGCTGATACTTCTGCCAAAGCAATTTTTTGAAACAATTATCTTACACATTCAGCCACATTAGATTCAATTTCTCTTATTTAACTTACATATATCTCTATTTCAGGTAATACTTCATTATAACATTAATTAAATTTTTCTATTGCTATTTTGTAATTTCCATAAGTATTTTCCTTATTTTTAATGAGATCTTAGATTGATTTCATGTGTCCCAATCTTTAATCAACACTATCGTTTACCAAATCAAGAGTCAAAGTATTTCTTACTAGTACTTTTGTTATAGAAACATAAAATGATTAACTTTAAGCTAACTTTTATTATGATACTTTTAATTTATTGATAGACCTTATATATTTTAATTTTACTTTTCTTTTTTATCATTTAAATTTAATAATTATTATTAATAATTATTTATGTTGGTTGAGAATTCTTCCCTTGCATTTTTCAAATCACAAATCAATTATTCTTGAGTCTAGTATTTATTTGAACTGCTAGTGAGTATAAATTAAAACACTTCATCATATTTGTGATCCTCATATTTATCCATAATTGATTTATTCATTGATTAATAATATTGTTCCAATTGTAATTGAAAATCAATAGTCTAATAATCTAAGAATTTTTACATTAAGTGCTCTCTAAGATAAATCAATCCTTTATTTAACATTCGAATAGGCTAAATGATATTGGATTGCCAGCTATTTATAATCTTTGCTCATAATTAATATTTATATTTAATAATTATTAATTAATAATTAACAAGTCATAAAATCAACATTTTAATGTGTGTTAAAGTTATTTAAAAAAAATGTTTTACAGAGAAAACCTGCTATAGTTTTTAAAAACAAGTAACAATTATTTCAATGATAATTAAATAAAGTTTATCTGTAAAATAAAATAAAGATGATCCTAAAATAGCAAGACATAGTTTTTTTAATTTATGATTAGGATGATAATATTACTCTCAAAAAAAAAATGCACTAATCAGAATAATATAATTTAAAGCAAACCTTTGATTAGAATATATTAGTAATAAACAAGAAATTAAAATTTTAGATTTGTTGATAAATAATTTTAAATATTTATCATCTTCAAATAATATCTGCTAACATTTACTATATCTTAAACAATGATATAGTAAAAAAATTAAAAATATTTTAATTCAATGAAAATTAAAAAAAATGTTAATTCAATAATTTAAGATTGATAATTGATCATTTTAAAATGAAATTCTTTTAACTTTTATAATTTTCAAAATATTGATGAGATAAAAATAATCTTAAATTATTACATAATTTTAATAAGATAAAATCATGAAAATATAAATATTTAATGTTTTTTCTCAGAAAAGAAGTTGATGTTGTTCTTTTTTGAACTTTGATCATAATTTTAAATAAATAATAAAATTACTAATATTTAATAAAATAAAATGGGTTCTAAACCTTCAAAAAAACCAGATCCACCGAAATCTGATGTAGCCTAATTAGAAGATTAAATTCCAATGTATAATAGACCTAAATCTCCAGATATTGGAGATAAGGCTAAGATATAAGATGTTGGAATAAAACCTGATGATAATATCGATAGGTTCTAAATTTTATTTATATGATAAAGGGAGGCAGCAAATAAGAGATAAGCAGAAAAGCAAAGAAATTCTAAAATGGAAGGATAATAGAAAATATAACTTCCCTAAAAAAAGGTAGAATAACCAAAAAAATAATCTCAGAAATTTGTTATTAATTCTACTTAATAAAATAATAATAGTTTGGATTTATCATATGATTAATTTTTAAATGGATTAAATTAGAATGATATCAAAGAATTAGAAAAATAATTAGAAAGTGATGAATTGTCACCAATCAATAAAACAAATACTGAATGTATGTGTAAATTATTATCAGAGCTTAAAAATAGGCACTTGATGAATAGAAAATTAAGGTAGCAGAATAAAAAATATGGAAATTAAAATAAAAAATAAAAAGATCTTTTAATTGGCCAGCTTCAGGATAAGTGTATATGGTTTCAGTAACTTTTAAATATAACTATCAATATAAAACTTAGAAGTTAGCTGTAACTTAATCTTTTGATAATTATATAAACTCTATTTTATCTTGGAAAAATAATCCATAATTGGGAGTATATGAATTTAAATTAAGGGATGTAGATATTTATAATACAGAAACAGGGGATGTCTAATAACTTAAATTTAATGAAGTAGAGTTTATGGTTGATTATAATGGAGTTTTTGTAAGAAAATATTTTTATTTTAGATTGGAGTTAAACATGAAAGTGATTTTATTAAAAAACTTGGATAATAAAAACGATACTATTAAAAAGAATAAATAAAAGAAAAAATTGATAGAGATTAATTGCTTAATAATCAATTGAATAATTTAGAAAGATTGGCAAATAATAAATTATAAGTGAAGCAATCAACTAAACAGAAAAAATAAAAACCAGAGGCAATTATATAGAAAACTGAAAAATAATTAGAATAATTTTGGACAAATGCATTTTAATGTTGGTATACACTTAATGAAGATGATGCTGAAAAAATCTTTTATGCAGGTTAAGAATGTGTAGTTTTAAAAAAGAAAGATGAAGATCCATAAAAAAAGTTAGAAAATTTTCTAATTAGGAAATTATAAGATCCAGAATTTTTTAAATCTTGTTTAAATTCAGTTAAAACAATAAAGGATCCTTTGAAAAAATGGGGAATGTTCAGTAATGAAGAGATCTTAGAATATTTAGGAGGTACAAAACATGTAAAAATATTAAATGCTTATTTAGAGTGTTGTATAAATATAAAAGAAAATAACCTTTCCAATTTTAGAAAAATACAAAATTATTGATGGGATATTAAATAATGGTGATTTAACTCCTTTGGTTGTAAAATGGAATTAATGTAAGAAAACTGTAATAGAACATGAAAGAGATTTATTTTTAGATATTGAATAGGAAAAAAAGTATGTAAATAAATAATAAATTTAGATTATTAACATTCATTTGGGATAAATAATTAGATATTAAAATGAAATTAAGATCTGAAAACATTTTTGTAGAAGAACTTAATAAATTTAGAGATGAATGTGAATTAGAATTGAAAGAAATGTTGTTCTAATTGTCAACAATTCCAAATTTTCCTATGGAAAATAGACCTAAATATAAAGAAAAATATTTCTAAATTTTATGATCATTGAAATAAAGGTGGTTATAACTCAAGAACTCTAAAAATATTCATAAAATGTATTTGCTATGTTGGGTTGAGTGAATAGTATAATTCTACAAAATCACTCTCATCCACAAAGTTATGCAAAGTCCATTTCTTCAAATAGTTTATAAGCTTAAGTTTATTTTACATTTTATCTATATCTTTTCTTAACTTATTTGTCAATGCTTTTTTGTTTTTTTCACATAATCCAAGAGTATAATTAGTTACCACTTTAGGTTTGATAATTTAATGTCTAATGGTGTGAATTTCTTTATTTAGAATTTTTTAATAAGGAACTCTCACTTTATCACCATTCCTTACTAAAATATCCAATAATGGTTGATTTTCACTAATTAATTGATCTACTCCATCTTATATAAAGATATGTCTCTTTCTTTCGTAATACAAATAATAATACTTGCATTCATCTTATGTACAATAGCCTATGAAATTAAATATGGGACAAACATAAGAAGATGAACTTAATTCATCTTTTATACTTTTATGCACTCTTTCATCTCTAATAGTGTCACTCTAAGTTCATAAGAAATTCTTACAATTGAACGTAATGAAGATTCGCTATCTACACCTTCTAATTTATCATTTTTTAAGATCTCTCCTTCCTCATATTATAAGTCCATATATTGTATATTTAATTTTGATCAAAAAGTAATAATACTACAAACATTTAAAGAAATTTTAATATATGAAGGATAAATTAAAAACATTAAATTATTTGTACTTATGTGTACACTTTTTCACAATTATTTAAAATAGAAACGATCATTATTTAATGCTTATGACATAAATTTTGTAATAAATCTATTTTTTTATTAACAAATCTATTAATTAGAAAAGATTATTTCTTTAGAATTTTTAACTCATTATCAAATTCATTTATTTTCATTTAAAAAAAATCACAATAATTGATTTTATAATTCAACGGATGATCTGCCAATATATATTTTATGGTATTTTAAATCTTGAGTTATAGGTTAAGTCAATAAAGTATGAAAGAGATTTCTCCTATTTCTTAAAGATAGATTATTATACAGTACATAAAAATAGGATATGAATGATAACTCTCAAAATATAAAAAAAACATAAATAGAATATAATTAATTGCAGAAGTGGATAAAAGAATTAAAAAAAATCTGAAAATAATGAGGAAACAATTTTATTTCCATTAACCAAAATCCAAAATAGTTAGAATAATTACATAACTTGTATATATTATATTATAAATTCTACAAATTTTTGAATTACGATTTATTATTAAATTAGTCTAACTCAGTTTTATCTCGATTAGTCACCTATAGGTGGCTCAGGTCGTATTCGATATTGGTTTTAGGGTTTGAAGCAGAGTATTTTTGTACTCTTACAGTAAAATACAGAAGCAAAAATCAACATGATGCAACATATAGGAATAATAGTTTAAAGATAGATTTCATAATTATTTGATTCTTCTTTCTTTAAAATACATTTTCCGCATTCATTATTTTCTGAAATACTATATGTAAAATAAGTTTGAATTTAACAATCATCTATCAATAATGTTTAAAGATTTTCTTGTTTAGCTTCCTCACATTTAGATTCAGTCCAAAAACATGGTATTATAGCTGCATAATCCATTGTATAAACAAAAGTGCATGTATTTTAGTCTGTTTTATCATTACAAGTCAATTGTTCGCATTTATCATTTTTATAAATACATAAATCTTTAAAAGCTGAACACATTTATCTGAAATCGCTCCATTAAGAACAATCAACATTTATTAAATTATATTACTAACATTTATCAGTATTATTTCTATAACATTGAAATAAATTCCCAGTTTAAATATTGCATTAACCTAGAGCTAAAGAGGAACATTGAAAATTATTTAGGGGTTCTGAACATTTTCCATCTATCATTGAACATCTATTTATTGGACAAAATTAATCAATAAAACAAGAAAAATTTTGGCAATTATTATCATTTGTCCAAGAGCAATCAAGGTCAAAAAGTTGAGAATTTAGACAATATTCATAAGAAGTTATAGCTTAGCAATTGAGTTTTTAAGACTCATCACATTTTTAAAGCATAGAATCCCATATACACTGATAATCAGTTTCCCAACCTTTACACCAAGTTTCATTTCTCTGATTACAATTTAAATCTTAACAATTTTGTCCATTCCATGAACACTTAGAAACTCTATCACAATTATTATAAGAGAACTATGAACAAGGACATTAACCTTAGGAAATGTCTATTTCTAATTCTAATGTTAAATGTAAACCTAAAATTATTATATATTTATACATTTTTACTCTAAACTAAAAATTTGGAACCTATTTATGTTAAATTTCATTATGAAAAGAGAAAATGAACAAAAAATTTTACTTACTACATATTTTTATCTATTATAACAATTAAATAATCAAATAATTTACAACATCTAAATTAATTCTTTGATTATAACATCTATTTTATCAAATTTATTTATAGAATTATTAAGGGTTAGTTATTATTTTATTAATAAATAATGTTAAAAATTATTGATAAGTTAAGAGAATTACTTTCATAAGAATTATGGATTAAGTTCTTCAATACAATTAATGGTAGACTAATGCTTAAATTAATAATGTTTAAATCTGTTATCTGTAAGCTTAAAAACTCTATAAAGTCGTCTTGATGCTTGGAATTTTGTTTGGTTACATTGGAAGTTCTGAAATGAAAGTAAAATTCAATATGAATGAAGATCTGGATTATAGCTAAAAATTGACAGAAACTATTTTATCAAAAGTAGATAGTTATTTCAAACAATTAATAATACTAGCTTATTTATCTGAGAAATCTGCAACAAATTTTACTTATAAACCAATCTCATAGAATAACTTTACCATTTCTAACGATACATTCACAGATAAATACATAATATAACATAAATTGAACCAAAATAATATATCATTATATAGATCTTTATATAAAGCTATCGATTAAATGGATTAAGAAGGATGGTTTTAAACAATCAAACTTGCATAAATAGATAAATATATTTTTGAAATGATGTTTAATTATGATGATATGTATGTCTTTTTTCATCAATACTATCTAATAAATAAACTAAATAAAATTATCCATTACTTTCCAGTTATAGAAAGTATGAATGAAAGTTATCTTTATTTGGAATAAAAATAATAAATATTGTATAGCAATGAAACAATTATATTCTCATATCCAACTAGTTATGGAATAGTATTAGGTATAGGGTATACAAAAGTTATTGGCTAAATCTTATCGAAATTAGGCTCCTCGTTTTTTATCAAAATTTTTAAAATTGATAACTCTTTTTATGTGTCAAATGATTAAAATATGGATAATCAATGTGAATGTTAGATGAATAGGATATTGAATATAAGTTTTAATTGTGATTTACCAAAAGGAGGTAATGGATACTATTCTAGTAATACATGCAATTCTTTATATGTAACAGATATATCAACTGATAGTTAAATTTAAATTTATTTAGTAATATATAAATAGAGAATAAATTATTCAATCCAAACCTTAGACTTATTTGATTTGGCATGGCCTTATTATTTAATAATGATTCTTATATTATTCATTAATATTTTGATTATCATCAATAGAATTAATTTATTTACCAGAGATATTACTAACCCAATTAAATAAGTTACCTATAAGATCGATAAAATAATAAACAACATATTTTAAATAAGGATTATTAATAAAATATAAGCAGATGATATTTTAATTAAAGAGGACACTGAAGTATAAATTTTACTTCATGAGTTTTCTCGTTTATTTGAATAATTAAGAAATAATAACACTTTTAAAATTTAAACATTTGAAAAGAAAGAGAAGAAAGACATTTTACCAAAATAAAATGATAAATCAATTGAATAAATTAAAACTTTGGTAAATAAATTTAGAGAATCACTGTGATTATTTAGGCATAAATGTATCAATAATTTCTTATCTTTAAAAATTTTCACACCATCTAAATAAATTAAATATTGATTTACAATCCATAGTTTTTTGATTCTAAATATTAGATAAAATAATTTAGTAGGTTTTAATCACACCAAAGTTAAGTAAAGTCATTCAAATTAAATAATTGCAAAAATTTATTCATTTCTGAAATCTCTACAATTTTATGTTTTTTTTTTTCTCTATATTTGTAATTGATTTCATATCTCTTATTATCTATATTATTAATTGATATATTCCCAATTTCTGATTTTGTACTAAAGGAAATTTTAACAGTATTTTCTTCGTTTCCAGAAAATGAATCATTTTCTGCGTCTGTACCAAAATTGTCAAATTAAGGAGTATCTCTAATAGCACTAGATTACTATAATAAAGTATGTTATAAATAAGGTGAGTCATCTAAAAATTATTTATTATTCATATGCTGATTTAAATTAATATTTGAATTGCATATGATATTTAAATTTTCACAATTGTCAATATGTTTTTTTAAATCTTTTACTTGTAAATTGCATGATTTATCTATTAAATATTCATGGAATGAGAACAGAATTAAAATTTAAATAAGGTTCATCCAAACTGTGTTGTCAAAAAGAATCATATTATAGGTTTATAAAATTTAGAACAAGAATGGATAACGAATAAATTTTCTGAATTATTTTCTACTTTAGTTAAAATATTTGTTGTCGTCATATAAAATTTTAATCATAGTACACTAATCTAAGGATTATAATTACATAAACAATAAATTAACATGCCATAGGAATAATAACAGCATAAGGAGTAAAGTTATTCAAAACACTATCCAAAATTAATGTTATTATCAAAATTATAACCCAGATAAATTTATATCTAAGTGTATATGATTTATGATAAGTTTCTCTTATTTTCATGTCAATCCAAGCTGAACTCATCATTTTATATTAATATAGGAAGATGCCCATATACACAAGAGACTCAGTCATTGAGAGTAAACATATTACTTTGGTTTCACCCTTTTAATAAAAATTGGTTAAATTACGCAGAATTAGTTATCCATATTATTTAATTATATAAATATGCAAGGTAATATTGTTATTTAAACATTAATAATATTTGAATTAATTGCTAATAAAAATTGAATTATTTAAGATTGATTAAAATTGTAGATATTACAGATTCATGTTTTATTTCAATTAAAAAATGCAATAATGCATGTGATATCATCAATTACTTCATCCTCTTTCTACCATGTTTCTGTGGCTTATTTTATCAATCTATCAACAGCTCCTTCTGCATCATTTTTCAAATAATAGGCATAAACTGTATCAATAACCCATTAATTATCGAGAAATCTTAAATAACAATAATAAATACTCCCAAATTCCATCTGATGCCATAATCAGGAATTTGTCATTTTAAAATGTATGTTTAATTATTTCTGGAATTGAGATTACACCTACTTAAGCAGCGACATAATCTCCAAAACTTCGAGACATGGCCAACCCAGGAACATTTTCATTTTTTAACCAAACTCTAGCTGGACCAATTGGATTTCCTTCTTCATCAGAATATGCTTAGACTCTACCACCATTTTATATTATTCTTTTCTATTCTTTAGGTATATCAGGTTTTTAATCATGGGATAATTCAACAACATGTAATCCATCCTTCTATTTTGCAACTATTGCTCTTGAATCTCCTATATTAGCACACCATCCAGTTCGTTCTATAACTAATAAACAAACTGTTGTTGCTCCACTATATGTTATATCTATTCCAGATTTATATAATTCTTTTGTTGTTCTTTCAAAGGCTTATCTTAATATTACTTATATCATCATATCTTATTCTTTTTTATTCATTTTTTGAGATTTTAATAACTAATCAATTATTGTTGGTAATCTTTCTTAAACAAATTATGCAACTTCATGTCCATTAATTCCATGTCCATCTGAAACTTACAGTAAATATGAATTATCTATATTTCCTATTCTTTCATGAATCGCATACGAATCCTAATTTATTTTCTCTTATTTTGTATGTAACATACCAGCTTAAGTTCTATTAAATTTTATTCATATAATACTTAACTACAAATCTAGATATTAATCTTCTTTCTGTTAAAACTATATCGGGATTTGATATTGACCTATAACCTTTAATCTGTTTGACAGATTATTTTTTAATATATTCAATTAATTTATTTGCTATATCACTTGTTGGTTTGAGATCTCCATTACTCATTGCTCTATTATGTATATGTGGAGGAGATCTTTATGATTTTTGATGTTGTTTATGGATATCAAATAATTTTTGGAATTGCTTTTGAATCAAATTTTCATGATGTTTAAGATTGTTATCTGTTTTTTTATTTTTGATTATTTTTTGAATTTATTGTTTTGATTTTGGTCTGTTTTAATTGGAATCATGATTAATATCAAGAATGAATTAATTTGGAGAATTAAGTTTTCTATTAAATTAATTATTGATGTGTGAAATAGCTCCATTTTTGATTAAAGATATTAAATCATGAGATAAGGCAGTTGATTTAGAAACTTTATTATCTGTTTTAGTATTAATATTAGTAGATATTCCTGTAGAAACTAAATATCTGAAATTATTAGGAATATTTAGTACTTATTTTTCTAAATAGATGACTAACCTGTTTTTAATGGTGAAGTTTATGGTCTAGCATAAATTGGTTTTTATTGACTTGCAGAATTTATTTTCATTAATAATTATATTTTATAAGCAGTTAGGTAAAATAAATAAGCAAATCAAAATTTTGTTTAATGTGTTTTTTCATAACCATTTAACTCTTCTACCTTATTCCCAAATTCCTTTTCTATTTTAACCTGAGGCAGTAGTATATTCTCCTTCTCCATTTTGTTTTCCATTGAGCCATAGTCCACAGTAAAATCTACCATCCCCCCAATAAAATGTTCCGAATCCATGTTTTTAATCATTTTTATATTCTCCTTCATATTTTTTACCATCTGACCAAGTCATAGTGCCATATCCATCCATTTTATTATTTTTCCATTAACCATTATAGGATTTGCCATCAAACCAAATATATTCTCCATCTCCATGTATCTAATTTTCAAAAAATTATCCAACATATTCTGATCCATCAACAAAATATATATGTCCAAATCCATGTTTCTTACCATTCTTATATTCTCCTTCATATTTAGATCCATCCTTCCATATTTCTATACCTTTTCCACTCTACTAATCATTTCTCCATTAACCTTCATAACGAGCACCATTTGAATGTACATAAATACCAAAACCATCTGCTTGATCTCTTTACCATTCTCCTTCATATTCATCTCCATCTGCATGTAATAATTTACCTTTTCCCCAAGCAAAATTATTCTACCATTCACCTTCATATACAGAACCATCTATCCATTAATGTCTCCCATAACCCCATCTCTATCCTTTCATCCATTATCCTTTGTACTTGCTTCCATCAACCATTTCTATTTCAGGTAATTCGATAGGCTCTAAAATATTTTCTGTCTATTTTATTTTTTATTAGTCCTCCTCTAATAATGCTTCAAGTATACAAATTCTATTTGAAAGTGAACTCTCCTTTTTTAATTATTTATTTTCTTGCTAAATCATTCTTTTCCTTACACTATGTCCTCTATAATGTGCTTATATTTTTATTATTGATGTTATTTTCTCTTAAAATTCTGTTACTTTCGGATCTTCTGTTGTTAAAGCATGATTTATCTCAGTTATTATTTGCTTTTCCATTACTTAATTATCCTCTTTTTTACAGCAAAATATTGAGCATGGACCCATAACTTTTTATATAATCAATTATCAATAATTATTTATTACAATAATTTAAATTACTCATCGTATGCCACAATATAATGTAATTTATCAAATTACTTTATATATCCAACTGTTTTAGTATTATTATTCTCACTATTTAAATTTTATTCCTTTATAAATACTTTTTCTTTCATTCTCCATTTCATTATATGTTGCCATCTTAATTAAGTTATCCAAACTGCTATACCTGGCGTTGTTATTTTAAATGATATTTATTTTGCCAAAATCACTACTTTTTTTTATTTATTCAATAAGCTTTCTATTTCATTTATTGCTGAATTCAAAATCAATTCTTGAGCTTTATCATGTAATATTTCATTACAATATTTAAATTCTTCCTTATTTTAAACTCCATACAGCTAAAATGAATGCTCATTCAAAAAATGAACTATATGCTCTTAATTATTTGTTGTATTTTGCTCTATTTAGTTTAATTCACTTAAACTTTGATTTACTAATTCTTTCAATCTTGTAATATTTGTAAAGTTCTAATTCAATAATTATACTTAAATTTAAGTTGTGTCATATTAAATTTCATCTCTTTTTTAATCATTTATAAGACCCAATTAATATAAAAATGATCCATAATATCCAATCTAATGTATAGGACTCACCCATGCATTATCAAGTATAATACCTTCAATATTCAACTCATCTTAAGAATTCTCAATAATCTTTGAAAATAGTGAGGCTACAAATTCTTTTCCATATAACATTATTTTTGTTTTAAAAATTCCTTTATTCCCTATAAACTCTTTTAGGAACTTCAAAATATTATTTACATTTCCTTAGTCTCCCTTTCCTTCAGAAAGACCAACTCCATAGGGTTAATCTATATATAATAAACTTACAAATTTATTATATGAATAAGGATGTAAATCTAATACTCCATTTTTAAAAGTAAATGGACCATATTTATCATAAGCTTGAAATATTGATGAACAACCATTATTGTTCAGAATTACCCATAATTGATCGAATTCTTAAAATCCATTATAATTTGTATAATTTTCTTTCAAAAATATCTGATATGTGTAATAACCGTTATCTAATATCAATCTCCCAGACTCACACAAGAATGATATTTTCTTTTAAACAAGATGTTAATACATTGGAGTCACGTCATACTCATAAATGTAAGTACTAGCTATAGCGATTATGAATTAAATATAAATAAACATTATGTTTTCTATTAATTAAAAATACTCATGTAAAATCCTCTGACCTACTCATTATACTTTTTTATAATTAATCCTCAAAACTTATACGATTATGTATTGCTAAAANTCCAACTGTTTTAGTATTATTATTCTCACTATTTAAATTTTATTCCTTTATAAATACTTTTTCTTTCATTCTCCATTTCATTATATGTTGCCATCTTAATTAAGTTATCCAAACTGCTATACCTGGCGTTGTTATTTTAAATGATATTTATTTTGCCAAAATCACTACTTTTTTTTATTTATTCAATAAGCTTTCTATTTCATTTATTGCTGAATTCAAAATCAATTCTTGAGCTTTATCATGTAATATTTCATTACAATATTTAAATTCTTCCTTATTTTAAACTCCATACAGCTAAAATGAATGCTCATTCAAAAAATGAACTATATGCTCTTAATTATTTGTTGTATTTTGCTCTATTTAGTTTAATTCACTTAAACTTTGATTTACTAATTCTTTCAATCTTGTAATATTTGTAAAGTTCTAATTCAATAATTATACTTAAATTTAAGTTGTGTCATATTAAATTTCATCTCTTTTTTAATCATTTATAAGACCCAATTAATATAAAAATGATCCATAATATCCAATCTAATGTATAGGACTCACCCATGCATTATCAAGTATAATACCTTCAATATTCAACTCATCTTAAGAATTCTCAATAATCTTTGAAAATAGTGAGGCTACAAATTCTTTTCCATATAACATTATTTTTGTTTTAAAAATTCCTTTATTCCCTATAAACTCTTTTAGGAACTTCAAAATATTATTTACATTTCCTTAGTCTCCCTTTCCTTCAGAAAGACCAACTCCATAGGGTTAATCTATATATAATAAACTTACAAATTTATTATATGAATAAGGATGTAAATCTAATACTCCATTTTTAAAAGTAAATGGACCATATTTATCATAAGCTTGAAATATTGATGAACAACCATTATTGTTCAGAATTACCCATAATTGATCGAATTCTTAAAATCCATTATAATTTGTATAATTTTCTTTCAAAAATATCTGATATGTGTAATAACCGTTATCTAATATCAATCTCCCAGACTCACACAAGAATGATATTTTCTTTTAAACAAGATGTTAATACATTGGAGTCACGTCATACTCATAAATGTAAGTACTAGCTATAGCGATTATGAATTAAATATAAATAAACATTATGTTTTCTATTAATTAAAAATACTCATGTAAAATCCTCTGACCTACTCATTATACTTTTTTATAATTAATCCTCAAAACTTATACGATTATGTATTGCTAAAATTAATTAATTCACTTAACCTGCCTTCAAATTGTATCTTTATTTTTCCTTTAAAAACTCTATCACAAATATTCTGATTAAATATTAATCTAAACTACATAGAATTATGCAACAAGATAAAAATATTATTTACACGATCACTTAAGTTGTAAAGTTTTTATCTTCTAAATACATTAGTACGAAAGGAACAATCATCAAACAATAGATTATGACGCTTCTACAAGATTGACTAATATTAAGTACAAGTTAGAACTTTTGGTTATTATGTATTCTTTGAAAAATATCATAGAATGTATTGAAAAATAACTAGAAACAATTTGAAGTGAAACCTTAAATTTGAATAAAATTTATTACGATCACAAGTTACAGAATTTAATAAAGCATTTTGAATCTACCTTAAGCTATAAACAAGATTAAGAATATCAAATAAGTAATTAATATTCCACATTCAAATAATATCATATAAATTGCTCTGAATTTCATAATTTACATATGATACCTTTAGCGAGCAATTTCACCAGCATTTTCAGAATATTTACCATTTTTTCTTATTAGAATTGAATCCTTGGTTTTTTTTAGTTTTTTATTCTTATCCATAATCAAAAAATATATATAAAATAAAAATTCACTTAATATTTGATTATTCTAAATTCCCATTTAACCTTTTTGATGTAATCTTGCTATTTTAGATAGTTTTCAACTTTTAATCGTTAGAATAATATGGTAGCATTTCAAATATATTATTAATAAGTATGGCTTCTTAAATTTCATAATTCTTATATGAAAATTTGGTTTATAAATAATTTTCTGAGAAGATATACTAGCTCTCCTCTCTGTTAATCTAAATTTTTTCTTTCTAAGCATATTTCCATCATTAATTTTTTTGAAATTGTTCGTACAATCTAATTCCACTTTTTTTGTTTTAAATTATATTTGATATTGCCTAAAATTAATCTATTTCCTTATCTATTGAGGAATAGTGCAGTTTTTGGATAAGAGCAAAAACATCTAATTCTTCTGCATCTAAAACAATTTTTAATTTTCACAAGGTTAATTTGAGAAAAATAATAAATATTAGTAAGCATAGAATATTTGATTCATTACAGATGGCTTTTTTGAGCTAAATGAAAATCTAACTTGTTTCATTTTTTGAATTCCTTTTCTTCATTTACATTCGTTCCCCATCAGGAAAACATAATAAATTTGCAAAATAATTCTAATGAGTTTATTGGTACACTAAATAATAGATAAAAGTTTTAATCATTATTCATAAATATGCCGCATACATTAAACGAAAGAATACATACTAATTTTTTGCATGTTTATCCTCAAACTCTTTTTTTACATTCTAAGTAGGTCCATAATAATACACAATTTCTAATTTAAAAATGGAAAAATTATACTAACAATAGCATTCATAATTTCTATATTAATTTGTTGTCCTTATGTCAAATAATTTCAGCAATTTTCATCAAAGTTTATGCACCCTACATATCTATGTATTAATTTTTATTGTAGAAGATTTTTATTAAAATCATTAAAATAAAAAAACAAAATTAAGAGAATTGTTTAAATATGAAAAAGACCACTTTTTTATATTTGAACTTAATTAAACTTATATAATCAGCCACTTGTGTATTTTGTAACAGCTTTTGTTCCTTCAGAGATAGCATGTCTGGCCAATTCTCCTGGAAGTAATAATTTGACAGCAGTTTAAATTTCCCTTGAGCTAAGAGTTCTTCTTTTGTTAAATCTGACTAATTTGCTAGCTTCAAGTGCAATTCTATCAAAAATATCATTAATAAATGAATTCATGATGTTCATAGCTTTTCTTGAAACTCCAATTTCTGGATGTACTTATCTTAAAACTTTGTAAATATATAAGGCAAAGGTTTCTTATCTTCTTCTTGCTTTTTTCTTGTCATCAGTTGATTTTTTAGTCTTAACTGTCTTTACAGTCTTTTTTGCTTCTGCTTTTGGTGATTTTGATGGAGCCATTATTATTAATATTTTAAACTGAAAACCCAAGCGCTAATTTTTAAATAAAAATTTAAAATTTGATTGGCTGATTAAGGATAATTGTAAATCTAACATTTGATTGGATATTCTACATAAAAAATGACTAAACTGCTTCTAAAAAAGTGCAGCACAATGGAACAAACTTCATTTTTCATCAATTTTAACACATTCGACAATGTATTCACCTTTATCAAATAATAAAGAACTTTATTAATAATAATTTTTATAATCAAATGTACCCCCATTAAAAGTAAATAAAACCTAAAAATATTACTAATTTTTGTCAATAAAGAGAATTTAATAAGCTAAAAATAATTGAATAAGTATTTTATAAATTATATTTAAATTCTAGTATAAGTAAAGTATTTTTCTATACTTAGAGTTGTATAGTAGGTAACAATTTCTAATCGAACATTTAATTTCTAAGAAAAAAGATGTATTTAAAGATAAATCATTTGATTAAACAGATAATTTTTCTTAATATTAATTCAGAGTTCACATACATCAATTATTTATTGTGAACAAAAAGAGTATTGTTTCAAATTGAAAAATTCTTTTGAAAATTTCTAATTTTATAATATAATTAAAGCAATTGATATTTGTTCAATAGATAAATATGAAAACAATTCAATTAGGTTGATATATCTGGGATGCTATTTATAAGATCTTTTCAACCTCAATTTTACCTACTTTCTATAATCCCTCCATTATATCTGTAAAATCATCTCCTAACAAAGAAGGCTTTAACTCTTTTAGAATGCTCAGACATAAGTAAAGCAAATATTTATTTTTATCAAAATGACTTAATATACTGTCCCATAAGAGAAAAACGCCATGTAATTCAAATTCTTAAGTCAGATATAACATTATCCATCTTAAACTATAAAATTGAGGATGAACCCCTTATTTTTATAAATTATCCCATATTTCAATTTCATGAATTCTTAACAATTCATTTAATTTATTCATTTTATACTTAATTCCATCTTATGAGTCATCTAGTGAACGCAAAAAACTAATATTCTATATTTAGATAATACCTTTCTTTAGCATCAGCCATAAATATTGTAAAACAGAAAAATGCATCACTTTCAACAGATTATAAAAATAATTCATTTGTATCACTATAGAATACATAATATAATGGAGCTAATATTTCATTCATTCCTTGCTTGAATAAATATAAATTAATACCACGTATCTGATTGCTGGATTTAACTTTGCATAAATAAATAAAATTCTTGTTAATACATCATAATGTCGATGTTCATAATCTTATTACAATCTCCTTTCTCTTCTACATTAAGTTCGAAAATAAACTGGATATTTATTAGGTATCTATGTTGGAGAAACAAAGAAAGATAATTCTGCTCTTGTTCTTACTGTGTCTTTTTCTACTTCTTCCCATATTACTTAATCATCAAAAAAGCTTTTCCAAATAGATTATTATGATTTGCTTAATGGATGATCTTTTTTTATATTTTATTTATTTTCTTAATCTTCATATTCATTCGATTCGGTCATTTGTTTTTGTAATTTTGATTTTATCAAATCCATACAAAATTACTCATAATTCTAAATATTTGTAGTAATTGTAGAATTCCATTTCGTCCTCTCTGCTGGAAGATACCCTAACAATAACTTCCAAACCAACGATCTTAAGCCCTTAATATCATCAGGCACACCTAAATTTGAAAGCTTTCTCAATTCATTCAAATTAATCTTAGGTTTATCTAATATTTCTATAAATTTCTCAATACGATTTTTCGTATTACCAGCTATTGGTTTTGTATTGAGTTACTAAATTAAATATTCTAAACTAAACAGACTTTCCATTTTTTTAAATTGTGTATTGAAACAAATATTTAATTATATTAATCTTCAAAAATTCAGAAGAAACACTGCTTGTTTACAACTTGTTAGTTCATTTTATATAATTCAGATGCTAAAATGATATTTATCTGGAAATTTATTTTCTTTCAAATATAAAAAAAGAAAGCAATAATTAAAAACTGCTCAAGAAACATATATAGTTAAAAATCTCTTTTTCTATATTTTAAAATATACATTGCCAGAGTATGTACAAATTGTAATTTAATTTTTTTTTTATTTTGATTCAATCAATTCTTCAAGATCTTCTTCTGTTCTGGAAACTCTACTTTATTGTAAAGGCTTATTATTTATAAATATTATGTTTTCATAAAAATAATTTTTTTTTTAATTTTTAAGATTATGGGTGGTTGCTTAGATCGAGAAAGAGATAAACGAAGAATACTAGAACAATTATCTTATTCTTAAAGGCCAATTCTCAAATAATCAAATGAATTTACATATTTGAGACAAATCTAATCATAATCAACAAAGAGTTAGCATATTGAGGTCCAATAACCAAGATATAGTCTAATGAAATATTCATAAATCTCTAGTAAATAAGGTAATAAGTCGGTTAGAAGTGACAACTAATCCTATTAGCATATCAATTAAAACAATTAATTTATCTTATTATAAAGAGGAGAACTTAGATAATTTTTAAAAACGAATCAAATGGGAATAGATCAGGTTATAACTAATCCTTTAAATGCAAGTTAATTAATTATCTGTTTTGAATAGAATGATATTGTAGATTCATTAATCAGTGAACAAGTAATTTCTAACAGTAATTTTCACAAATTATATATGGATATTAAAGATTTTATTGGGTATTTACATTGCCTTATTGTAGCTAGCCAGACAAAAAAATAGTTGGGATTATTCTTGAGAACAGGAATTAAATTTCTATTTTATACAAAAAATTGAATCCAAGATAAGCAATGAATAATACTATCGAAATGCAAAGTAAGTATTTTATCTAAAATAAGTGGTTGATAGTGTCAGTCAAGATTAACTTGAAGAAATTATTAATGAAAGGATGTAAGATAATCTTATTTGTTGTACTATTTTGTAATTCCCTGACTGTGCTTTATTATTTTTTTAAACTTGTCGTAGATAAATACAAGCTTTAAACGTTATATCTTTAGAAATGTCATAACTTAATTCAATTAACCTCTCTTAAGAGATAGCAGGAAAAGTTGAAATATTATAAAGCAATGATGTAATTTAATTTATTAGATTTAGGAATTTGATTTTATTAGTTTGTTGCCTGACATTAAAAATAAATCTCTCTATATTTTAATGTCGATTAAATAAATATGATTTTTATAAACACTATAATCAAAAATTATTAAATAAAATATTCATTACTTAAATAAAATATTAAATAATATGGAATTATATTGCATTTGCTAAATTTAATGCAAATATTGGATTTCACCATATGATAATGCTATAACTAAAAACATAATTGAATTATGAATGACTTAAAATCAAGAATCAATATTTATAATATCCTACATTTCTCAAGTTAATTCTTTTAAGTAGCTCCTATGTACATTCTTAATCCGAAACTTTTTCTAAAGTGTACCATGCTGCAGTAGATATATTTTACATATTATATCTTTTATTCACATCAACAGCAATAACTTTTTAGATTAAATCTTTAAACTCTTCAGAAGGATCAGGTTTTCCATTTAATTTGATTTTGCTCCAAAATTAATCCCATTATTAATTTGAAATCAATTTGTACCAATTATCTTGATAATGTTAAAAGGGTGGAAACCCCATAACAATAATAAAAATTATTATTCCATAGGCAAATACATCACATTTTTCGGGATCAATAATTTTATTTTAAATTTATTCTGGAGAAGCATATCCTTAAGTAAAGCCTATAGGTTTATTTGCATATCCTAAATCACATATTTTTAACATCATATTCTCATTAAACATAAGATTATCAGGTTTCAAATCAAAATGTATTACTCCATTTCTATGCAAAATCCCTATTTGATTGTATAAATTTATTGCAATTGTGCGTGCAAATTTTTCTGTAAATTTTCCGCTTGTTAATAAGATGTCTAATAATGAACCATTTTTCATATATTCCATTAATATTTAATGAGTTTCTGAAAATTTTTCCATATAAGGCACACATCGTGGAAATTCTTAGTTATTATTTTGCCATAACTTGATGAAAATATTAATTTCATTCTGATTACAAAGACTACATATCATAATTATTGTACGATAATCGATTATTGAGATAATTCATCTTTTCTTGGTTCTTTCAATGCAAAATATACACTTGATAATCGATGTTGAGTTAGGTAAACTATAGAATTTCTCCCAGAACCTAAGGGCTCCTTTTTAAAAGTGTTAAAAAATTTATCAATCTAAGCATCTTTGATTTAGAAATTTGCATTATTTTGTGACATATGGCGTGAAATATATTTTTAATAATAAAAATAGATCGTTAAAATAATGTATTTAGCATAAAAATAGGTGTATTCATAGCATCCTTCATACCCTAGTAGTTCTTCATCGAATGTAAAAAAGATGATAGAGAACTTTTCATATGGCTTACATTAACAAATTGGAAAAGGATTTAGTAGCAAAGTATACAAAGGATAAAATGAAGTAACAGGAGAGACAGTAGCCATTAAGGTAATTTTAAGTCTATTTAGGTAATCGACAAAGCACTTCTTAAAACCCCTTTGCATCATGCACTTTTAACAAGTGAAATTGAAGCATTAAGTACACTTGATAGTCAATATATAATGAAGTTGTATAAAGTAATAGCATACATTAAACTTAGGTATTTTAAACATAAAATAATACTTATTTAATTACAGAATTTTGTGAGGATGGAGACTTAGGTTCTAAGTTAAATAAAATTGGTAAGTTTTCTGAATAATAAACTTAAAACATCGTTTTTGGATTAGTGAAAGCATATAAATTATTAAAATAAAATGGAATTATTCATAGAGATATCAAACCAGCAAATGTATTATTATCATAATGTGGAACTCCTAAATTGGCAGATTTTGGTTTTGCTACAACTCCAAATTCTCCACCTTTATTACCAAATGTTAATGTTGGAAGTCCTCTTTATATGAGCCCATAAGCATTGAAAAATAATAAATACTCTGACAAATCTGATATCTGGGCTATAGGTGTATCTGCCTTTGAAATTTTATATGGTTAAGTTCCATGGTAAGCTACAAGTGAGAAAGAATTAGCTTAAAAAATGGTTAATGTGCCTTTATAATTTCCTTCATCTACTAAAGTTAGTTAAGAATGTAAGGAATTTTTAAAGCGTTGTTTAACTGTTAATGAAAATGAAAGAGCAAGTATAGAAGAATTAGAAAAACATCCTTGGATTAAAGGACCAGAGTTAGCTTTTTAAGTTAATAGGCAACCTACTTTATTGAAACAGAAGACTCTAGAATAAACAAAGGAAGGAAAGGAAAATAGTGCTAAAAAATTGCCTTGTGATTCAATAAATAGAAGTGCAAAAAAACACACAACATAAATTATTAAGCCTTCAGGATTGTAAACAAAATAAAGTATTATTTTTATTTTAAAATAGCTGAAACAAGTTGCTTTGATATTAAAACTACTTCTTCTAATATTGAATATACAATAATGTCATAGATTAATTTTTGTAAATATTTATTTAGAGTTATCAATTTAATTGAAACTTCAAATTTGATTAGAATAGAATATTTAAAAGATAAATTGATATTCTTTGCTTTAAAAAATATTATGATCAAAATGTATAAACTTAAAGATATTGTAAATATATTTTTTATTCTAGGAATCTAATCCTCTTGATATTATAGGCTTTGATAAATATAAAACTTCCCCTTAATTTTAGTCTGTTTAAATTATGATTTAGTCTAATTTCACCAAATATTAATCCTATTTTAAAAACATTTGGCAAAATTTACAATTAAATAAATCTGAATTATAAATTGATAAGAAATTTGATGCAATTTTCGATGAAAATTTCACTGAATTTGAATCTTTTTATATTATTTTCAATTCTGTTTTAAGATAGGCTATAAAAGAATTACATAAAGAAATAGATAGAAAACTAATTTCTGATGATATAACCAAGACTTTACCAGGAGAATTAGAAAAAGAAGTTGTATTATTAGATTATTTGGTAACATATTTTTAACTCAGCCTACTCATTTTGGATACTTTTAACAAACCAACTGAATTTGCTTAAAAATCAAAAATAGAACACATAGCAGAAGGCAGTCCTGTAAGATTAACATTTGGTCATTTTCTAGAAATTAAAAATAAGATAAATGATTTAGAGATTTGAATTACTTAAATTTAATTTATACTTTATTTTAATGAAATTGATATATATATTATTTTAAAATCAAAAGATTATGCTTACAAAATAATCGCAACTCATTCAAAATCAAATCGGAAACTACTATCTAATTCTAAAAATTCTGCAGCTTAAACCAAATCATCAATTGATTAATTTAATAATATTGTTTCTGTTAACTAATTTTACAAATCAATTAATTTTCCACTTAATATTTGGTCTAATTTTGAATTAGATATAAAAAGTTGTTATTACTTTATCTTGGTCTTATAGTCTGCTCTCGCTGATTGAATCTGCCTTGTTAAAAAGTCAGCAGAACCTTTCTCTTTTTCTAATTGTTGCTTTTATTTTCTAGATTAAATATTATCTATATTACCTATCCAATTTTTATTAAATTTACCCAATTATCTTTTATAAATATTCTGAAATAGTACCCTTTCATAAATAAAATAATTACTAATAATTTCACATATTTGAGCTCTTATTATTTTAATCTTATTATATATTTATCTTGATTTTCAATTTATTAACACTATATTTAAATTTTTAAAATAGAGGATTAGTTTACTTACTCTAATTGTTTTATTGAATACTCTCTCTATTCAATCATATCTTAATATTTTTGTATTTATTTTTATAATTCTCTATTGGGCGAGTTTAAATTATTATAATAGATCCTTGAACCTGATTATTGTTAATGGGATGTAGAACTTTTTGAGTTTCTTATTTCCTCATAATTTTTCTTAATATAATAACATTATCTATACTATGGATTCTTCAGTTTTTTAAATTTGACAATAATAATGTATATTACTATTATTGTTGCTTTCCTTTTTCAAATTTGAATCTTTTTGCAATTATTTTTTAATTTATTCCTGAACATAATCGATCCCATTTTTGTATTTTTTCTAACAATAATTTGTATCCACACTATTATATTATCTTGAGTCAAATTAGTTATCAATTTCATTAAATGACTTTCTATCCTTAAAAGATCTTATTATAGTGCTCAATTATATTGAGTTATTGTTGGGATTAGATTTCTTATTATAGACATCATTCTTTAATCTATGTATGATATTGAATATTGTAATTTTACTTTTCAATTAAATATCCTATTGAATATACATATATGTTATCATATATTTTAAATAATTCAGTTTCATCTTCCAATATACCGAATTTCGTAAATGCTACCAATAATTAAGGAAATGTATCAGCTTTTTGAGCCAATTAGAATTTTACATCTTTTACTTTAATATTTCCCTTAACAGTCTATAACTAACCGTTGAACCTTAAATCTCTATTCATTCGAATCAGATTGGTACCATTTTCCATTTAGTATATTTTAATTATAAATAATCAATCCCTAAAAATACCAACTATTTTTTCAAATTATGGTATTGTCAAATCGCTTTCTGAAAGCAATGATCCAATGGCTTCATGGTAGATATTTTTTCTCTTCTTACAAATATTCATCATATTTTAGTACTCATTTTCTACTTCTTAAGTTTCCTCTGTAGTTGCCATTTTATAATTTTTATCTTCATACAATAATAATTTGTTTTCAATTTCATCAATCTTAGATTTCAATTCATTTTTCATATCAACCAACTCTTAGATGGTTGGTATTTTTGATAAATTTTTAAGTTGTTCATTAAGTTTGGCATTTTATTATGCAATTTGCTTGTATTCTTCTGTTTTTTATTCTAGTTCACTTCCAAGCAACTCTAAATCTTATTAATTTACTGTAGGCATCAAAGCTTGATTAATTAAAAATACTTTAGTTGAGCCGACTTCTTTCATTATGACATCCCCTTTAGAAACCAACGTATCAATATTTTTTTGAAGTGTACTTAATTTTAAAAATAATGTGTCTTTTAAATAGTTTACTGTAAAGGGTCTGTTTGATGATTTAAAATATTCAAGTAAAGAGTCCACATCTTCTTTAATTAGTGGTTGCTTGACTTTTTTATCTGGTTATTTTTTTTCATCCTTTTTTTTTGGTGGACTTGCTTATTGTACCTTTTTTGAAGGTTTTGGTTTTTTTTTATCATCTATCTAAGTAACAGCAGGAGGATCTGAATTTTAAGTTGTTTTTGACTCTGCTTTTTTTTTTGGAGCTTTCTTACCCTTTTTAACTTAAGCTGTTTCTTCGCTCATTATTCAAATTAGAATATTTAAATATCTCACTAATTTATTTGTTCAAAATAATTTGAATAATATTTGTAATAAAATCACAGATATATTTGTTATTAAAAATAATTATAAAACTATATCAATCATTATCTGAATCCCACATTTTTGGATCAAGTTCATTACCTCCATATTCATCTTCAAAAGCCATGTCACCCCCTTCTTATAACCTACATTAAATAATAATTTACATCATTTCCTATTCATTAATATGTTCTACCCATAATTAATTGTATTCACAGAATTTAGTCTCTTTTATTTTCTCACATAATTCCTAATCATACTCTCTTAAAATATCCAAAACCTCTTGGGACATTTACTTTACTTTTTGGTTTTTATCATTTAATTGTTAAATCATTTGTAATAGTATATCATCTCTAAATTAATGTTAATAATAGTTTACTGTGTTAAAATTAAAGGTATTCCAATTTTGTGGAATAGGAATTAATGCAAACAATATAGGAATTGGACTATAAATTCATCATCATCTACTTTTTCAGTAAAAACTTAAGATAAAGCGTTTAAAATATTGTTGTTAAATAAAATTTCAGCAGCTTTAGAATTAGAAGCAATTTAGGATACCAACATCATAGTTTCTAGAACAATATCATCATCAATCATTCCTAATGCTAAATTATTATGTAAAAATTCAATAAAGGGTTCTGTCAATAATTTAACCCAATTTTCATTTAACTAAATTACACTTACTATTCCTATAATTTCAAATTTTAAGTCTTCTTCTTTTCCTTGAGTTACAAGTAATTTCATAAAATGCCTTACAAAGCTTTTCGCACAGGTTTATATTTCTGGGTTAGTAGAATTTTCGATAATTCCTTTTATAAATCTAAACAACAATGTATCTCCATTTGTTAAAGCCCTTTAAACAATTTATTGAAATTCTTATTCTGTAATGTGGTCGACATTTCTTGAGCTAGTAGATAAATTAGTAGCTAAAGCAATTAATTCTTTGCCTATGATAGGTTCTGGAAAATGTAACATTAATTTCACAACAAGAGTCATGCATTCTGTGAATCCAAAAGTTAATCTCAACTTATCATCAAGAGTGAGTAAATATAATAAAACTATTGAAACAAATCGGTAATTCGGTATTTTTAACAGTTTTACAATATCTGGAATGAATCCATTTTATTCAATTTAAGATCGAGCTTCAGAGTCGAAACATAAATTCTTTATTAATCCTAAGTTAATCGATATTTGTATTACCTAAACTTAATTAGAGTAAAACATTATTATCAGCACTAAAAAATCGTTTTAGTTTTCTTATACAATTCTCTTCTACCATTTACAACTTACATTCATTCACAATACTTAATTTTTTGAGAAATAATAAAGTTACTATAAGTAAATAAAAATTGTTTCTTTCAAGCATTCTTAAAAGAAATGTAATGATTTTTCTTTTTCTCATTTTATTTTCAATAATTGGATCTTCGGCCATATTCATTAATATTGTGAATCCAACATAAAATAATTTTTCTTATTTTGCAATCATCAAATTTAATTTTCTCAATTCTTATAGCTACTAAGGTTGACCTTATTTTTCCATCAATTCAGCATATCTCAAATCAAATCTCTGAATCTGTGATTCAATTATTTTCATAGTTATGTCTCCAATTTAGTGTTCTGAAAGGATTTAGTGGAATTCCAAATAATTTGATAAGATGTAAAATACACACAATAAATAAAGTGTAAGCTCAGTAGATTTTTTATGCTCATCTCTTAAAGTTCGTGAAAGAGTGGATAATAATTATTCTAATGTTAAATTAATTATTGAAGTAATACCATGTGAAATCAAGTATTCTAAATTTTATTATTAAGTTGCCAATCCAAGAATTTATTTTGCTGCTTCCTTTTTTGGATCAAGTTTTTCATCATAAAAAACCTCCAAAAGCTTTTCCAGCTATTCCTCTGGATCCATTAATAGTAAATTTAAATTATATCAAATATTGTTAACATTAATATTCAAATTAATTAGCAACACTAAGAATCATTAGCTGATTGACTTGGTTTTCAAGCATAGTTGAGGGCTTGTAATTTTTATTTACAGTAATTTGAATTGCTGTATCAAATATTGGTTGAACACCTTCATGAGTTATACTCAAACTTCGAATAATTAACAGTTTAATATTTAACTAATTAATCAGCCTTTTCTTTTATTAAATTATATATTGTATTCTATTACTATCTTATCAATTTTGTTGACTACTAGAATTTTAGGAATAAATTCCAATTTATCTTTATTCAAATTTAGAATACCGTAAAATCTAGTAAAGATTTACTTTTTGTAAAGCAGCGGAATAGAAAGAAGTTAATGTTATCGAAGTTCAATTATTTGATATTTATCAATCAGCATCCCTTTTTGAAATAAATGCTTAACATAAATTTAAATCAATTTGTCTATCATTGACCATCACTTTTAATAAATATTCGTATTCAGTTGGAAATTTTATCAATTTGGAGCTGATTTACCATAAATCTTTTGTGATTACCTTAATAATTTGCAAATATTTACTACTGATTAATTTCTTATAATTAATATTTAATAAAAAGTGGATCTAGGAGTATATTTATAAACAGGCCTACAGTATGTGTTTAAGGGTGACCTGTGTACCTTGAAATTATTTATGATAGAGATATTAAAAAAAATTGAAGAGATCTTATAATGGTCTTATTATTAATTTTTTTGATAATACTCATCCAAAGGAAATGTCTAAGGCTTTTGTAATAAACTATCCTTTTTCATTATCCCAAACTGTTAAGAATTATTCTGCGATATTAGTGTCTTTCTAATTAATAATGTTGATTTGTTACTGCATAATCTCCATCTTCCTGCAAAAAGGTGATATTCAAATCCATAGTCTTTGAAGAAATTATTTCACATTATTTATCTGAATTGAATGCCATGTGTACAGACTCTGAATTATTGATCATTAAGCTTGGACACCTAAATTGTATTTATTATAATACTTTGTTAAACAGGTTACTTTGACTTTCTTACAATTAACAACATCAACTCCTGAAATTGTTTACTAAAATTTTCAACAATAATTACATCAAAAACCAATTCAACTTTTTCACACTTTTATAAAAATATTGATTTCACTTTTGCTTTAACTAGAATACCACAATTCTTGCAATTTTCTACAAATAGAGATTATTTCATTTCTATTTCATCATCTTTGAATTCTATCAACTTTTCATTTTAATAATTTTCTAAGAACCAATTTTCCTTACAATATCGTTTTGGTTCTTTTGGTTGTTAAACTGCTACTTATTATGTTGCTTATTATTATTTGCCTATAGTAGGCTATAAAGGGTCAGATTTTTCAACATTTTTCTATACAGGTTTTAGTCCTAATCAGAATAAATTTTAAAGATACTTTTTGTAATATCAGCTCCTACATTTAATTCTGCAAACAAAGCTCCTCTAGAATCTCCAGAATCTGTATGAGGAGCTGGAGCTGCAAATTAAGGAGGTGGAGGTGGAGGAGGACCTCTAGGAGGAGGTGGAGGAGGAGCTCCATGGGTTTATTCTTAGGTCAAAGCACTGAAATATTATTCAAAAGTAAGCGACCCTTTGCCATTCCATTCCAAGCCCATTTTATAATTAGTTATTACGAAATCTTATATTAAAATAATTTATACCTGGTAACCATTTTAATGCCCCAATAAATGCGTCATACCATTTAGAAACCTCTGCAACCTTCTATTATTTTAATTTAAATCCATTAAACTCAGCTGATTCAATAGCACTTTCTACTTATATCTTTGGACCATCCAAAGTTACCCAGAAAGCTGCTTAGCTACCTTCAATCATTGCTTTCACTTAATATTGAAGAGCAGGCGTTTAGAATTTAGCAATTTTGTTCACTTATTCAGTGATAAGTTTTTGGATTTATTTCATTTAGTCTGGAGTTGGCTTTTTTGTGTTTGTAGAATGTAAAATAGCGTTCTCCATTATCAAAAATATTTTCATTACAATTGGTGTCTATTATTTTAAGATTTGATTTATTACAATATCCTTAAGAGCCTATTCAGAAAGACTCTTAGAAGCCTCAACAAAAAGGTTAAGTTTATCTTTGAATGGCTATAATGCAGCTAATGTCTGAGGACTCGACTATTAAGTTTGAGTGCCACCCTCTAACTGTTAAACAATCTTCTCTAAAGACTTTATGACGTTCCGTATTTCAGCTGCCTATTATTAACTCATTAAATTTAATGAAAAAGAAATGATATTTTTATATTTAAGATACCCCCTATTATTATTATTAATTTAATGATAACTTAAATCGATATAAATAATCCTTAATCCAATCACATTTCTTCTGATGATGAACCAAAACAGCATTCCAACCCAGGATAATAAGAATTAAAAAAGCTTAAAAAAATTATTGATTTTACAAAAGAAGAATTTGAACAAATTAGAAAAGAATTTTAAGATTAATACATAAATGTTTCATAATTTGTCTTTATTTTGTAAGATATAAAAAAAGCTGATGTACAAACTTTAGTCTATTTCTATTAACTTATTGATACTTTAGAAAAAAACCTCGTAAACTTTGAATAATTTTCAAATTTTTTGGTTGAAATGTATGATTGGATTAATAGAGAGCATTCATTATATACAATAAAGTTAAAATAAAAAGAGATTGAAGGGTAAAAGATTAATCCTATTGATAAAATGTTTGAAATAGACGGCCAATTCGCATATTTAGAATAAAATTAAAAAAAATTATGCATTTTAAATCCAAACACTTTTGAAGAAATAACTTAAATATCAATTAGCAATATTAGCATTTTAAATGTTCTATATATAAAAGATTTCTAAACTTTGGTGATGAGCAGTAATGACAAATTCTTAAATTTTTATGATTTGAAAGCTAATAAACTATAAAGCAGGTTTTAAGTTCCTGAATTATAAAGCCATTTATAATATAGTTAAGAAAATAAAGTAAACTATTTTTCATATTTTAATAGGTTTTATACACAGCAACAGATAATGGGTCTATCTATTCATGGGATATAGAGAAAATATTTTCTAAAGAATTTTTAGAGTTTATAAAATCTGGGCCAAAGTTATCAGATTGTTTCAAATTAGTTATTGTTGATTAACCTTTAATGATAGAAGAATAAAAAAAATTAGATAAATAAGAAAATAAAGATAAATCAGAAAAATAAGATGGATTGGTTAAAAAAGGCATAACATGTATGTTGTGCATAGATTGCTTAGAAATATTAGCAGTAGGATCAAATGATACTTTAATAAGACTTTACGAAAACAAAATAAAAACAACAGAAAAATAAAAAATGGCAGACACTAAAAAAACTAGGATTGGAATTAAGAAAACTTTATCTGGTGATCACAAAGTTTTGCAAGGACATAAAAAAAGAATAAAATAATTTTCCTATTGTCCTGAGTTTAAATATTTAATATCCTGTTCATATGATTATGATGTAGTTATTTGGAATATATATTTGGAACATCCAGTGGCAAAATTATTAGGTCATGAAGCTTCATTGGTTTCAGTTTTGAGTATTAGTAAAAGAATACCAATAATTGTATCATGTGATATAAAAGGTGTAATCAGAGTTTGGGATCCAAAAACTTTTCAATCCATTTAACATATTAAATTAGATGAAACAAACAACAATATTAAATCAATAATTTATTTGAAATAAAAAGATATAGTTATTGTTGGGTGTAGAAATTTTTTAATGTATGAATTTTAATAATCGTTTGATCCAAATGTTACAGATGATATGCCTATTTAATGCTTATGTTATTCAAATAAATATCTGGAATTACATATAGCAACAAGAAAAACTATAAAAACTTGGTGCATGAGAACTGGATTGATAAAAAGATTAAGTGGAAACTTTATAAATCATGATATTTAATCTTTTTGTTTAGATTATACACAAAGAAGAGGCTTTATAGGAACACATTTAGGAAATATCTTGTAAATTTTAATCTTATTTTAAGTTGCGTAGATCTTTTAACAGGTAAAGTCATTAAAGAAATGAAAAATAACTTTCTGAAAGAGATTTCTCATATTTCCTATAGTTAAATTTACCATACTTTAATTGCTTGTTCATGGGATAAATAAATAAGAGTTTATCATGATGAAGACAATAAAGAAATAATATTAAGAAATATTAAAAATGCACATCCATCTGAAATATATTGTGGTGCATTCTCTGAAAATTTAATGTTAATAGCTACAAGTTCAAAATAATAAGAAATTCGAATCTGGGATTTTGAAAAAGGAACTTAATTTTCAAGACTTAAAGCTAGCGGAGAAGTATTATATCTTAAATTTTTGGATCCTTATCCATTATTAGCATGCTCAGACCATTAAGGTTAAATTGTTATTTATATTGTTTTGTCAAATGATCTTGCTTTACCTCCAAATTAATCAAAATCATGTGCTGTTATTTGGAAAAATATGTTTACAATTATGAAAGCATCTCCAGTTTATTCAATAGAATTTAATAACATTGATACTTGTCTGCTGATAGGTGACGAAAATGGTGATATTAGAAGTTTATCTATTTCTCAAATTATAAAGAATTGTAACATTAAAAAAATTAAGCATTCTGACATTGCTCAAAATAGAAATCCACACAGATTTTTTTAGCTCAATTACTAAGAATATGATTTTTAATTAGAATCATTATGTCCTTTATTGAGCGAAAGGAGTGCTTGTCAGGTAGCTGTTTGGAAAGCTCATAAAACTTAAATAAAATAGATTTTAGTAAGTTATGAATTTCAAGAAGGTCTAATAATATCATTATCACTTGATATGTAGGTTAAAATTTGGAATAACGCAGGAAAACTATTATTAATTTTAAAATAAGGCTAGAATTAACCTTATAATCTAATAACTATTTCAAAATTTAAAACAAAAAATTAATCTTTAATCGATTAAGTTGAGTCAGAATTACCTAAATGTAACCATTTATTTCCTTTTATGTTTAGTAAGATCTGCTGTGCCAATTAAAAAAACTACTCGATTCAGATCAGTTACTCAACATGATAAAAATAAAACCCTTCTAGGATTTGACTTTAAAGATTAACATAAATAACTAGATTAAATTGATAGTTTATCTATATTCTAGACTTTGAAGGAATTAGAAAAAATGGAAGAAAAAAAAGAACTAAGAAAAAAAAGAGAACAAGAATAATCTCTAAAAGACCAGAAAGGAATAAGCTACTTTAACAATAAAAGATAATATTATTGATAATATATACAATAATTAATTTATTTCATTGTTTATTATTATGAATTATTCATAATTTTCTTTTTCACAATTGGGAAAGCAAATTTTACAAGAAAATAAAGACTTACAAGATCGCTATACATTAGAATTACTTAATAATTATAAGTCTCCATAGTTCTTTCAACAAGCCTAAGAAAATAGATTAGAAAAATAAATTTAGAAATAGAACGAAATCATCAAACTCTTAATGGAAAAATAAGAATCAGTAAAAAATAATATACAACTGAATAATAATTAAAATAGATAATTTTAGCAATAAGATAAAACTTAGAATCCAACATACTTGGGCTTTTCTTAAATTCCAGTTATGCAACCACTTCCTCTTCCTCCTCCTCCAATATTTATGCCTTCAAACTTTTCATTTATGTAATAGTAACAAGCAGAAAAGTCATAACAAGAAAAATTAAGAATGCTTTTATTAATGAAAAAGCTCAAAGAAGAAAATTTTTTGCTCAAAATGAAATTATCTGAAAGAGGTGAATAACTAGAAAAAACGTTTGAAACTTCTTCTATCAACTAAACTCAATAACAATCAGTTCATAAAAGCGAGAAATAATATAAATAATAGAAAAGAAATTTAGGGCCAACTAAAGAAGATTTTTAAAAAGAAATACAATATTTAGAATAATTAATTTCAAAAAGAGCCATTGCTTAGCTAAAAATTAGAGGTAAGAGATTGAGACTGATGCTTTAATTTATTCATAAAACAAAGTAATCAATTTAATTGAAGATTACTTAATTTTAAGAAAAATTTCCAGAAAATATTTTATAATTTTAGAATGAGTGTTTTGCATGGATGAAGGATTTTACTAAAGTTATTGTCGACAAATTAAAATCATAAAATCCAAATATTATTTTGTATTTAGAAGCAAAAGTAAATCCTAAAGAAGCATAAAAAAGAATGGACTAGCTTAAAATCTACGTGAAAAATTTTATTGATGCAATGTTTGATAATTAAGAAAATTTTCCAAGCTTTTGCAAAAATTACATTTTAAATTTTACACATAATTTTTATTGTACACCTTCAAATTTCTTAACAAAATTTGAAGTTAATAGATTATAATTTACACCATACGGAGGAATAATGTATAAATTTAAATAAAACTTTAAGACTAAATTAAAGATAAGGGCAAATGATGATTATCACAATCATATTTCTTAGAATTTATTTACAATTTCTAAATGATCTGTGGGAACCCATCCCAGCTTCTTCATCAGCAACTTAAAAAAAAATTAATTAGTAATTCCGCTTGAACATTTAATCTATTTGTTCTGCAATTTATATTTTAGCTATAGAAGTGATTCGAGAAATGGCAGCTATTTAACGTGACAATCTTAAATTACTATCAATTGATGTTTAACCAAAACTAAAATCAGGAGGTGTAGTAAAAATGAAAAATTTTGAAGAAAGAGATATTGATAAGGCTAAATTGGAAGGGTTAAAAGAAGGAGATGAACCTATAATTTATCCTCTTTTTGACAAAGTTGAACTGAATCCTTTTTTTGCTGATAACTCTTCTGTCTCCAACTTAAAATCAACAATTGAAGGATGGTCTGAAAATATTTATTCTATTTTACAATAATGCAAAAAAGATATCAATTCTGAAAGAAAAAAATAAGTAAATTTCATCTTGAAAGGATTAGTTTGAGAATGGAGAAAAGATGGTAATAATAAAACGGATTGAAGCAAATCTAAAATAATCCGAGGGGGCTAGATAAATAAGAGAAATATAAAATCAGGTTGCGCAACAAAGAGAAAAGATTGCATAAATGAAAAGATGTAAAATAATATATAGATATTAAGTTTTAAATGTTTCAACAAATCGAAAGTCTGAACACAGTTAATTGGATTTGAAAAATAAATCAAAAATTTCCCATTTCAGTAATCAATCGTGATAAATATTTAAAAATATTTAGATATTTGATTTATTTAAGTCAATGAATTAGATAAATTGCAGTTATTATTAATTAATTTTAATGAGAAATATATATCCTAAATCAAGGAAGATTTTCTTATTTATATTTTTCTTAAAGTTAATTTAAATTATTTTATTCCTTTTTTAATTTCAAAAACTTGATTATAATCAAGTTTAGGTACTTTGTTGTTGTGTTTTTATAAGTCAGAGTTGAAATCAATGTTGTTATATGAATTTACAATAAGAAGTTGAGATCTAATTTCTTGGATTTCATTCTTAATATTTTATTTAACTTCTATAAAAATTCTACTTAATTTCTTCATAAGTTTAATTAAAATATTCTTTCTTAAAAATCTTAATTTTTATGGAGGATCATTCCACAAGCTCACAACCAAATTCATTTAATCTATTTTTGGAACTTACTTTTCTGCAGGCTTTTCAGATTAATCATTAAATTAGATTTTTAAATCAATATGAATCTATTGATGAAATTTGTAATCTTAACCTTATTTTTCTTAGTTCTTTTTAATTTTAATTTTTTCTGATTTGGAATCTAAAATTTAATCTGGCAAAATCAAATTGCCTCAATTTATGTGTAAATCCCCACCAGAAGATTGAATAAATCATTCTTTTTATTCAAAAATATTTTTTAGTATAATAATTATATAGAGATTATTTAAGAGCCAACCTAGTTCAGTTTTTCAAATTATAATTCATAAAAATAATCATCAATAATTGAATGGAATGTCAAAAATATCTCAAATAGTTCCAAATCAAAAGTCATGTGTAAAAATTGTTTTCTTTGAATACTTGGAACAAAACTGGAACAGGAGCAGAACAAGACTAGCACCAAGCCAATAGGGCATTCACCTAGCTACAGCAAGAGAACGGGGCTACTTGAAAACACACTAGATATCCAAAACCATTTGCTACCAAAAATCTTGGTCTTCTAAAGATTATGGTAGGTATAAAAATCTTGATATTTTAAAAGATTATGGTAGATAAAATATATCAGATTCAACATTCTTGGTTAGAAAATTCAACATTATGTGACATTGAGAGATATTTATTAGTCGGCATCCCAACCCAAACCCTCATTATAATGAAATAACTTTATAATGAGTCAACCCAATAAATAAAGATAGATATTCTTATTTGTAAGCTATTATAACTACCTGATGCTAAATTATTTCCATCAGGAGAAAAACAGACTGAGTAGACACTACCATGAACATTTAATTTATTTTTTTATTATCCTGTCATAACAGATAGATTCATCTTTACTTCCAGATGCTAAAGTATTTCCATCAGTAGAGAAACAGATAGATTGAACCCAATCAGCATGACCATCTAATATTTTTTTTTATCCTCCCGTCTTGACTTCCCATAAAATATATAGTTATCATAATTACTTGAAGCTAAAGTATTTCCATCAGGAGAGAAACAGACTAAGTCTACAAAATGATTATGAATATGTAATTTATTTTTTTATTATCCTGTCTTAACATCCGATAATAGGATAAACTTATCATAACTACCAGATGAAAAACAAATTGAGCAGACATCACTTTTTTGACCATTTAATGTAGTTTTTAATTATCCTGTTTTCGCATTCCATAAACATATTGAGTAGTTCCATCTGGTGAGAACCATAATGATAGGACATAATTACCATGACCATCTAATTTGGCTTTTTATTATCCTGTTTTAACATCCCATAATCTGATTGACTTATCTCTAGTA